ACTCCACCACATATTCTGACACCCAGACAATATGCAGACGGCGTAGGCAACCAACTGCTGCCTCTGAATGGGTGTGTATTTTGCATCAGAATAAAGACCTACTGTTCCTGTCTGCCCGTCTCATGTTCCTCTGCCTGGACTCCCATCTGCCCCTGCAGCACGCTCTCCAGTTTCCCTTCCCAGCAGGGCTACTATTCATTATTCCCCGTATCAGGTTTCCCTCTCCGCCACCCCAAACACTCACAGCTCCGCCACAAAAATGTCTGGAGCAGCATATTTTCACACCTCACACATTGTCCCACACATACTTCTAATACTTCACACATGGATGCAAGTTTTATGTGACCTCTGCGGTGCGACTTTTTACTCTCAGAGTTAAAAAAAACGTGAGGCCAGGGGGGGCGACTGACCATGGAAGTAACTCTTAACCTTGAGGTATCCCACACTGAGCCGGAGCACAGACAGCTTGTCCAGACGACCTCTGACCTCCTCGGAGAACGGCAGCAGGCCGGTGAGACGATCCAGCTCCACGTTCAGGCGGTCTCGGTGGCGTTTGGACGGATTGGTCTTCGCCGGTGGAGGCTTTGCACTTAAACACAAGACATAAGAGGAGATGTTCAGAGATGCTGCCTGCTAAAACATGTTACAATCTACAGCACACAGTGGAATTTCCACAGAATTGAAGTGGGAGTTTTTGGTTTTGTGGTTGATTTTTTTTCCATATCCTGTAACACAGTACATCTGAACGTCCGTACGGGTGCACGTAGGAGATTTTGTGTGTCACACTGACGCACTGACTCATGACAACAATACGTCCCTTGAAAAAATTCCAGTGGTGAATTTCTGAGAGACGATGTAGTCGGTTGCAGCCCAAATAAACTCTGAACCACATCAAAGAATCAACGTCCTGGTTTTAAGAGCCAGCTGAGGCTCAAAGTCTGGTTGGTAGTTTTATCTTTACAGGACGAGAAAGCACACACAGAGAGAGAAATGTGGTTTGTTGTATTAGTTTGCAGCACATTCACTCTGTTAAATACCTGCACATATTAGATTTACTGAAGTAAAAACTCATCAATATAAGCAGCTTTAGTTAGAGTGAGCCTGAAAAATGAAGCCAACACGTAACAAAAGTAACAACAACTGCAGTTCCTCTAACGGCCACTAGAGGCTGGCTCCAAAAGCAGGTCAATCTCCATAAGGCCCCATATCAAAATAAACTTCACAGCAGAAATAAACATGTTTACAGCCCGGTAGAAGATATAACTATATAACTCACCTGTTTATATAATATGAAGGCTTATAAAGGTATGCATAATTAAGGGTGTGGCCTCTTTGAGTGAGTTTTATAAAAAATGCCAAATATTTGATGCTTTTCTTGGTCTTACATGATAGTAAATAATAAAAATATTTTTTGAGTTTCGGACTGTTCATGAAGTCACCTTTGGTTTCTGGGATACTGTGAGGAACAATGTTTACTGTATTTTAGTCCAAATGAATGAATCCATTGATCAAGAAAATAGTTGGCAGATAAATCAATAATGAAAATAACCATCAGTTGCAGCACTAGTCTGTTTAATGGAGACGAATAACGACAGCTCTCCTCCCTTTGGGGTTAGGATTAGTGCAGCACAGTAATCTATCAGGTTAGTAGGTTAGCTGTGGTGCTAAGCTACAGAGCTGTGTGGCATGAAAACAGAACATAAAAGAGAAAATGGAGCAAAAAAATCTGTTTTATCTTCTTCTCGATCTGAACAAAAGATAACAAACTGCCTCAAAATGAAAAGTCGTGCTTACAGCTGCTACGATTCGTTGATTAATCGGCAAGTTTTCAACTATTAAAACAATCCCCAACTATTCTAATAATTAATTAAATTAAATCAAAAACTGTCCAAATTGTCTGATTTCAGCTTCTTAAATGTGAATATTTTCTGGTGTCTCTAGTAAACTGAATATCTTATGTTTGTGGGACAAAACAAGACATTTGAGGACGTCACTGGTGACATTTTCTGGACCAAACAACAAATCAATCAACGGAGAAAATTATCGACAGACAATTTACCCCAAATACAGAGTTACATCATAATTCTGAGACTGCATGTGTTGATCTTCCACTTGTTGGCCTGTGCCATTATTACTACGAATTACCACAACATAACTCCTCTCAGACATGTCAGGACACGCAGCGGGCCTGTGTGTCATCCTTCCCTGAATAAACACACAGATCTAAGAAAAGAGTCGGAGGACGAGGACAAAGCAGACAGGAATGAGGAGATGAAACAGGAGAGAGAGAGAGAGAGAGAGAGAGAGAGAGAGAATCTGGAGGAAAACATGAGAATTTAGAGTCAAATGAAGCAGTTAGTTGAGATTTATTAATCGGTGATCAGCTGCTGATGAATACTGTGGTAACAGTAGTCGCTGAAGGTGACAATAGACGAGATTTTGGAAACAATAGCAGGTAAACGCCTGAGGGAGTAAATAAATAAAGTCAGTGTATCCATAACAAATCACAGCATATCCATCATAGACATAAAGTTTAATAATAAAACTGCTTTTTAGTCACTTTATATAATATTTGTAGACTTTAGTTGCTTTGCAGAATATGAAATACAGTCAACAAATAAATGATGATGTGTTATTATAAGTTAAGATAAGACTTGATTGATCGAGGTGCAACATTCGAGTGACAGATTACATATTAATGCATCATATATACACACATTATTCTGATAATGGGGCGTATTTGATCTGCAAAATTTGTATTTTTACCTTTTATTTCAAGCATGTTTTGATGAGATTGTTACTTGAATGCAGAACTTTTCCTTAAAAGAAACAACAACTTAGCAGTAACTAAATACATTCATTCAATAACTTTACTTGATTTCCATTTTATGCTACTTTAAACCTCTACTTGGCTACAGTTTGGATGCAAACATTATACTTTTTACAGCACTATATTTGACAGTTAGGTCACTTTAGATTAAAAATGCTAAAAAATATATAAATAAACTAATAAATAATGTATTATAATAGTTTAAATTAACATCAGTATATCCACATTTACCAGCTGCAACATGAAAAGTATCAATAATTACAATAAAATAATTGATTATTCTGCTTTTCACCTTAAATGTTATTATGAATTATCGGGACTTTTACTTGTAACCGAGTATTTGCACACTGCGGTGAGCACCTCGGCCACCTCGGCCACCATCACCTGCCCGACTCACCTTATCCAGCCGCTGCTGACGTCACTACCTTTGCGTGACATTCTCTGCAGGTAAACTACCCACTGCCTGGAAATCACTCATCACACAGGTAGAGCTCCAGCAAAGCACCTGGCTCACCCGTGGTGCTCGGTGTGAATGTAAAAAAGCTTTATTATTATTATTATTATTATTATTATTATTATTATAATCCTGCTCGTGGTGCGTTCAGGTGCACTAGGAGTCCAGCGCTGTCGGGTTACTGTAGTGCAGTGTCTGTTTAACACCCTGCTGTCATATAAAGGAGATCAATTAGGAGTTAATTAAATTAAAACTCACACTTTCTGAACGGGCTTCTTCCTCCTCTTCACCGCGTAAACTCCACTGTTCCCCGGCATGGTGGCGGCCAACTTTCTCTTTGCTTTCACTTCAAAGAAAAACCTCCAAAATCTTCACATAAAGAAAGAAAAAGTTCCTGACTGTGCAGACACACCCTGAATGTTTCCTCTGCAGCTTATTTCTTTTAATCCGACCCAGGAGGGGAAATAATCCACAAAGTCTAGCGGGGTTTTTCTTCTTTTTACAGCCACCCTGTCGGTCAGAGGACTCATTTAAAAAAACTTTCCAAGTTCAGCAGAAACACACCTCATCCAGTCCCCCGTCGGCGTGTCTGCTCCGGATTCAGCCAATCAGAGCAGCCGTAGCATCCCCCGCAGCTCTGTGTCACCGTCTCTGATTGGTGGAGACTTCTCCTTTGTTTGTCCTGTACTGTAAATACACACACTGTATATTTAATATATTCTATACTTTACCTACTGACTGAGAGCTCACGTTGTTTCACTCCTAAGGTGTAAAAGTTTAAGATAAAGTGGAAGCAGTTTAACTTTCAGATGTGTTTTAGGATGTTTTCTGCTTCCTGAAAAAAAGTTATTTAACCTGTAACTCCATCCAGTGGCAGAGGCAGTTATTGCAGGTAATAATGGAATAATAATAATACAATAAATAGTAATGTATAAGCATGAAAACTATCTGTATATTACATTATATTATAAATCAAAGTTTGTTTCTAATTGCAGTTTTGAAGAAATTTCATATTAATCCTTAATAACAACTGGAAAAATAGTATTTTAGCTTGTCCCCACTCTCTAACTTATCATATATAAGACATAGGACACTTTAAAAACAAGATAATAAACGAAAGATGATAAATATAAGTATTAATATATATATAGATATTTATATAAAGCTTGAGCACCTAACTTTTAACCCACTTAAAGCCTCATTAATCAGAATCACAATTATACTAAATATAATGATTCCAATCCTTCAGAAATCTTATTTTGGTTTGTATTATTGTCTGACTCTTAATTCTAATTTAGACATTTCATAGGAAATTCAGAAAAATATTACACACAGGGGCCCCCAAGACCTTCTTGATTTTGAAGGTAAATAGTCTAATACATAGACAGTGACATATTTTATAGATATTTCACATTATATTCAAAACTGTATAGCATTTTAGTCCAATTCTGTGAAGAAAATTAAATTAAATTGTTAACTTAGATAGAAAAATATATAAATACACTAAAAAAAGTTCCTAAAACCATCAGAAAACCCACCTCTGATGTAATATTATACAGTAAAATAATCCGCTCGTTTTGCACAAACCTCCTGCAGTCACTTTGTTCACTATTTGGGTTCATTGTACAGTTAATATTAATAAAATATATCACAGTCAGTTTATTCAATAACCGAAACTGAAACTTCCCAGCGCTCTTATTTTGAAGGACAGACGCACCGACCGGAAGTCGTCCCCTCTCACGCCTACCTGCCGTATTGAAGCTGCGACGACGACGTTGCACCTTTATATCGGTGTTAATAAAGAGCTGTTAACGTTTATCACCGACATATGAAGTATAAGAGAAGTTAATAACATTATTTATCCACAGTGTTCCTGTAACGGAGCCACGGAGACATCATCCACAGGACGGACAGGTGAGGTCGACAGGTGCTTCTATCTTATTGACCAACCAGAATATCCTGTTTCTTATCTTTTTAATTGTTTATTTAACAGGGTGGGGGTCTGCTGTTGTTGTCTGACTGTTGCCACTTCCTGTATTAACAAGCTGCTTTATGATGCAGTGTGTTAAATAATATATAAGTACTGTATAATACAGGTGAACTCATGCATCTCTCTTACTAAGTGACATCTCCAAAGAGGCGTTTACAGACTTTCTTTGAGGGGTGGCATCATGTATGTGTCTCAGCTTTCCCAATGTATGTAGTTTAAACAGTTTATGGACCCTCAGTGTGCAGAAACTACATAAAGTGGGGTTATGTCTGCAAAGGTGAGCCCATTTTCCTCAGATATCTTAAGATCAGAGGTCAAGGGATCCCTTTGAGAATAGCTACAACATGTTAGATTCATATAATATCTTCACTGTGCTTCATCCTCTGATAGGACGAGTGGACGTAGGGGAAGAAGGGCGGATAATGAGGTGGCCAACAATGTTCATATCTTTCCAAACTAACACATATTTTCTGTTCTGTGGTGTCAGAGGAGACAGGATGTTGAACTGCAGCCCGTGGGCTCTTCTTCCGCTCACACACTCTGTGCTCACCGCTGCTGGACTGTGGCTCGTGTAAGTTCTGTTAGTTATAGGAATAACTTACAGCAAACTAATCTTAAAGAGAACAAAAAGACTGCAAAGAGGCAAAGTGACTACAAAAAGAGACACAACGACTGCAAGGAAACACAAATTACTACAAAAGATGCACAATTTATGTGTTGTTTATTTATATAAATATATATAAAAATGTGTAATGGACCATTATATAAACAACTGTATGAAAGATGATAAAAGAAACATCATAATAAAGTATTAAAAACCTTTATTAATCTTTAATATTCTGTTCCCTGTCTATGTTTTGATGCATTTTAATAGATACTTCATTGCTGTGAGTGATGAGCGTATTGCACCACTGGGTTCAAAATACAGGTAAGAATTAAACAACATTACATACAGCAGATAAAGACATATATTGATATTTTTGGATTAAGCTTTTTGTGCTTTTAGGAGGAGAAATGGATCCTTTTATCCTCCATACATCAGGTACACACTCATGTTTCATATTTAAAAATAAAAGTTTATATTCTGTATTATAGAGCAGTAAACACAAATGTTGTTTTTCCCACCACTTTCAGTATTGCCGGCAACTTTCCACCAGCCAGCTGCTTCTTCAGCGAGGTCATGAACTTGTCTGCGTTTCTGGGTGAGAGCAGCGATCCACCATCGTGTTCATCATGTTATAATACTCTGATATTTAAAGGATAAGACTGATGATTAATTGTCAACAAACCCAGGAAAAGACCAAAACTAACTTTAACGCACGAGCATCTATTGAATTAAGCCGACTGTTAATTCGCGTTCATTTTCCGTTGGTTCTTCTGTGTTTCAGCGTTCATTATCGCCGTCCTCAGATACCTTCAGCTCAAACCAATAATAAACAGAGCCTGGCTGAACGTCGGGAGTCTGGTGGTTTTCTCTATCGCCTGCTTTGGAATGACGCTCGTAGGAAACTTCCAGGTAAACGCTGACTGATACACACATGACTGTTCATATATGGACAGGATCAGAGTGAGTTGACTGACTGGTTTGGGGTTTTTTAGCTATTCACCGATGAGATTATACACAACTTTGGCACCTTCATGACATTTGGACTGGGAACGCTGTTCTGCTGGGTGCAGTCCTATATCACCCTGAAAGTTGACATGAACAACGAGGGGAGGAAGACTGCTATCATTCGTTTCCTGTTGTCTGCATCCATCTCCATCTGCATGATCCTCTGTATCCTTTAACAGTTTAATGAGTTTGATGAGCTTATTTAAAAGTGAATGACTGTGTAGAGACTTCTGGACAAAAAGATTCACTGAGATCCAACAAATGCATTTAATAACTTTTATTGAAGAAAACGTTTACAATTATGTGCATAAACTTAAAGTAATCAAAGTTAGCTCTATGTGAGTGCGTCACCGCCTTTATTAATGTGACCCACATTTCTGTAATCACCACAATCACACAAAAATAAACAAAATATTAAAATATATATAAAAATATATCAGAAAAAACAACTAATAACAAATACCAAGAAATATAAACCTGATATTAAACTACACTAAAATTCATTATGAATTATTCATTCATGGTTCCTACATTCAGTGTTAGATATTGTTTGTGCCCCATAGAGATCAAATACTACACGTTATCTTTATGCCTTTGTGTCTTTCATGCCGCTTGGCAGTCTCTCCCATTAAAACAATAACAAAAGACACCGTTTAATGACAATAACAAACTATTTGATGTTACTCAGGCAGAAATCATGTTCACAGACGAGGTAACATTAAAGTTTTATTCATGAAAATAGGATTTCTTTGGGTTTGAACATTGTTGGAAACATTTGGGATAATCTAAGTACATAACTCAACAAATTAACAATATGTCTAAGTTGTTTTTAGACATTTAAATATGGAAATGTTACATCTTTAAATAATAAAAGGGCTGCAACTAATTATTATTTTCATTGTTGTCTGACAACTTTAAGGAAAGACTCCCTACAGAGATAGAACTTTAGTTTAACCAGACTTCATTGACAAAAACAGTAATTTTACCTTGCATATCATTGTAACATCAATCAAATTGGCCACAAAAAAACAAGTTAAACTCACCAAAACTGTCTCTGTTAGTGTTTCCAACAATCACCAACTCTGGTTTGGTGGAAATAAATCCTTAATTCACCGACGTAGATGATAAAAACAGCAGTTTCAGTTGGAGCAGACCGGCTTTGAAACAAACCACAGAGAGGCTGCGATACAACACAGGCAGAGGGAGTGAGACACCATGTGACTCGTGTCTTTACAAAGAGAACAGTTGTTTATTAATGTTTAAAATTTCATATAGATAACTTAAACGATTCTACAATGAAACTACAGAACTATGTATCCAATAAAATACTACAAAATACGTACCTGATTATCAAAATAACTACAGATTAATTTCACACATTAAAGAAGATGTACTGTTTTAATGTCCTGTAGTCCTTCGTTTGTACGTCTCACCCTTAACTGACCCTGACGCAGACTTCTCCCTGATGGCTGTGGGCCTCCACATGCAAGCAGCTCAGTGCCAGTGGGCGCTCGTCATGTTCTTGCTCGTCTTCCTCGGCACTTTCGCCATCGAGTTTCGTCTCAGCCGCTTTGAGGCCGTGTGCGAAAACAGCTCCGGGGTGCTGTGAGCCTGTCGAGAGACTTTCTCCGGACTTTTACAGTGTTACGCTCTCTGACTCTTTTAAGATCCTCAGGTATAACTTGCATGAGACTTAAAATTAATCCGCAACATAGTTTAAGATGCATTTATTCCATCTGAACAAGCTGTAAGTGTTTGTTTACGCCAACAATCACCACTATATGTATTCATGTTTTAAAACTACACCAAAAATCTGCTTTGTGTGCTGCTACCTTTTTATACGTATGCAAGGATGTTTTCACCTTTTTCAACATTATAGACCTCTACTTTATTTTTGTAACTTTTTTTTTAATGTTTTGGGGGATTGTGTGAATCTACAGTTGTAGATGCTTACTGACGCAATCAGTATCAATACAATAAAATATATACAGGAAAAGTGTGTTTTTGTAGTCTTTATTCAGCAGTATATGTCCAATGAAAGCTATCTAGAGAGAGGTTGGTGGATTATTCAGGGTTACTGGTACATTGGTGAAGATGAAGCCAGTTGTTGCTTGGCATAAAGACTGGAAACAGCTAGCCTTTTTGGGGGGGGGGAAGTTACATTCTACATTTAAATACTGTATTTTTAAGGCTGATTCCAGTATTTTTAGACTCAGTATGTTTATATTTGACTACACTACCATAAGGCTTTTAAAGCATTCAGTGTTTCTCCACCTGAATATGATTCCTGGCGGCGTCGAGGAGGCTTTGAAACACCTTTACGTGGGAGAATAAACCTGTAACTGCTTATTTTCAGAGGAATTAGATGCTCCATTTTTAAAGGAATAGTTAGTTTATTTGCAGAGTTGGATGAGACGATTGTTACCACTCTCATGTCTGTATAAAAGATATGGAGCTGGAAACAGGGGGAAACAGCTAGCCTGGTCGTCCTACCAGCTCTAAAGCTCAGTAGTTAACATGTTATTTTTAACTGTACAACATCAATCTTCCCAGCTAACTCTTGGCAAGAAAGTGAATAAGCATATTCCCCAAAATGTACGGGTCAATACAACGAGGGATAATTGAAAAACGTATTGTTGGATTAATCAGAATTTACCCTTTAACCGATTAAGATTTACAGTCTTCAGTGTTTTAATGTTTTTTCTCATCGAGTATTTTGAGACACAGTTGGACATAGACATTGGGACTGAGAGCACACAGACCTCCATGTGAGACAAGGCATTTATTGGAAGCAAGTTTTTAGATTTCCTGAAGAATACCAATTACGTTTCACACACAAATCATCAATTTGGCATTTTTAGGTGACTTTCCAACACCAACGTTACAGATGACAAACGAGGATGGCACATTTAAATAGACACCGTTCACCTGCGAGTGGGGGGGGGACTTATTAAGACTTTCGAACAAAGTTTGAAATGAGAACTTTCTGTCAGCAGCACCACTGAGTGTATCTATACTGTAGTTCTACTTTCTAAAACATTACAATGTTAAACAGCTCAATCACTGGATAAACTTCATACAACACGCGTGTATGTGTGTGTGGGGGGGGGGCACATGGATGTAAAATGTTTACAAAACGGTGACAAATACGGCACACACAGTCGGAAAGTTTTGATTAACATCGGAGAGGTTTCAGAACTGGCAACCGAAAGACGGTTCATCTAAAAGGTAAAAAGGTAAAGTAACGTCACAGGTCACGTGCAGTTTCTTCTTTAAGTTCTCTTCCCAGTCAATCAAATGGTCCAATCAGAGTGTTGTTCCATTTATTTTATCCGTCTCCACACACATGAAAAGGCATCCGGAAAGATCTGGATAGATGAACCGGGACTTGTTGGCTAACCGTAGTCCCGGCAGCATCTCCTACACTTCTTCAACAAAAACATCAGGGTTGCAAAAAAAAGGGAGGAAGGAGGGTGGGGGAGGGTGGGGGGGGTGGGTCAAAGAGGAGAAGGAACAGGTCGTTATGAAATGAAGTCAGAGAAGTTCTTGTGTTAAACACGTCCCGTCAGTTCAAGTTGGCTAAAGGTTGTAATGAGGTTATAGTGGGCCCTCTCGTCATCCGTCAGCTCCATGTTCCCGGGCCGGACCACCACCACCACGTTGAACCCGGCTTCTTCGGCTGCTTTGGCCTCTGCAAAGACAAACCAAAGAGTTGGGACTGAGCAGAAATCTCTCTTTATAATGACGTCAAATACAAGACATTCCTATTTCCGTTATTAACAACAATTTACACAGACTTTAGCAGGTAAAACTGATTTTAAAAAAATGAAAAAAACCTGTTCCCTGCCATAAATAACATGTAAATCCCAGTAAAAAAGGAAGAAAGTCATAAGATTAAACATTTGAACTAATAGTTTTCATTATGCCAGCTGTACTTCCAGCGCCCGTGGAGGGACGAGACATACAACACCAGAACTGAGTTAGAATTTTAGCATTTTAGCACTTCCAGTTCCCCCATCTGGTAGTCAACAGGTTTGTGGTTAGATGCCTGAAATAAACAGTAAATACCCCTGAAAAATGCATGTGGACAATTTAACATGACTCTTTTTTATGATAATGTTATAAGAGAAAGGCATTCGTTAGATCTTAAGGATACAGACAAAGTGTTTTGGTGAGAAACACTGAATATAGTGTCAACAGAAACTGTGTTTACATGAAAACTCCTCAGGGAACCTTTAACAAGACTTTATCTTTTAACCATGTTTATTGTTGTTTTTACCGTGTTTTATTTAGAAAACTGACTGATTCTCTATGCTGTTCCTGTAAGTGACTTCTTGCCTGGTTTGATCTGCTCGACGCAGCTTGAAAAACCTGATTTCAGCCACGCACACGATTATTACTGGGAACAAATCTGAGCAGCAACGTATTTCACATCCACGACGCTGCCAGCATACTCACCTCGAGTGACGTCTGTCAAGAATGCTATCTCCTCGGGCTGACAGCCAATCCTCTCAGCAATTCTCTCATAGCTCTTGACTTCTACTTTAGCTCCTATACTGGTGTCAAAGTGACCATCAAATAACTGAAATGATAAAAAAAATATATATATATTAATTAGCCAAAATATCAATAACATCAACAGCAACTGCAAAAACAAACAATACAACCAATAAAAAAGGTATTTTCAAAGACAAACAACCTTCTTTGATAAGACAGAAACAAACTAATGTCTGTTTGAATGGAAATATATGAATCTGTAGATGAGTATTAAATACACGATGAGAGAAGTGTTTGTACTTACATCTAAAACATCTCCTTCGACGGAGTATCCAAACAGAAGTTTCTGTGCCTCCACGCTTCCAGAGGAGTAAATATACACTTTTAATCCTTGTTCTTTCCATCTTTTGATGGATGGGATTACATCCTGGTAGATCCTGTTAGGAACAAGACCACAATCAGAAGATAAATTAATAACTTATTTACTTTTTTTTAAGCTTTTTGATCCGGTTTTTGGGTCAAAGAAGTGAATTTGTCAGGGATTTTAGCATGGTTTAGAATTGTTTTATTAGTTCCAGGAGCATTTTCAGAATGGATTATAGTGGTATTGTGATAAATTAACTAATATAAACATATTGATTAACTAATCTAATGTTGATATATCAGTCCATGACCCTTTCTGTATTCTATATCTGCAAACCTCAGTGACTTTAATCTTGTTTGTCACACCACAAACACATAAAATAGCTTTACATGAACAAATAAACATTATTCGGTTTACAGTATTGTCAAACTCATTATCGGGTCTCTAAAATATGAGAAAATTAAACATTTTAAAAAAGAAAAAAAAGTAAACAAACAAAATAAAGCCGATTACAATGTCCTACATCCAAAGCTGACATTTTCAAATTGAATGTTCTGTCCGGCTAAAACTCCCAAAATGTCCAGTTTACTGTCACACAGGCTGGAACAAATTAACATTTAACTTGTTTACTAAAAAAAAAAAAACAAATAAAAGACTAAAACTATTAATTGATTATCAAAATAGTTCATTTTCCCTTGATTGACTGACTATTAATTAACTGTTTCAGCTCTAATTGGTTATATGTATATATATTGACAATTTAATAAACATCACCACAGGCCAGCTTGAATAGCGAGTAATACTGTTTGCTGTATTTGTTTTCCTGTAAATCCGTTGGGGTAAATCCTGGGAGTGGCGGACTCCACCACCACCAATAAAAACTACAATATAGAGACCATAAACTAAGTTAGCATTAAAATATCTCCTCTCCTGGACTTTGGATTAGAAAACCTCTTAAAAAGTTGAGAGTTGTCCTTATGTGACACAAACACACTTTTCAATTCAAACCATGTGAATCTTTACTGTCCAGTAATGATGGAAACGGACGCTCAGAAACAGTCCTGGTTGATTAACTGTTACAGTACATACAATATTTATGTTGAGTATATTTCTGGAAACCTTGCCAAGTCATTACTTAGGCTCGAACAGAGCATCAGCACAAAATGTATGAATATTGAAGTGAGGAAACTGATCAGTGTACTTACTCGCCTTTGATTCTCCCAGAAGAATAAGCCGCCCTCCACATGTGACCCTGGAGCTGTTTGAGTGCTGTCGACTTCCTGTCTGCTGCCATCTGCCACAGCACATTATCCACTACTTCCCTAATGGCCTTCTCCTCGTCTGTGTGGACCGTCTGGTCCACGGTGTGGACGGGGCCCGAACGATTCTGTTTCATGTCCTCTTCAATCTGTCATGACAGTCGGGGCTTTTTATTACGGGAGCATCGAATCAAACTCTTTGCAGGAGCACAACTCGCTTCATGAGTTTTTCATTAGGTTTTCTATTAAATTAATTTAATCAAGAAAGGTTTTTTTTTTTTTATCGTCCACGTTTGCATTTGATATATTCATGAGCACAAAACTTATAAAACTCCTTTTAAGTGCAGCAGTATAATATTATACCTCCTGTTTCAAGTCACATCTTGACATGTTTGTTGTTGTTTTAGTTGAGTGTTTACTTGTTTATACATCCGCACTGTGTGAATACCGTAGGAATTATAATCCTTCTTACACATAGGACCCAATTTTAGGGAAACAAAATGCAACCGGACAAATTAACAAACTAATTTAAATTCATCATGTGTAAAATGTTATTGCAAACAGTTCAACACAGATTGGTTGAAAATGTAGAGCTGAAATGTAAGTGGAAAGAAAATTAATCAGCAACTATTTCGATAATTGATTTATTACTTTTTCTTTTTTTTTTTAAGCAAAAATGCCAAAATTTCGGTTTCTCAAATGTAAATATTTGCTTTTTATTATTATTCTATATGATTATTTCTGTTGGTCAGACAAAACAAGCAACATAAATACGCAAACTTGGAATCTGGGAAATGATGGCATTTTTTAAAAACGTACTTTCTGACATTTTATGGATAAAACAAAATCGATTTAATCAAGAAAATAATGGGTGTGTCATTAGCTAACAGCCCAGATACACTGACATAAACGACGAGGGCCAAAGTCTTCCTCCTCCACTCACTAAGACGTTGACACTAACAGATTATAGCCTAGATATAGATTATAGAACAGAACAGAGCGTAATAAATGCTGATATTTACGTCTTTGTCAGGCTGAATGACAAACTGCAATGACCCTGGAGGGGCAAAAAAAACAAACTTGCATTTAAAATTTGATTAAAATCACTGATGAGTCACATCCATTTACCTGTTTCTTTAAGAGATGGACATCTTGTTTGCACTCGTCTTCTTCCCAGTGAGTGGACAAGTAATCCTCGAGGTGCTCCCTGATGTACGGAAATAAGATATCCTGAAAACAACCACGCAGACTCATTAGGTGTGTTAACAGAGAGGAGGAAAACTAATAAATCAGACACACTACTGGTGTGTATTTATTTACAAAATCCAGATTGAACATATAACCAGTACTTTTTGATTGTTTCATACTTCAGTCATTGTTTGGTGCACAATATACTGACTGTTAGTGTATTTAGGGGTCTGCTTTATACTAATTAATTCCCAAATTAACTGTTATGCTGCGTTCAAGCCGTATGTGATGGATGGTTCAGATGGGAAAGACTTTTAAGGCCAAGTATGAGCACGCGTACAAGGAATTTGACTTTACGTTGCTCTCAATGTACAAACACAGAACAAACACAAACAAACAGGACAACAAGACATTAACAACTATGTACAGTTACACAGATATAAACAAACAATAACATCTGTAGTGCAATGAGTGCAAAGGATGACACTATATACAATATGCACAGCCTGTTTCAACAATGACATAAATAAATAAATAAACAAACAAATAAATAGCTCTGTGATAACAAAGTAGGTTGTGTGAGTTGGAAATATCATGCACTGACAATATAAGAGTGTATTAATCAGACTTTGTGCTTAATTACTGCACATTAAATTAAATAAATAACTGATTTTGGCTGCCAGGAGTTGAGCTGAACGTTATTTTATAGGTTGGCGAAACTTGTAATTACGGTAACTCCGATGTGACTTTGAACGCGGCATTCGGTGTGTTATTATCAGGTTATTACATTTTAAACAAGTTGGTTAACGCAATTAAACACTAAAATGAATAAAAAAGAAACATTACATTGAGGTCTGAGTCTGCTTTAAGCCCATAACAGTCCGTTAGGCCCGTCGTTGAGCTAACATCATTAGCCGACGTGCTATTAACGCATTATAAACACCACGCAGAAAGCAACACTTAAATAAAAAAAAACGTACCTTTACGAACGTAATTGGCGTGGTTGTCCCTTCAATATCCAACAAGAGTGCACTGGTACCAGCAGGAACTGAAACAGAGGCCATTTTTATCTCTTTTAAGGAGTCTTGCAGCCGACGTTAGCTTCAACGAGCAGCAGCAGCAGCAGCGTGTTAAAAGGCAGTGAACGCCGCCCCTCGCTTGCTTCTCCAACCCGGAGCAGGTGAAGCAGAGTAAAGACGAGCTAACTGCCTCTAAATGTGCCCTGTCTGGTTCTGCTGTCGGCCTCTAGCTTGCTGTGACTGCCATCCCCTCGCAGCTAACACTGACTCGCCTCAGAAACAACAGTGAGCACACATGTTCGGGAGGCTGCAGTACCGCCTGGCGCCGGAAGCTCGGCGGGTGGCGCTGCTGAGCGGAGACGCACCAAAAAAATACAAAAAATAAAAAAATAAATAAAAAAAACACACGCGAAGAAGAAAAGCGATGAAAACAAACACGACGCTCACGCATCATCAAAAACTAACCTTTTACCTTCCCGACGCGTCATTTTACCTTAAAGAATAATTTATATTCTACTCAGCGTTTATTTGCATTAATGCAGATTAACCCAGTTTGCTTTTAATAACGCCAGGAGCTAACACATGACAACAGAATATTAGCTAGCCGCTAGCTAGCATCCCGAGCTGTTCGATTCCCGAGCGTTTTAGTTTGCTCTTTAAAAGCCGACCCCCCCCCTCTCTCCTCCTCCTCCTCCTCCTCCTCCTCCCTCCACGAAAACAAACAAACAAACATGTCGGACGACTATGAATTCAGCGACGACACGACCATGATGAGAATGGAGGAGGATGGAGAGGCTAACAGCGACGACCCGATGTCTGCGGCGGGAGACTGTGGCCTGATGGGGGGCGAGGCCGAGGGGTCGAGGATCGACGCCAGCAAAAACGAGGAAGATGAGGGGTACAGTGTTATTACACTCATCTGACTGTTTGAGGATTAGAGGAGGATGAGGAAGATGAGGAAGATGAGGGGTACAGTGTTATTACACTCATCTGACTGTTTGAGGATGAGGAAGATGAGGAAGATGAGGAAGATGAGGGGTACAGTGTTATTACACTCATCTGACTGTTTGAGGATGAGGAGGATGAGGAAGATGAGGAAGATGAGGGGTACAGTGTTATTTACACTCATCTGACTGTTTGAGGATGAGGAGGATGAGGAAGATGAGGGGTACAGTGGCTTATTACACTCATCTGACTGTTTGAGGATGAGGAAGATGAGGAAGATGAGGGGTACAGTGGCGTTTACACTCATGTGACTGTTTGAGGATGAGGAAGATGAGGAAGATGAGGGGTACAGTGGCGTTTACACTCATCTGACTGAGGATGAGGAAGATGAGGAAGATGAGGGGTACAGTGGCGTTTACACTCATCTGACTGTTTGAGGATGAGGAAGATGAGGAAGATGAGGGGTACAGTGGCATTTACACTCATCTGACTGTTTGAGGATGAGGAGGATGAGGAAGATGAGGGGTACAGTGGCGTTTACACTCATCTGACTGTTTGAGGATGAGGAAGATGAGGAAGATGAGGGGTACAGTGTTATTACACTCATCCGACTGTTTGAGGATGAGGAAGATGAGGAAGATGAAGGGTACAGTGGCGTTTACACTCATCTGACTGTTTGAGGATGAGGAAGATGAGGAAGATGAGGGGTACAGTGGCGTTTACACTCATCTGACTGTTTGAGGATGAGGAAGATGAGGAAGATGAGGGGTACAGTGGCATTTACACTCATCTGACTGTTTGAGGATGAGGAGGATGAGGAAGATGAGGGGTACAGTGGCGTTTACACTCATGTGACTGTTTGAGGATGAGGAAGATGAGGAAGATGAGGGGTACAGTGTTATTACACTCATCTGACTGTTTGAGGATGAGGAGGATGAGGAAGATGAGGGGTACAGTGTTATTACACTCATCTGACTGTTTGAGGATGAGGAAGATGAGGAAGATGAGGAAGATGAGGGGTACAGTGTTATTACACTCATCTGACTGTTTGAGGATGAGGAGGATGAGGAAGATGAGGAAGATGAGGGGTACAGTGGCGTTTACACTCATGTGATTGTTTGAGGATGAGGAAGATGAGGAAGATGAGGGGTACAGTGGCGTTTACACTCATCTGACTGTTTGAGGATGAGGAAGATGAGGAAGATGAGGGGTACAGTGGCGTTTACACTCATCTGACTGTTTGAGGATGAGGAAGATGAGGAAGATGAAGGGTACAGTGTTATTACACTCATCCGACTGTTTGAGGATGAGGAGGATGAGGAAGATGAGGGGTACAGTGGCGTTTACACTCATCTGACTGAGGATGAGGAAGATGAGGGGTACAGTGGCGTTTACACTCATCTGACTGAGGATGAGGAAGATGAGGAAGATGAGGGGTACAGTGGCGTTTACACTCATCTGACTGTTTGAGGATGAGGAAGATGAGGAAGATGAGGGGTACAGTGGCATTTACACTCATCTGACTGTTTGAGGATGAGGAGGATGAGGAAGATGAGGGGTACAGTGGCGTTTACACTCATCTGACTGTTTGAGGATGAGGAAGATGAGGAAGATGAGGGGTACAGTGTTATTACACTCATCCGACTGTTTGAGGATGAGGAAGATGAGGAAGATGAAGGGTACAGTGGCGTTTACACTCATCTGACTGTTTGAGGATGAGGAAGATGAGGAAGATGAGGGGTACAGTGGCGTTTACACTCATCTGACTGTTTGAGGATGAGGAAGATGAGGAAGATGAGGGGTACAGTGGCATTTACACTCATCTGACTGTTTGAGGATGAGGAGGATGAGGAAGATGAGGGGTACAGTGGCGTTTACACTCATGTGACTGTTTGAGGATGAGGAAGATGAGGAAGATGAGGGGTACAGTGTTATTACACTCATTTGACTGTTTGAGGATGAGGAGGATGAGGAAGATGAGGGGTACAGTGTTATTACACTCATCTGACTGTTTGAGGATGAGGAAGATGAGGAAGATGAGGAAGATGAGGGGTACAGTGTTATTACACTCATCTGACTGTTTGAGGATGAGGAGGATGAGGAAGATGAGGAAGATGAGGGGTACAGTGGCGTTTACACTCATGTGATTGTTTGAGGATGAGGAAGATGAGGAAGATGAGGGGTACAGTGGCGTTTACACTCATCTGACTGTTTGAGGATGAGGAAGATGAGGAAGATGAGGGGTACAGTGGCGTTTACACTCATCTGACTGTTTGAGGATGAGGAAGATGAGGAAGATGAGGGGTACAGTGTTATTACACTCATCTGACTGTTTGAGGATGAGGAGGATGAGGAAGATGAGGGGTACAGTGGCGTTTACACTCATTGACTGAGGATGAGGAAGAGAGGGGTTTACACTCATCTGACTGTTTGAGGATGAGGAAGATGAGGAAGATGAGGGGTACAGTGTTATTACACTCATCTGACTGTTTGAGGATGAGGAGGATGAGGAAGATGAGGGGTACAGTGGCGTTTACACTCATCTGACTGTTTGAGGATGAGGAAGATGAGGAAGATGAGGGGTACAGTGTTATTACACTCATCTGACTGTTTGAGGATGAGGAAGATGAGGAAGATGAGGGGTACAGTGGCGTTTACACTCATGTGACTGTTTGAGGATGAGGAGGATGAGGAAGATGAGGGGTACAGTGGCGTTTACACTCATCTCACTGTTTGAGGATGAGGAAGATGAGGAAGATGAGGGGTACAGTGGCGTTTACACTCATCTGACTGAGGATGAGGAAGATGAGGAAGATGAGGGGTACAGTGTTATTACACTCATCCGACTGTTTGAGGATGAGGAAGATGAGGAAGATGAAGGGTACAGTGGCGTTTACACTCATTTGACTGTTTGAGGATGAGGAAGATGAGGAAGATGAGGGGTACAGTGGCGTTTACACTCATCTGACTGTTTGAGGATGAGGAAGATGAGGAAGATGAGGGGTACAGTGGCATTTACACTCATCTGACTGTTTGAGGATGAGGAGGATGAGGAGGATGAGGGGTACAGTGGCGTTTACACTCATCTGACTGTTTGAGGATGAGGAAGATGAGGAAGATGAGGGGTACAGTGGCGTTTACACTCATCTGACTGTTTGAGGATGAGGAGGATGAGGAAGATGAGGGGTACAGTGGCGTTTACACTCATCTGACTGTTTGAGGATGAGGAGGATGAGGAAGATGAGGGGTACAGTGTTATTACACTCATCTGACTGTTTGAGGATGAGGAAGATGAGGAAGATGAGGAAGATGAGGGGTACAGTGTTATTACACTCATCTGACTGTTTGAGGATGAGGAGGATGAGGAAGATGAGGAAGATGAGGGGTACAGTGGCGTTTACACTCATGTGATTGTTTGAGGATGAGGAAGATGAGGAAGATGAGGGGTACAGTGGCGTTTACACTCATCTGACTGTTTGAGGATGAGGAAGATGAGGAAGATGAGGGGTACAGTGGCGTTTACACTCATCTGACTGTTTGAGGATGAGGAAGATGAGGAAGATGAGGGGTACAGTGTTATTACACTCATCTGACTGTTTGAGGATGAGGAGGATGAGGAAGATGAGGGGAGTGGCGTTTAATCATCTGACTGAGGATGAGGGGTACAGTGGCGTTTACACTCATCTGACTGTTTGAGGATGAGGAAGATGAGGAAGATGAGGGGTACAGTGTTATTACACTCATCTGACTGTTTGAGGATGAGGAGGATGAGGAAGATGAGGGGTACAGTGGCATTTACACTCATCTGACTGTTTGAGGATGAGGAAGATGAGGAAGATGAGGGGTACAGTGGCGTTTACACTCATTTGACTGTTTGAGGATGAGGAAGATGAGGAAGATGAGGGGTACAGTGGCGTTTACACTCATCTGACTGTTTGAGGATGAGGAGGATGAGGAAGATGAGGGGTACAGTGGCGTTTACACTCATTTGACTGTTTGAGGATGAGGAAGATGAGGAAGATGAGGGGTACAGTGGCATTTACACTCATTTGACTGTTTGAGGATGAGGAAGATGAGGAAGATGAAGGGTACAGTGGCATTTACACTCATCTGACTGTTTGAGGATGAGGAAGATGAGGAAGATGAGGGGTACAGTGGCGTTTACACTCATCTGACTGTTTGAGGATGAGGAGGATGAGGAAGATGAGGGGTACAGTGGCGTTTACACTCATCTGACTGTTTGAGGATGAGGAGGATGAGGAAGATGAGGGGTACAGTGGTTATTATACTCATCTGACTGTTTGAGGATGAGGAAGATGAGGAAGATGAGGGGTACAGTGGCGTTTACACTCATTTGACTGTTTGAGGATGAGGAAGATGAGGAAGATGAGGGGTACAGTGGCATTTACACTCATTTGACTGTTTGAAGATGAGGAAGATGAGGAGGGAGGAAGGTGGGGGTACAGTGGCATTTACACTCATCTGACTGAGGATGTTGAAGATGAGGAAGATGAGGGGTACAGTGGCGTTTACACTCATCTGACTGTTTGAGGATGAGGAAGATGAGGAGATGAAGGGTTTAAATGTTTGGGGGGGGGAGATGAGGGGTACAGTGGCGTTTACACTCATCTGACTGTTTGAGGATGAGGAAGATGAGGTGACTGTTTGAATTAACCTCCACACTTAAAACTTGTTTAATGAAACAGTGTTAAGCCGATATATATGGAAGCACATTTCTGCCAAGGTGACGGAAAAATAAGGATTGTGTGTCTTTATAGTGAGAAAGTTGACTTAACATCTAAAATTATCACTTAATATCTCAAAATAATATCAGAGTTTCTCGATATTGTTGATTGAGTATCTCAAAATAATCACTAAGTACCTAAAATAATCACTTAATATCTAAAAATATTGACATAATATCTCAAATTAATACCAAAGTTTCTCAATATTTTTGAAAATAATCACTTAATATCTAAAAATAACAAGAAACCTTCTCAATATTTTGACTTAGTGTCTCAGAAAAGTTATTTTGAGAAAGTTTCTCATTATAATAACATACAGAATCTTTTTTTTATGCCGTCACATTGGTGGAAATGTGCTTCCATACTATTAAGATACTATACCAGTGTTGTAAACACCTAAATAAGTGCTGCTTTTTTTCTTATTTATGGGCCCTTAAATGTGCTGTTTCTCCAATAGGAAGATGTTTGTAGGAGGGCTCAGCTGGGACACGACCAAGAAGGACCTGAAAGATTACTTTTCCAAGTATGGGGAGGTCGTAGACTGCACATTAAAACTGGACCCCATGACTGGCCGTTCGAGGGGCTTCGGCTTTGTGCTCTTCAAAGAACCAGAAAGTGTTGACAAGGTATAGTTCAGTATTTACACTGTATGCATGAACTGCAAACCAAGGTACTGGGTGCTGACTTAAACTGTTAAATAAAGCTGTCAAATAGGGAATTAATCTTAATCATCAGGTTCAATAGTTAATTGGCAACTATATGAACTTTTCTAGTTAAAAAAAAGCCAAATATCTGCTGTTTCCAGCTGCTTTTATCTGTTTTAATTGATTATAAACTGAATATCATCGAGTTTATTACTGTGAATAAGTCACCTTTCACTCTATGAACTTCAATTGGGGACTTTTTTGCAACTTTTTGACATTTAATGGGAAATAATATTAATTATTTAATTGATACATTGATACAGACGTTGTTAATTGATACTTAGAGATTATTTTTCTGTATGACCCTCTTTTGTCACAAAGGTGGCCTCACAGAAGGAACATAAACTCAACGGAAAGGTCATTGACCCCAAAAAAGCCAAGGCCATGAAGAGCAAGGAGCCCGTAAAGAAGATCTTCGTTGGAGGTCTCTCTCCAGACACTCCTGAAGAGAAAGTCAGAGAGTACTTTGGTGCCTTCGGAGAGGTAGGTTCACTCCCAGATTCAGCGTTTCCTTTTTATAAACACAATTGAACAACAATAAATACGATTTGTATACATTCATTGATAACGTGAACAGGTGGAGTCAATTGAGCTTCCCATGGAGAACAAAACAAACAAAAGAAGAGGCTTCTGCTTCATCACATTCAAAGAGGAGGATCCAGTTAAGAGCATCATGGAGAAAAAATACCACAACATTGGATTAAGCAAGGTACAGGCTCTGTATTCTCTCACATAAAGCTTTATTACGTGGTTGTACACATATTTTAGTGACTTTTATAACCGACACATGATCGCTGTGACAATAAATCACGTTAACCGGTGTCCCTGTAGTGTGAAATAAAAGTGGCGATGTCCAAGGAACAGTACCAGCAGCAGCAGTACTGGGGAGGCAGAGGTGGATACTCGTACTCATCCAGGTCTCGAGGAAGAGGTGGTGGTGAGTGGAAAACGTGAAATAATGCTTCCTGTTCAGCTTTTTGAATTCACATTAAAATTAAATTCTGTAATAAAGTAAATTCTGACAGATGAAACTTTGGAGGGAGAAGACTTAAACTGTTTAATTATGTCTCTAATTGTTCACTTTCTTAGCTTAGAGTTAGCTGAGATCAACATCAATCTCATGTCTGTAGAGTCAGGCAGTGAGCTTAGCGTAAACACTAGAAATGGGGAAATAGCTTAGCACCTCTAAAGCTCACTATTGAACACAAAAACAGAAGAGTAAAAGAGGTTTCATGGGAAGTTGTTTAAAAGACTGGCACATAACTTCCCATAAAACCACAACATGTTGTTTTTTACTCTGAAGATTTTGTACAGATTGATGCTTCATCTGAGGATTGAGAGGTTAAAGTGTAACTGAACCCCTAAATTCTGCTAGCTCCCTCCCTCTCAGCACATTTTTAAAAATGCAGCAGAAGACGTCACAGGAGAATCATCATCATCATCATCTTCATCATCAGCCGGGCCAGAGTGACAGACGGACCACTCAATGCAGCAGAGTCCGCCGGAGCTTTCACGGCCACTAGAAACACATTCACGGCTGTTTTCTAAAAAGTCTCTACCTGTGTCGTGACGTTAGTTAGCGGCTCAAAGAGGCTCAAAGAGGGAGTGTCGGGGTGTCTGCAGAGTCGGGACGTTTGTTTTATAGGAGGGGACGAGGAGGGACGAAAGCTGGCAGCGCACACGTCGCCTGCTTCCACATCGGAAGCCGGATTTCAACCAGTAGAGGGAGGTCGCTGTTCATATTTAGCATCATCTGTAAAAATTCAAATAATAAAATGCACTAAAATGTCAATTAGCAACTAAATACCTATTTGCATAGGCGGTTTGGGGGTTTAGTTACTCTTTAAGGCACAGACCGTGAACCGCAACCTCCAGACAAACATGGAAAGCTTTTAATGTCTTCTGTTTAACTACAGGTCCCAATCAGAATTGGAACCAGGGTTATGGCAACTACTGGAATCAAGGCTATGGAAATTATGGGAATTATGGTTACAATAATCAAGGATATGGAGGCTATGGTGGCTATGATTACCCTGGTTACAACAACTATTATGGATACGGTGACTACAACGGTAAGTTAATCCATCAGTGAAACACCTTGATGAGCTTCACTTTCATGTTAATTATTCCATTTAGTTTCACTTTTGAAAGGATAAAAAAAAAAAAAAAAGTTGTGCCACACTTGCAGATCAATCTGGTGGATATGGCAAGTCGCCACGGCGTGGTGGTCACACCAACAGTTACAAGCCGTATTAATGGGGGAAACCCTCCTCTTCAAGTAGGTATGTAAAACCAAAAATACACTACTTACTGTAAACTTAATTTAGTCATATTTACTTTGCTGTTTGGTTACATTATGTGTAATTTCCTCTTGTAAATTTCTTTTTCTCAGCACCCTCAAGTGCTTTACAGTAGTGGTAACATAGAGGCTACACTCTTGTGGCGATTATTTTAACAGCTGGCCTTCTGCTGCCTCTTTTGCACCTTCTTTTTTTTAAACTGTAAAGTTAACAGGTAAAGTACTGCTACTACAGTAAATGGATGCCAAAGTTAAGGATGTGCAAGGAAACAGAAAAGGAAGTATGTTGTCTCCTAACTCTGACATACCTTGTTTGTACCTGCCAGCGGAGCTTCCTTGCAGGCCATGAGCTGACTCCCAGATACTCTCAGGGCCCGCTCAATGCGGACCGGGTACGAGAAGCATACGCTCTCGAATGCTGCCATTTGGTATGGTCTTACAACATCCTGTATCAGCATTTCTAAACTAAAAACAATATGGGACACGTCCAGCTTTGTCATCTTTCTTTCCATTTTTAATTTGTTTGCAACTGTTTGTAATGTAAAAGTTAAAAATATACACATGTAATTGTCATTTTTTACAGGCCCTTACTCCCCCCCACAAGTAATGATTATAAATATGAAAAAATAACTATTTGCTTTTCAAAGGATACGTACAGCATTCTCTGGACTTCCCAGTTCCTATTGTTAATATATGCATTCCTAATCTTATCTAAAATGCTTGTTTCTTTATTTAGCTCTTGTAGCCAGTAGTCCATGAGCTAAAACCTGGTTCGTAGTTGGACTCTACTGTGTTGGGGGATAAAGTGCTTTACTTTGTGTACATGTACTGCTCTGTTTTGTCTTACTGACAGCGATGGAAAACAACTCCTCCCTTTTGTTAATTTTCCTGTAATGAATTTTCCTCTTATAACCTTTTGTAAAACCAGAAGTGTCACTACATTTGCAGAAATTTGCATGTAATGCTTTCTTTAATGTGTATTTTTTGACCAATCAAAGGTTTCTTCCATTTTAATATTTTGGCTTTGACCGCTTCAATTTATTGCACTTCAGGATTTCTAGCTTATGGACTAACTATTACTTTTTTTTAAACTGTAAACAAAATGTTAAAATAATTGTTCTCAGTTTGTTTTTTTTTTTTTTTTTTACATTGGACATTATAAACACGGGGGATTCCTATTTTTTTTCTTCTTATAATTTAACCATTTTTTTGTTCATCCAGAGCTGATTTGTGTCTGTTTGTTTTTTGTAGGTGTCAGCGGTCGGAGCTGGTTGGAGCATTTGGCCACAGAGAGATGATGGTATCCAGCAAAGATCACTAGCTGATTGTAAGAGAATAAATGAAGAGCACTATGACCTACAGCACATTTCCCCCTCTACATTTAACGAAGTATTTGTTGTATCTTAAAAGAGTTTTGGATTTTTGATGTTTTGCATTTATTTTAGAAGACTGCAACGTTTTCGAGCAGTTCGCGTTCCTCATCCCTTTCTGGTTTTTGTATTTATTGTTCTCATATGCTATTTGTGAATTGCTTCGTTTTATTACATTACTGCAATGTTAGATTGGTTGGAACAGATCACACACATATATATACAGTACTGTGGTAGCAAAGATATCAAATACGTTGTTGCATTTTATCTGCTTAATCATAGTCATCAGTCATATAATACATATGTTATTACAGAATCATAAACATACAGTATATATATATATATATACACACAGGTAATTATACATAAAGAAATGCAATATAATAAAAATAATAAACACTCATTTGGATTTGTGATCCTTTATGAAATATTAATAGAGTCACGTCACATGACTGTTGGAGTGTTCAAGGAAGTATTTCAGCCGTGTTTCTGGCGATTTGAGCTCCGCCGCTCTGAATTTTATATCCACATCATCGCAGATAAACCTGATCAATACAAAACATTTCTCCTTTTGAATTTACACAAAATATTTGAGCTGAAATGATCAGAGGCTCAGATCAGAGCAATCAGATGTCTGCAGGTTGAGCTTCATCCACCAGTTTGATTGCTTTCAGTCCTGAGCTGGTAGTAAAAGGAGTGCCGATAGGATTTATATTACATTGGTGGCAAAGAGGATGATGAGGATAACGATGATCAGCACAATCACGCCGATTATAATCATCATTTTAATGTTTTTCCACCAGTATTTCCTGGCAACCCTTGTGGATGTTCTTTGGAACGAGTCAGCCTGAAAAAAGAAAGATAACGGAAACCTAATAAAACACCAGCGATGGAAGAAGCACCCGCATCCTTTACTTAAAGGGGAACTCCACCGATTTTACATATCAGTGTCTGCTTACAGGTCTTTGGGAGTTCTGACTAACAGTTGTAGGAAATATTTTGTGGCTCCGCAGAGAGCTGCACACAATCTGAGGAATTTGGTGTCGGGTCTGAAGAGAATAGAATTTGAAAAGTGAAAATAATCTGTGTGTGCAGAGGTAGAAAGAGCTTATTAGACCTCTGCAGCTGCTCCTCATCTCTGCTTGAGGCTACATTAGCTGCTATAAGCATAAACACCTGAATTACTGTCAGTTGCATTGTGGGTAATGTAGGCACCAGATTTTGATCCCGTGTGGAATAAAAAGAAAGACGATATGTGAATCAGCTCTGATCCTTTTTTCTCTGATCTATCCGCCATCGCTCTGACAATGTTATTAGACCGCAGTGACACATCGGTGGAGTTCTCCTTTAAGTAAAAGTACCAATACAGTAATGTGAAAGTGTAGTCCTACTCAAGGGAAAGTATAGACGTATTAACAACAACATTTAACTAAAGTATCGAAGTTAAAAACACTTTGAAAAGGGATCGATTAATATACTGGTGTTATTATACATGACATTGTAAATACTGAATCATTAATGTTAAAGCAGCATTTGGGGTTTTAATTTACGGGGTTTTAAGAGGATTAATAGGAGGGCGTTTGGGTGTTTTGGAACATTCGTAATTTAATACTGAGGCCTCTATATGACATAAACAAGACCATCAGAGAGAAGATTTCTATGTTGTTGTTCTTAATGGCTGCCACATGTCAATTAAACACTACTGCTTGCGTCCACAGGGGCCGCCAGAATCAACACTAAATGAAAATCCCTGGTTGCTGCTTTAAATATTGGTTGATTTCACCACTTCGGTCCTCAAACAGTTATTTAAATGAAACCATTATGTAGTATAAAGTAGCAAGTATCTCAAAATGAAGCACAGTACTGGAGCCCTGTTGTTTTTATTCTGATCGAATACTCACCGACGCCTGCAGGTCATCAGTCTTGCCGATCAGGTCGTCTAACCTGTCGCCTCTCTCCAGCACTTTGCTGATGTTGTCTTTCAGGATGACTTTAACCTCGTTGACCTGACCTTGCACTTGGTCGAGTTTGGCCGACGAGCCAGTGGCCGTGTGCTGGGCGTTTGGGTCAGCCTGTGGGAAATGAGGGCAAATCATGTGAACCGGACTCAACAGCAACCTCTGGAGTCTCCACTCTGAACGACCAAAACTTTCACTTCCTGCATCTGATATAACAGGAAAAGATAGCCGAGGCCTGTGTGATTGTTAGAAGGAAACTTCAAGCTACCGCAGTTACAAAGTAAACCTGGTTAACAAACATTGACAGACCTGGAGAGAATCACTTTAGATGATTACAGGAAAAACAAGCAGTGATATCTGAAAAAAGAACTAGGTCTAAAGCGTCAATGACAGTGTTTAAAAAGGACACAACTTACCATAGCAGCACTGTTCCTCAGTCACAACCAACAAAACAACTTCATACAAAGTTTAAAAATCCTCCTCACAAAGTCCTGTTATGCTGTCCTGCCTGTATAATAAACACACACAGAGACCTGTGCTCCTTGTGACTGCATGAGTCATACAGTAAGAGCTGACCAAACGTCTGCTGAAGGTTGCACCTTTCCTGAGTTATTCATTAACTAACCTCAATCAAAGTCCCATTAGCTCAACAGGAGCCAGGCGAAAAAGAAGCACCCCCCCGATCCTGAAACATGCACTGTCTCCATTTCCTGCACAACAGAGTTAACCCGATAAAGTTTTTCTGTGTGGTTGTACGTACCATCAGCGGCGGATTCAAGGGCAGAGCTGAACGGTTGTGTCTGACCAAGAGGGCTCTGTTTTCAACACTGATATTTGCAAGGCAATAAAGGGGTGAAGTCACTCTGTTGCTTCACTTCCATTTCCTCATCCTGTGCTGTGCGGCTTGTTTAGCAGTAAAGGAACCACAGCCTCGCAGTCTGTATGCAAATAGGCTTCATTTATGTCGATTTGAAGCCAAAGTTTTAGCTTCGAGGATTATGTGTATTAAATTACTACATTAGTTATGTGCAAGAACCATATCTCATAAGGAATAAATATGTTACTTCACCTGCCAGCGGTTTGTAATCTAAAGTAATCTGTGTTAATAGAACTGACAGAAAGAGAAGAAGCATTCAGATCTGTTGCTTTAAGTAAACGTAGCACCAGTACTTCTGCAATGTTACTCTAAAGTAAAAATATAAAAGTTTTATTAGCAAAATGTACTTAAAGTATCAAAAGTAAAACTATTCAATGCAGACAAATGTCCCTGATTACTATTAAATATATATGTTTTGGATTACTGTGACTTTAATGTTAAGTAGAATATTACTGTTGTTGTTGGTTGAGGTGGAGCTAATTTAATTCATGTTCAGATATATTCAAATATATATGCTGTTTGGTAGTTTAATCTATTAAAGTGGAACATATTTTATAAACTTGTATTATGTGTTATATGTATAATCTTAGCAGAAGAGTAAAAATCTAAAGTAGTATTAAATGTAAACACTTCAATGTTAGCATTCAGCAATTGGCTGATCCCAAATATGTTGGGATCTGCTGAAGGAGGCAACAGTGCTTCAATCACACGCAGTAACTTTAATGTGGCTCTAACTCAGTGCTCTTTGTCCTGTTTCCTTTCATGCATTGCAACACAGAAACCAAAATGTGGGTAACAGTGTATCATCAGGGAAGTGGAGAGCAGGGTGGGGAGGGAGATCACAGGGACTGTGAGCCTGTGTAGTGGTGGGGGAAGTATTAAGATCCTCAACAGTGGTATGTTGGAAGGAGAGCCGTATTCTCTGCAGTCTGACGCCACTAAAGCTCCAGTGTGAAGCTTTTAACAGCATCTAGCGGTGGAGTTGCACATCGTTGGTTCTACAGATGGACTTCCTAGATAAAGAGGATCTGGTCATGAGTCATGCAAACTGAACGTTGGGAGTGTGCTGCACTGAAGGAATGTGAAGACAAATTAAGACTGAGATAAATGAGTCTGCAATGGGCAATAAGACGCCGTAACTGCGCTGTATGTGAGTTGTTACAGTGGTGGAAGATTGTGGAAATACTCCACTACAAGCAAAAGTCTTATTTAAGAAAAAGTATGCAAGTGTTATTAGTATGTAACACTAATATATAATACACAAATACATAATATACTTAACAGGAAGATCCATTATAGATGTGTTCTGCCTGTTTCTGACTCTGGAGGTGTTTAAGTCCTTAATGGAGGTGATCTGAAGTTCAATATTTCCCTCTGAGATGTTGTTTTTAACATCAGAAACAACTTGAATTAAAACTTTATTAACAAACAGGCAAACATGGACAGAGTATGGGAGTATTAAGAGAAGCACATTAAGATAAGATGTTCCTATATTGATCCCCATATAATTTAAAGAGAGCAAAGAGCAGAAAAAAAGGATAAAAATACAATACAATAAATAAAAATATAGAATTGTATATGTATGTACAATAAAGTGTAATATAGTCTGTATTTACAATGTATTATCAAAAAAAAAAAGGATTTGGATTAATTATTATTTAACTTTAATTATTATAAAACCTTTAGATTTTAATATAAAAACAGAAAGAAATTAAGTTTTTTTTTTGTCATTTTTATGAGCATACATTATTAAATAAAGGTACATTATAACAGAGGATGTACTCCGGACTTCAAAATAAAATCTTTAGAAGGTAAAACATTAGAAACTACAACTCGGCGACATCTTGAGGCTGCCCGAGCTGCTGCCTGAAGGACTTTGCTCTGATAAACAACCGAGCTGGACCCCACACATCCTCCGGCACACAGAGACCCACCGGGGAGGACGGCAGTGCTTAAAGTTTTGTAGTTTTATGATCATATTTGAGGAAAAACTTCGGATGAAAAGTTGCATCCGTCGTTTGTCCATCAAACTGCGGAACTTTGTGCAGCTGCAGCCGAGCTCAGCCTGCAGGAGTTAATGATTGCAGTCTGTTATTAACCATCAGACACCACCAGAGTCCACTTTCACTTCAGACCCAGTCTCAGTCCGCCTCAGTCCGCCTCCAGCCTCCTTTCAACTCTCCTGCACCGACCGACGAGCTGAAGATGAACCCCAGCGGGAGCCGTAACGGGAGGACTTTCCTCTTCACATCCGAGTCTGTTGGAGAGGGACACTCCGGTACTGTGCCCCCCCTTTTCTGTTCAGCAATGTGTGCAGGGACCAGGGTCTGGACCCGGTCTGGACCCGGTCTGGACTCAGTGTCTGTCTGTGTTACAGCCTGTAGTGTGCAGACCCTTCAGTAAAAATACATAAATGCACATTAAATCAGTTCCTTTTCTGTCATTAAATGCTATATTTTATAGATATTTCACATTATATTTAATGCATTACAATAACAGGAGAGAACAAACTGCACAGTAACTGCAGGAAGGTTGTGAGCAGATTGTTTAATATCGCATTAGAGATTAGTTTTCCTGATATTTTAGGGGATTATTTATTCTGTATTGTGTGTTTTTTCTCAGTTTTTAAGATTCCTAAATACTTAATAGGCCTCGTTGTCTGTCTGTGATACAGTCAGTGTTCAGACCCTTCAGTAAAAAAACATCACTGTACATTAAAGCCAACCTTTTTCCTTAAAGGACTCCTTTTCTATCATTTAATGGATATTTCATATTTTATTTAAAACTGTACAATGAACCCAAACATCCCATTTGGATGAATTTTAAGTTCCAAACCTCGGTTAAGATTGAAATGATTTAATTATGTGACTCAGATTTAATGTCTACAGGCGTGTAAACACTACTATTTAACCATCTAGAGGCACATAGAGGTCAGTTTTGTTGTAGCCTGCAGGACAGCTGATACGGTGCATTAGGTTTAACCGTAGGAGGATTCAGGGCACAGCTTTTGTTTTTTGTCTCTAACTAAAGTGATTTCCAGTTTTGTGACTTTTTTTTTTAGGACAAATTCTTTGAAAAAACAATGAGAACATGTCCTCGGTGTCCTCGGTGTCCTCGGTGGTAGCCAAGGCCCTCACAACATTGTTAATTCATATACTTTATACGTGTAGTTGTGTGTGTTTTACCTCTCTGACTTTGTGCTCACAGATAAAATGTGTGATCAGATCAGTGACGCTGTACTTGATGCGTACCTGAGTCAAGACCCCGACTCTAAAGTGGCCTGTGGTACGTATCCTGACCTATCAAGGATCAATTTATTTCTTATTATACAAGATTATACAACAGACATTAAAGTTTGTAGTCTCTTCATGCTACACACAAAGACCACAATGGATGATTAAATGTATTTATTTACAGAATAACATAAAATAAATAATATAATATAATATAGATATTATCATATTACTCTAATTAGCCAGGTTTCCATCCAAATGATTCCTAATATTAATATAACAGCAGTATATGAGCTTTAATTAGCATTTTCTTTTGCTGATTTTTTTAGACATTATGAAATTTTAAAAACAATATTTACATATTTATTGATTATGGGTTTTTCAGTGAGGTAGAAGAAATAGATTTCTTTTAACGAGGTAAATTCACTTTTTTCTTTAAAAATCATCAAAGTCATTAGACACAAATTATTATTCAGTGTTTTTATATGTCTTTAGGGGATATTTAAGTATTTATTGATAAAAACTTCTTATGTTGTGAATAGTTTACATAAAAAAAAAAAAACCATAACTGTAGCAATTAAATAAAACCCCAATTAATGTAATGTCTTGTTTTGAGGCTTTACAGGAACCCAGAAATCTTTAAACTATAACCATCACAAATATGGCAGTAATATATATTTTTATATATATAGTAATATAGCTGTCAATACTTGTATGAATCATAGTTTCAAAGTTATATTGATATTTAATGATTAAACAACCATTTATCTCAGACTTTTGTCCTCCAGACCAAAGTTCAGTTACAGCTTTATTGTGTCCACTGACTGTTACCTCCTCTCTGGCACTGCCTTTACATAATCTCTGTCACTTCTGTAATGTTTTTATGTATTAATATGTATTATATTGTCTTGTATTGTTCTTGTAATACTTATTGAACTTATTATAATATCTGGCACTAATTTGTTATAACCTGCCCAGGGACTAATGGAAAATTGGATGGAAATTAGCACATTTACAGTAATGTTGATTAATGAGAGTTGTCCCTGGTAAGTAAATAAATAAATACAATTTGCTCTACATTTGAAACAAACACTAAATAGTCAGATTCTTGTAAAAACATGTTTTGTTACAGAATGCGTGGCGAAGACGGGAATGATTTTACTGGTTGGAGAAGTGACATCTAAAGCCAAAGTGGACCTGCAGTCAGTGGTCCGAGACACCGTGAAGGCGATTGGCTACGATAAGTCCTCCAAAGGTACATCAATGTGGGATTCAGCGTTTTTATTCAATAACTTTAAAGCGAATGAGGTGTTTGAGTCCCCGCTGTGATCTGCAGGTTTCGACTATAAGACCTGCAACGTGCTGCTGGCTCTGGAGCCGCAGTGTGCCGAGATATCAGACTGTGTGTTCGAAGGCAGGGACCAGGAGGACATCGGTGCCGGAGACCAGGTTCAGTATTTGAGCTTTAAACCCTCAACTTTATCCAAACTACCATGTTTCACCTCCTGGATTTACTGTTATTATTCATGTTTTATGTTATTAAGATGGTTGTAAAAAGGAGCCAAAGTACATTTGCAGTATAATCCAATATAATGATTATTATAAATCATTATAGTTTATGAGCTGCTACACTTTTTATTTAATATATTTAATATGAATGAAACTAAAACATTTCCTTAGGCAACAACTTGTTTTAAATTAAACAATATTAAACTGACCAAACAGTGGACTCAGGAACTGTGTTGTGAGTCTTTGTGAAGGAGAAATCATAAGAATATTGGACAAAGGGAGGTTTTAACCAGATGGTGGCACTAGAGTAAAAGTCAGGGGTTTACAAAAATGTATTAAAATAAATCCTGAAGGGAACATGAATGTCTGTATTTAATTTAATTGTAATAAGTTGTTGAGACTTTTCACTCATGGAGCCGTTAAGGGAAAAGTCACCATTCAAAAGCTCTTTTTTTTCAGTTGTATTTCCTTTGATATAAAGATTGTAATTTAAATTTGAAGGAAAACGTTTGAGGTGGCTGCTCAGGCTGCGTCTTTACCAGCTGTTTGTCTCTCCAGGGTTTCATGTTCGGCTACGCCACGGATGAGACAGAGGAGTGCATGCCCTTAACCATCCTCCTGGCTCACAAACTCAACTACAGGATGAAGGAGCTGTCACGCAACGGAGAGTGTCCCTGGATCCTACCAGACGCCAAATCACAAGTGAGCCACATCAGAAGGAGAAAAATGGAGGGATTTTAAACTGTTGGTTTCAGGATCGACCGTGAACTGCAACGCTCCCGGTCTGACTCTGGTCTTTGCTGCATTCCCCCTCTCTCTGCCCGCATTTTCTGTCTAATAAAGGCCTCAAAATGCTTCAAAAAGTCCTCTACATCTTCACTCTACAGTTGAAGCTCTATGTCCTGTTGCCTGCAGGTCACAGTGGAGTACAGAGACAACATGGGAGCCATGGAGCCGCTCCGCGTTCACACCGTGGTCATCTCAGTACAACACAGCCCGGACATCAGCCTGGAGGAGATCAGATGCAATCTGATGGAGAAGGTGGTGAAGGTCATCATTCCTGCCAAGTACTTGGACGCCAAGACCATCTACCATCTCCTGCCGAGTGGGAAGTTCCTTTTGGGTGGTCCACAGGTGGGTAAAGGCCGACCTCTCCCCACAGAGGGAAACGTGTGGTTGTCGGTGTGCGTGGGCAAGCAGGAGTTAACCGACGGTTTTTGTATCTCCAGAGTGACGCAGGACTCACAGGGCGTAAGATCATAGTGGACACTTACGGAGGATGGGGCGGGCACGGAGGAGGGGCTTTCTCTGGAAAAGACTACTCCAAAGTGGATCGGTCCGGAGCGTACGCGGCTCGCTGGGTCGCCAAGTCCTTGGTCAAAGCGGGACTGTGCAGGAGAGCCCTCGTTCAGGTGAGGACGTTTAAATAACAACACTACTGCCATTTTATTCCTCAGTGGAAGTGGATGTTTTTGGACATATTTATAAAAACAGCAGCAAAGTTTGTTGTAACTTTGTTGTAAATAGTTGGCTGCTGAACTATTAACCGCATGAATTGTACTAGTTTGGACCTAGTTTGGTACTAAACTGAACTAAACGCCATGTTTATCTACAGCTAGCCACCGCAGTTTCTCCTGCACACTTCACTTCACAGCCCGTTCTCATTCCCAGGGCGTCAAATACAGACACGAGAGGTGTTCAGTTAGCTGCAATCTGCAACTTCACCTGTAGAGGCCACTAAATCCTCCACTGGTCCTTACATAATCTAACACGTAGGCTACATTGTTAACCACTCCTATAAATGATGATAATAATAAAAAAAGAAAAATAAACAGCTAAACAAAGTTTTCTCATTGTCGTATATCGGGTGACAATACGCCGATACGATACCGATATATCTTTAATTCATTCTTAATAAACTCAGAAACTGTATATGAGGTAAAAGCAGAAGATTTCCTGATGAGTGAAAGCCTCGTTGTCTGTTAACTCCCCTCAGATCTCCTACGCGATCGGTGTGAGCCATCCGCTCGCCATCTCGGTGTTTCACTACGGCACGTCGAACAGGGACGAGGACGAGCTGCTGCAGATTGTACAGAATAACTTTGACCTCCGTCCTGGAGTCATTGTGAAGTAGGTGTAGTTCTTCCTCCATGGAAACACTCTGATTCTCTCAGTATAACAACAATATAGTCTAATGTTGGCTGTGTGTCTTGTACAGGGAGCTGGGGTTGAAGCGGCCCATCTACCAGGCCACTGCCTGCTACGGACACTTTGGCAGAGACGAGTTCCCCTGGGAGAAACCAAAGCCTCTGGTGTTTTGAGTTTGGGGGTCGATCACGTTCCAGTTTTAAAACAATCCAGAGGTCCAGTTTGAGTCCGAATCCACATCAGCTGAATACAACTGAAACATAAATGTCTTTAAACGGTGCAGTCACAGCCGTTGTGGGTTCTTTTTAAAATCATGATTGAGGTACTTTCCTGTAAGAGAAACTGTAGTTATTTTTTAAAGATAATTATGCAATAAATGTGACATTTTTTTTAGAGAATCTTTAAGTAACTGATCTGAGACACAACTTTATAAAAATCATGTATTTTGGTAAAATAATATTTGATGATTAAAAAGTTGCAAAAGACTCCCTGAAGCACTTCATTTTAAATGTTCAGTACTTTTATGTCACTCGAGTATTTCCATTTGATGCTACTTATAGGGTTGGCTGTTTTTATGGATAGTGATTAATAGTTATCTTAGTTTGATCATTGATTGATTATGAAAACTTTATGATCTTGAAACCTAAACATGAAAAAAAGAATCCTCAGAGGGGAATCCTCTCAAATCGGGGGTCCGTGGTCAAACGTGTCTATTGTTGGGGTCATTTGACTACTTTTTACTTCACTACATATATTTGACAGCTAAAGTTACTTTACATGAGTTGCTGCTCCTTTTTTCCTCTAACATCCCTTCACTGATTGTGTTTAAAGGTTTTCTACTCCCGGCTCTTCCATGAAGGTTTTATTTGTGCAAGCAGCTCTGGACGGTGAACTCCAGATTAAAGTTCCTGCAGGTTTTTCTGGCTCTCCCTCGGAGGTTCTAATCTGCCTTTCTGACCAGCGTACGAACAGTTCTCTCTAGTTTTCTTGGTTTTCCAGATCTCATCTTGACCTCCAGTTCCCCTGAACTGCTGTCTCTTAATTATTTCACACGGTGGAAACTGCCAGCTGACCTTGCTTTGCTATGTTCTTGCAGTCTTCCTGTAGCTGCTTAGAGGAACTCAGGGTTGATGTGTGTTCAGCAAGGTTTTAAAAAGTATTTCTAAAGGCTTAAAACTGGCACCAGCTGATATTTCCTAATCACTATTGTAACAAACTGCAGAACTCTTAGGTTGCCCAAACTCTTGCACAGGCCACAATAATGCTTTTATTTATGTTCAATTTATGAAATAAATCAATCAACTGTAGGAACAAGAAGAGAAACATATTATAGTTTATTTTTAAATGAATTTAAAAGAAAGCAACTGAAATAAAAACAACAACATCGTATTGTAAATAAATACTATTTATTGAAAATATTGCATGTAGTCAATCTAAAACAAGGACTTGTTTTCCTTTATTAACAACATAAAGTGAAGTTGACCACTCAGACTACAGCCCTCATCATAGTTGGAATGAAAATCAAGTACAAGTCTTCTTCCAGTTTTCCTTCTGAGGTCGGATTAATTAGCAGACAATTAACCTCAAATGCCGTTGAAAGAAGGCTGTTAGCGTTTCTGTTTGTTTAAGCATGCATACTTTAAAATTCCATAAAAGCACAGTCTCTTTAAAAATCCATTGCACTCTGCTGAGCTTCATGATTACACTGAAAAAAACAAAACAAGGATAAAACAAATAAAAACAAATTAAAACGACATGAAAACGTCCTCAACGAATGGGACTGCGTTGCTTTGCATTGACATATCCCACACTGACTGTATCTTGGTCCAATGTGTTGTATGTAGTGACACCAGTGGTGAAAGTAAGCCGGTAAAATCCAGACAGAGGATTCAGAGAACTGATACAAGTCATATTAGGTTTATTTAAAAAGAAAAACTGGCCCTCTTAGCATTAAATTGGCTTTAAATGCTTATAAGAGTGATTATTGGTTATTAATCTAACTGCCAATTCAATACTCTGTCATCCCTTTCTCATCTGGAGCCTCATTTGCAGCTCAACATGCAGGCAATGGTGCGTTTATGTGTAAAAAATAAAGCATGACTTCGCAAAATTCTATGTATTTATGGGTTATAATGCATCTGAGCATTGTTGTAGTGCACAAATATTGAAAGACTATAAAGATGAACAAGCTAATATTTTTTAAGTGATTTGCATGATCACGCAGTTGTGAGACAAAAGCATGCAGATATTAATACCTAATTCATTGAGAACGGCTTTATTCTTTAAGCTGACTACATTTATGTTGATCATCTTAATACAGGTGGATGGAAATGCCCTTAAAATTTCCTGACTTTCCCGTTGCTTTTCCTATTTTAGTTTTCATTGCTGATTAATACTGGCCTTCCATATCCAATACGCTGACACTGTGTGCCTTCATTATAGTTTGATCACCAGTTTTTCAATAAGATTCTTGCATATTCATTAAATCCACATGACTACACGTTTAAAAACAAAACATTTAGAGTAATTTTGTTTGGTTGAGTTGAATTAAAACAGCCTCCAGCCCTTCGTTTACTGTGTGCGTTTGTTGGCACGGGGCTGAGAATTTTACTTTCACCACTGAGTGTGACCGATAGCATGGCTTGTGTTTGAGTTGCGTCAGAAAACATGAATGGCACAAAGAAGAATTTAACAGGATTTTTTTTTCGTACATCTCTCAGAATTCTTCCGCGAGTCAGATGCGGCGCCCCGCGAAACGAGCTCCACCCCCGACCAGTCACTCCCCACCGTCCACCGGTCAAAGACTCGGAGGAGTTCGGAGGTTTTTTTCTCTGCCCCCCCATCAGACCCCGAGTTTGTTGGCTTGTGTCAGCACCACCTTGAGCACGGGCATGAACGCCGACGTCTCGCTGAAGTTGCTGCTGCTGACTATGTGAGTGTGGATGTTGAGGCCCTCCGTGTAGGACCTGGACTCTATACTCCTGGCGATGTTGTGTAGTCCTCCTACGATGGCGGGAGAGAGCTGGAGAACAGGAGAAAGAGTTCTCCTTTGTAAACTCATTTGGCCTCATGCAAGAACATTTTTATATTCTTATTCTAAAGCTTCTTATTCTAATGATATTTCTGTTAAAATGTCAATACACATATTATCTGCGTCTTCCAGCCTCCTGCAGCTTCCTATTTTTCTTTTGTGTTCTTACTTTCATTCAGTAAAGCTGCCGTCCCTGCTTTTACAAACATTGCTGAGCATGCCTCTTCTTCCTCCTCCCTGTAATAGTGCAATAAGTGAGCCAATATGTGGGACACTCACCGTCTGCTCTCTGAGTTTATCGTAGAGCGCCTCCAGACGTTTGTTGGCATCATCAAGCTTCCTCTTAGTTTGCTGTGAAAACATAAAAAATGGAGTTTGGTTAAAAATTTGAATGATTCACTCTGTAAAGTAAAGATGAACTGAGTTATCTCTCCAGCAGATGGACTCACAGGGTCGGTGGCTACAGCCAAGCACTTCTGGATCAGCCCCTCAAATGTGGTCTTCAGGACCAGGTGCTCGTCTGGGATGGGCTTCTTCATGATCTTCTCAGCAGGGATGGACTGCAGAGGCTGAAAGGGTTAAACAGAAGATTTTGTAAATGACTCAAAGAATGTGTTGATGTTTATGTTGCTATTACTTGTAGCTTGAGTTATATTATGAAGGTTGGAGCTCTTATTTTGAAGGTGTAATGAAGTGTACCTGTATAACATCTCCAGTCGGTGCTCCCGGTGCTCCCTCCATACTGGTCTTGGGCATTGCGGGGTTCATGGGTGGAGGGGAGAACTGCTGCTGGTGCATGCCTGAGTAAGGGACCTGGGCACCATGTGGGCCCTGGACCATGCCCTGAGGGGCCCCAGACGGTACCTGCTGGGCCTGAGGGTCAACGCCCAGCGGGCACATGATGGGGGCAGGAGGGGTGTAGATCTCGCGAGTCGGCTGTATAAAGATAAATACATTTCGTTTAATATATTAACGATCGATAGATGTCGATGATGTTCCACCATCTTCACTGACAGAGACTAACCTTCTTCTTCGATGCTCTGCTCAGAGCTGGAGGGTCGTTCCAGCCATTCTGAGGCCCTACAGGAGGAAACAAAATCCAAATCATTCACTCGATCTCCCACTAGCAGGGTACAGCCTGATTTATGTTTTTAAAATATACGTTTATTTGATTTATTAGCTTTGATCACAGATTTGTATAATTTCAAAGAAAAGTTTGACATTTTGGGAAATACACGCCAAGAGTTTGATGAGAAGATCGATACCACTGGGGGTTAAAATCATTAAATCGTGCTATATAAATAAAGTGGATTGGATTGGGTTATGTGCTGAACACGCTTTCTTTATGCTAAGCTGAGCTAACTGGCTGTGGCTTCATACTAAGTGTACAGACGTGTACAATAAACCAACAAGATATAATATGTTAGTTCATGAGTGTTAGAGGTGTTTGTAGACACGAGAGTGGTATCAATCTTTTCATCTAACTCTCATTAAGAAAGCAAATAAGCCCCAAAATGCCGAGCTTACACCTTTAAAGTCACACTTCAAATCTACAATGTTGCGTTGATTGAGCTGCAACTTTACTTATTAAAACAGATATTAACAAACATTTTTAATTAACATAATGTGATTTATAATCATTCAAAAGATCAAAAGAATCTTCATTGTAGCTTCAAGACAAATTTCTCTCAAAATTTGGTGATTCAGCCAATCAAACCACGTACGCTTCAAACTGGAAATAAGCCGTGCAAATTTAATTCAGAGAAGCTGCACTTATATTATATATTTAGATAAATTATTCCAGTAAACTTTAGTTTGAATTATAGTCGTGATTTCTTCCTGTTACTGAGATTTAGGTAATAAAGTACAACGATAAGCGGCATCTCTCATTTTCCTTCTATTTCCAAAGATAACGGATTGAATTTCACATAAAAGCAAACGGCTTTTATTCAAGTTGTTCTTTAGTCAATAAATAAATATGTCCTGAGTCATTTGCTGAAAAAGACAACGCAATTTTAGGTTTATCACACACACGCACACGCACACGCACACACACACACACACACACACACACACACACACACACACACACACACACACACACACACACACACACACACACACACACACACACACAGGTTTTTAAGTTTTATGTTTATTTTCTGGACTGTAGATGTCTCTGAAGCAGAAAATGCTATTAAACTATATTAAGTATATATATGTTATAAGTATTTTGTTTTTATTTATTTATCTTTTTTAAATTGCATTTACTCAGGCTGTATCAGGCTGTATTGCCCAGTGAGCTGCTTCTTCTTCTAAAACATTGAGGCATTACATTTTCCAGCATAATTTCCTTTTTTTTCATATTTTTCTTGTTACTTTCCTATTGCAGATTTAGAGCTCTATTTGTAGTAAACTTGTAAACATATGCACTGATAAACTGTCACTGGCACTTTGACTTTATTCCTTAATGGTTGTTTTATTACAAAAACTGATTTTGTTTTGAAACCAATCTGGATTATGTTTATATCTTAACAAGGTAAAAAACTGAAAATGCTCGTCTAAGTGAGTTAAAAGACGCCCTGAACTGTCTGCTAGTTAAAAAGAGGAAGTTCAAACTGTGGTTGTCTTTGAACATACAGGCTGAGAGAGTTTGTGAGGATGATCAGAGCCATGCAGACCTGTTCTCTGAGAGGCGGGGATCAGCCCGGGGTCGGGGTCATGCTGTGTACCTGAGACTCCGCACGGTGGAGGAAGAGGCATGTACGACACCGGAGATCCCGGACCGCCATGCTGGAAAGACGCTCCGGAGGACGGAAGAGCAGAAAAAGAGGAGGAGGAGGAGGAGGCAGAGGCGGTCGGAAAGAAAGGAGAAGGATGGGAGGGAGGAGAGGAGGACAGGCACTGGCTGATGGGAGGTTGTCCGGGATAGACCGGAGGTGCTGGCTGAGAGGGCATGGGCTGTGTGTACTGAGAGAGAAAGCCAGGAGGCTCTGCAGGAGGAGGAGCAGCAGAGGAGTACTGAAGAGGCTGATAGATAGACACCCCACCAGCTCCAGGTGGGTACTGGCTGACCTGGGGGGGGTAGGCTGGGAGTCACACAGGATACAACAGAGGCTGTTAGTGTTATATTGACAGTATCATGCAACAGGGCAGACTTATAATAAACAGGCTAAAAGTGCATGCTACTGCGCTCTATGTTAAAGACTCAACAGGCAAAGAGATAAAACAGTCACAATAAGACATATTCAGTTAGTGAGATCAGATATTACAGAGTCAAACATTTTCTAAAAGGAAATGCTTGTCAGGGTTTTAAAGAAGAGAGAACTGAGGCTGCATGTTCACTGTATGTCAGGCAACCCCGTCTCCTACTACTAATGTTTCTATACAGGACGAGCTACCGGTCAGTGCAGGTGGCGTCATGTTCACAGCTCTTCTCTGTCAGAAGTCAGTGTGAATCAATGTTATTAAAGTTCATTAAAACTGAACTACAAACATTTTAGTTAAAAAAAAAATTACCTTTTCACTTTGTTTACACATGATGACGAAGTTATGGTCAAAATGGGTTTCTTATGTATGACAGTCACAACCACAATTTATGGAGTTAAATTAATTTGTTTGTTATTAAGATTTTGTTTACTCTATTGTCCATTAAATTAGCATAAAATGGAAATTCACCTTTGGCACTGACATATGTCAACACACAATAATTCTACATTATAGTAGAAAAGTTAAAGTGGCTTAGTGTCAAGTGACGGTAATGAAAGTAATGGGCACTTAAGCCTTCATAACCGGAACAATACATAATACACAGCAGTAACTGATCAATAAAAAAACCTATTTTGATTTATTTGATAATAGATAATGTGGATTGTTCTGAAAACACTAAGACCAACACTGAAACTAATAAAAACTAAACTAAAACCAGACATTTCTAAATTATAAGAACTAAACTGAAACAAACAAACATGAAAAACTAAATAAAAAATACAAAACTATAATAACTCTGCAGCAGAACTAAAAGGCAGCGATGCTTTTTTTCTTTTTGACAGACATGAACGCGACCTAAAAAGTTTAGTTTAAGTAGGGACAAGAGGGGATTGTTTTTGGTTAAATATTGATATTGTCTCATCTTGTGTTTAAGTTGAGAAAACATGACCATGAAAAAGAATCGTTCAGTGTGAACAGTTTGCAGATGCGTTCAAGTATATAAACTTCATATTTAGGAGGCAAGGTTGCTTAATGACAGTTAAACTCTCGTCTGATAATCTCTGACACTCAAATCAACAACCTTCGTAACAATGTGTGAAACACTTACGCTGGTACTGATGGGACACCATGTAAGGAGTGGAGGAGGGTGCAGGTGCGGCGGCTGAGCCGGAGGGTGGCATCCCGTACACGGGGTTTGAAGGCTCCGCCTGCAGAGACACAAAAACAAACCTGAAGCCAAAAGACAGAGAGAAAGATCCACTGGTAACGTCTCTGTGCTCAGACCAGCCCCAAACCGAGACCTTTAATAATGTTATAACACTGTATGACATTATATTAGTTTATATTAGAATATAATACTAAAACAATATTAATAATAATAATAATAATAATAATAATAATAATAATAATGGATATGATTAAATACTTAGAATTGACCTAAATATTGATTAAACATTGAAATAATCTGTAAAAAAAAAATACATTTGCCACACGACTTGATCCAGATGCTGAAAATCAATGAATCAAAATTATTATTATTTATAGGATTAAATTATTGATATGATTAATTGGGAGAACTCATGCTCGATCTGATCAGCTGTTTTATTAGAGTAGATAAAAGATAAAAAGAGTGGAGGTTCCTAAAGACACAAGTTTAATTTGTCATCAACTTACTCAGAGAGTTAATGTTAAATAGTGACAACTAGAGCTGCAACGATTAGTTGATTAACAGCAATATACCCTGTTAGTGATTTCATACACAAAAGATTGAAATCTGAAGCGGTTCCCTGCATCTTTTGGTCATTTTCTTCTTTAAACGTTCATACGTTCATTTGTTTTGATTTGATGTTCATAAATGGTTGTCAACAAAACGTCTTTTCCCTACAGTGATTTCATTTATCTATTTCTTGATCCTGTCTCTTACCTTTGCTCCATTTATTTACAGGATTGTCTCCTTTTAAAAAAAGTTAGTTTTATTCTTTATTTTCAGCACAATGTAACCTTCATTATCTGATGTTTGAGTTTGAATCTGCTGTAGCATAATTTCCACCACTGCGGATTAAATTCTATCCTTCATTTACTTGTTCCCGGTCTTGTTTTGTTAATTTTCCCTGTGTTGTCAAATAATGTTTTAGATTAGGATTGACTCAGAACATCTCTAGTAGACCTTTCCCATGCGAGTGTAAAAACAATGCCCGGTGATGCGAACAGAGGGCAGAAAAGCCTGTGTCAGACTTGCTCTTTTGCTCTTCTCAAAGTCATTTAATATCTGCAGATCAGCAGTATTATGTTTGCTAAGAAGGAACAGCGTGCACGTGGAGGTGTGGTGTGTTTAGACTATGTGAAGAGTGATGTCTGTGTGCAGGAGAAACAAATGAGAGACTGAGTGAGGACATGCATCACAGGAGACAAAGAGTATCAACAGGAAGCGGGGTAATACCACAGCAGCCAAACCGGGAAATCAGGTTATTAATCCCATCAGTGAAAACACATTTGCATTCATTAGGGTAAGCCTGCGTGTAAGAACATCTGTAAACATCTGTGAAGGTGTGTGTCGAGGTCCGGTGGGCGGTCAGTGTACCTGCTGGTCTGAGGCGCTGCCTACTTGAGGAGGGACATTGGGGAGGGCTGTTGGAGTTTGGTTACTCCAGGAGGTGACAGTGGAGGCAGCCCTCACCTGAAGCACACAGAGACACACGGCACATACCAATGATGGCCGCAGCATGGGGGGAAGGGAGGAGAGGGAGGGGGAGGGGAGAGGGATACCAACAACACCACAACGCACTGGACCAGAGCCAGGGTTCAAATTACACAAACACACAGCTCACCCAAAAAATAAATTGTGTACATTATTTTACACATTTAGGAATCGGCAGGCGATTTAAACCCTGGCTGGGTTGGAAATCTAATCAATGAAATGACTACAACCAGACAGGAAACTGCGATGAGCACCGCACCAGGTGATTAGTTAGTATGTGTCAAATCTAAATCTGTGTGAAACCTGATGTCTAACAATAAAAGATGAACAGGTTTCACACAGATTCAGGTTTATAAGAGTAATATGTCAAAGTGAAAAACTTGAACACACGTGATGTGTAGAAAAGTGGAACATACTGGTTGGTAATACTGCTGCTGTGCCGGGGCAGAGGCGGCGGGCGTAGGCATGGCTACCGGAGCTGGCGCAGGGGGCTGAGGCACCATGGCGGGCTGGATCGGGGTGAACGGATGCCGGGGCAGAGCCTGAGTCCGGGTGGGAAGCTGAGCCTGAGGTCTCGGGGTTTGTACCTGAGCTGCAGGAGCCACCGGCTGCTGACCCAGAGCCCGACTGAGACGGTCACGAAGCTGCTGTACGGCAACCTGTAAGGTCCAGATGAGAAGAATTGTGTTAGTCTTTGTGTCTTATTATCATTTAAAAGATATAACATGTAACATTTTCACATTAAAATAGATCTTTGATAATAAACACTATGATGAAATGTGTGTTTTGTTTCCTTTGACGAGAGGTTAGGTTACCATAATCTGACTCGTTCCAAACTCCATGAATACTTCCAACTCAGAAACACATGCTGTATGTCTCTTTGATGCATATATAGATAAAACAATTAAACTACATTTTCAAATGGTTTGCAGTCCTGGTGTGTTACATACCTGGTTGGTGTTGTCGGGCAGGTAGGTGATGGCAGTGGACAGACTGCCCTGGGAGGCCAGCAGGTAGGCATACTGGCTCATCTTCTCAGCCAGCAGGATGCCGATAGCAGCGGGACCAGAGCGCTGGGTCTGCTCTACTGCACGCCGCAGCACCACCACCTTCTCCACCAGGTCCTGAGTCATAGAAACACAGCACATCAGCAAGACTAAAAGATCCAAGCTGCAATCACAGACTTAAATGATTGAAAATGTGATCACTTCTCTTCCTGCTTTTTCATCCGTACAAGATCTGCTCTCCTTCCATTTGTATGGTGGTTATAGCAAACGTTTGCCTTTTTACACATCCGGCAAAAATGGAGCAACATTAGCATTCATTTTGAGACATGTTTATAACAACCCAACAAACTTAACATTATATGGAGTTAGTAACAGAGCCGAATCAATGTATGTGTTAAATAGGAGAGCAAATGCTGTTTTGTTACATCTGCTTACAGAACATCGGCAAAAGAGTTGATCGAGACCAAAAATAGAGCTAAAAGAGGGTGGATTCAATTCATTAGCTGGACAGAGATGCAGCCCCCAAGTGTCCAGAGAAATCAGTTGGTTGCAAGTTTAAAAGATACAGAACTGGAGTCACTATCTCAACACACCTGGAGAGAGAGTGGACAGTGTCCGTCCTGCGCTCTGCTCCAACAAGACACAAGTTTCTCCACGTTTCCAGCACAGATGTAACACAGACAGGCCTGTGCTTGCAGCTGGGCGTCCTCTGCTGCCTCCAGTCTGCCCCCGAGAAGGTCTAAAAAACAGATAAGTTCAGTTAGAGAGTGCAAATTCTGTTTAATAGAAGGAGGGATGGTAGAGTAGACACTGACTAAACTCAAACATGCATGCATGTTTAAACTTACCACAGAGGGAGGAGAACTCTTCAGGCTGAGCGTAGGTCATGACAGCCGCCAGGGCCTCCTTCCAGTTCTGCAGATCGCACGTCTTCAGGATGTCATGCCAGTCTTTCATCACCACGGCACTGATCAGCTGCAGGAGAAAGACAGAGGTTATCATCAATAATAAACTCTTCATTCATAAACATATCAGTACAGATGTTCTTCTTGTCATTACCTTCGTTATCTTGCTGTGTGTTTTGGTGAAATACTTCTTCTGGGTTTTCTCTAAGAGTTCGGCCCCTCCGGCGATAGCCAGGATGATGCTGTCTGCCATCCGGTTGTCATGGAGACAGAGCTCCACGGCTCCCTCAAAGTCTCCGGTCAGCAGGGCCTGTGTGATCAACCCGTCCACATCTGACAGGAAAGTGTAAATATTTGTACAGGAATCAAACACTGCAACCACGGTCAGTTCTTTCTCGGTGGCTGACGGTGGTATTCGGTGAAATCTGTAGTTTTATGTCATGAAAGGTTTAAAGACTTGTTACCTTGACTGATGCTGAGGCTGACTCCCTCTGTGTGAGCCAGGGTTGGAGTTGGAGCTGGAGCTGAAGCTGGAACCTCAGTGTGGTCCTCAACTGGAGGGGAGATCTCAGCAGGGCTGGGCTCCTCCTCCTCCACCTGCTCCATCGGTGCCGCCGTCTCCTGAAACACCAGAGAAAACATCCGGTCATGTCTCAAGTTTACTCACTATGAAGCTCTGTAAAGCTCAAGGGAGCCGCGGATTCAGGTGATAATTCCTGTTGTCACATTGTTTTCACATCGTCAGAAAAATATAAAAAAAGAATTACAGCTGCTTTAAAGACCCTGAACTACCCACACAGGTGTCTTCAATTATTCTGGCTGATTAGACCTCTTCTCAGGTTGAAGATGGAAATGATGTGAGATCACCACTTTGTGCACTAATAAGACTGATGGCACAGGTAACACGAGAGTCAGGGAGATGTCACTAAAGCACACTGGGTCTGTACCAACACCCACAGTCTACAGACTCGAGACCGCCACGAGCACTGAATCGTTGTTTAAGTGCCACAAGGTAGAAAGACAAGTGTGTCCCACGCAGTTCTCTGAACCCAGACTTGATCCACTTGTATCTTAATATTCCTTTGAAGCAGAATTCAGGGCTCAGTGTATCCCACAATTCACAAAAGTTGAAATTCTGACATGTTGGATTCAGAGTGAATATTATTATTCGTGTCCCAACACTGTAGTTGTGGCAGAGCCTCCAACAGAGTGATAACAATAATACTGCATATCTGATATCGTAAAAATAAAGATTTAATTGTATATAATCTAATCAGTGATTTTGTAATAAACCTTTCCTAAAAAAAAAACATTGCAGACATTCAGAAAAAGATCATGTTATGTCTCTTTTATGTACAGTTGACCTACATGATTAATTGCTTAAATAACTGTATTGATCCTCTCAGCTCCTGCTTTAATTGTAATCTGATTAAAACTCTTAATGTTGTACAGTTGATGCTACTTAATGATGCGGAAATCTAATCAAACCAAGACCTCTGAGCTCAAATGAACCATGTATTTTTATATACTTTTGGGGCTTTTCTTGCCTTTAAACAATAGTGACAGTTATAGAGTGACAGGAAAGGGGGGTGTCCCATTAACCCCGGATGTTCTCATTAATCAGAACGTGTCTCAGCAAGTCCTAATGAACCTCAGTCTTAATGGGCACTGTGGCAGTTACCAGAAATACTCGACTACTCACAAATACCTCAAGTGTGAGTACTGGGACGGATCCAGTCCGTTACTAGCCCACACAGGCAGTCCTGAGAAAAGGTCTTATCAACCAGAAATAATCAAATTCTCCTTCTGTTGTGGATGAAACGAGTTCATTTTGAATGTAATTGCATGTGCAGTGATGAAAGTGTACCTCCTCCAAGGGGATCTCTTCTTCCTCTTCCTGCTTCTCCTCCTCTTTCTCCTCTGCTTCCTCCTCTGCTTCCTCCTTTGCTTCCTCTTCCTCTGCTTCATCCTCTGCTTCATCCTTTGCCTCCTCCTCATGGAGAACCTGGTCCAGATTTTCTTCTGGTTCGCTGGAAAGAGCGTCCTCTGGATCTGCTGCCGCCAGCTCTTCGGTCTCTGGGTCAGGAGTGGAGTCTAGTTCCATTGTGGCCTCTGGCTGGAGGTTTGCTGCGGCAATCATGTCGAACGCTGCCTCGGGAGTGTCAATGGGAGGCATGAAGCGGAGTTCCGGTAAAGGTGGCAGGCTGACCGGAGCGGGCACCTCCACCTGAACGTTGAGGGAAGATATGGGTTCAAATCAGGGACTATCATTGAACACTGAACAGCAGAATAACGGAGAAATGGGAGGCTGAAATTAACAAATAGATACCATTAAATAAATGGAAAAAGTGTGATGGGAGGCGTATTTGGTGACTAATTCTTGGAGGGTGTTCAAATATAATAACAAGATACATGCAGACACCAAAGATAACAGAAAAATGGAGCCTGATTAGCTCGGACAAGTGCTGGAGAAGATGTGAACTGCGGATTAGCAACCGTATATTTCTTATTTTCTATTCATGCTCAAAGTTACATCATTTTTGGAAAGATGTGTTCGATTTGTGATGCAGAAATTAAAGTAAAACTCAAGTTAAAAAGAAAAAGATTTGCACCAACAGGTTGGAATTAGACTCAAACTAAACACTAAACTAAGAGTTGGATCAGCTGCGATCAACAAGCGGTTGTAGAATCAACTGAGACTACGGTGTCTGCGAAATTAGCAAAAAATGCCTCATACATGTTATACACTGGACCTTTAAATTAGTGGTAGAATAAACCGATTGTTTCTCTGTGATGGTAAAACTAGTCTGTAAACCTCTTCCTCTGAGTAGTTTCAAAAAGTGAAGTAGTATCTGCTCCACTGAGACTTTATATGAATGAATACTTGCAACACTTCCTTATTGCAAAATCTAAGACAGACACAAACAGTTTGAAGCATTTCAGCCAAAAACTGTTGCACTAATTAGTGCCAATAGTAGTCAGTCAGTTCTGTTGTACTGTCAGTGAAAGACTGTGTACGACACAGTAAGCAGGACAGTAATGTAGTGTGCTAATGAGCAATTTGGAAGCATCTCCATAAATCAACAACAGGGACACTTTCACTGTTTAAACATAAAAAAGGAGTTTTTATATTAAAAAATGTAAAAAGTTCATGTTGGCTGATTTTGTTTCTTTTATTGTTTTTCAAGTTGAATTTCCATTGGAAAGGTCAAATAACACCACAACACCAGGACTGGGTTGCATAATAACTGTATGTTGTAATAAACAGAGGTGGCTTATCATCACACAGGATCTGATGAAAATATATGTGGGCGTCAGAATGAGCAGCAATTTAGAAAACAACATAAAATAATATTTGGGCCAATTAGAAGGTGATCTTTTTAACCACATGACTACCCGGAGATACATTTTTAAAAGGTTAAAGGAATAGCTTAAAGGCTCTATCAACACGTCTAATGCTCACTAATTAACAGGTTATATCTTGTTTGTGTAATCTCTTTTGGCCGGCACAACAACTTCCAAGAGTCTCTTGAGCTTTCCAGGCAAGCTGTTTCCCCTGTTTCCAATCTTTATGCTAAGCTACGAGTCTGCTGACGGACAGATATGATGAGGTATCGATCTTCTCATCTAACTCTCTGCAAGACTGCGAATAAGCTCCCAAAATGTTGAGCTATTCCTATTATATTTTATTTTATTCTTAATTATTTTACAGATTTTACCTCTAATGTCTTAATATTTTTATTGGTTAAGTGTTGGTATTTTATTTAATCATATTTTATTTTAACCTATAATAGTTATATCACTGACTAAACGAACTTACCTGCAGAGGTTCAGCAGGTTTTTCCTCTAGTGCTGCTGAAATCTGACAACAAAACGGACACAGTTATCACAAAATGTACTCAAACACACCTGATAAAAGCACTGAAATATTTTGAGTAAATATATATAAAGTGTCATATGGGGCACACAAGAACCAAGAAAAAACATTTCACCTTTAAGGCTAGCTCCTCCTTGTTGTACCCCAGAAGCTCCAGGTACTTGCTGCGGATATCACTTTCGAAATTAGCCTGAAAAGACAAAACAGTCACACGCACAGCTTAAAGAATGACCCCATGGTTTATTGCAAATATATTAATATATGTCCAAGTTTATTGAGATTTTAGTTTTTTTTACTACCTTGAGGAATGACCAGAGAGTCTTTTCAAACTCGTTTTCGGCTGCATCGATCTTTCCCTGGCAGAAATCCACGAAGCTGCCTGCACTCAGAGTGGCCTGCAGCTGATCGGAGCGCTTCAAAAAGGCTGTTTCTGTAACAACCTGACTGATATGTACAACGTGTGCAGTGGGCTGCTGAGGCTGCTGAGGGTTCGGCTTGGAGTTCTCCAAAGATACCAGCTTCCCACCAAACTGTGGAGTGAACAAAGGCCAAATAAATGTAACTGTGTTCTCAGATGGTAAAACAAAGATTCTCAATGTCATGGAAAGTAAAGAAACTCACAGCAAATGAGGCTCCAACTGGTCTGCGGATCCACTTGGGTGGCTTCTTCAGTGGGAGGATTGTCCCAGAAGGGGCTGCAGTCTGGGGCAACTGCAGTGGAGGTAAACTTTGTCCAGTCCCAAAAGGATCCATGTTCCCAAAAGAGTTGCTTATCTGTAACGAACACCCAGAGTCAAGTTAGACACAGAGGTGATGCTGAAGATGCCAGAAATCAGCCAAGTTTATGATGTGCAGCTCTAAATAAAAAGCCAATACGGACAGAGGTTGAGTGGGTTCAACACTAGAAGAGTAAATAATTGCAGAACAGTTGCAAACTATAAAAGCAGACAATGACTAAGGTCGAGTATTATTCGACTGCCCTCTTGTTTCTCACCTGGTCAGCGTGTCTCTGGCTTTGCGCCTGGTTGCTGCCTCCCATGATGGAATAGATGTCGATGTGTCCGTCGAAGCATGCAGCCGACAGCACCGCGGGGTTCCTGGGGCACCACTGGATGTCAAAGCACCACTGACTGCTGGTGGGCAACTCGTACAGCACCTGGAGGTTCAAACAGATGATTTACCAACATCAGAGGGACAACAGTAGATTGGTTGCATCAATGAGCTGCATGTAAATGAGACCTATATAGTTTTACCTCTCCTGTGTTTGGATTCCAGCACAGGATCCTGCTGTCCTTCCCGCAGCTCAGGAGCAGCTCGGGATCAGCCAAACTCCAGGCGATGGCCAGGACACCCCTGTATATAAAGAACAGTACAGTATGTGGCTAAAAGAACAATAGAGCTCTATGGCTCAGAAGAATAAGACATTTAGAGACAAAGATAATACTTGTTTTAAATCATGTAATACTGCAAAGGAAAGCTAAATTCAACATGTGTGTTTACCGTGTGTGATTCTCTAAAATCTTGAAAGGGGAGGTAGCAAAACGTAAGTCCCACATCTGGATGACCGGCATCCGGTCGTCCTCAGAGGCCATGACCAGCTGAGTGGCAACTTCTGGGTTCCAAGCCAGCCCGGAGCAATGCATCTAAAAAACAAATGCACACACAAACGTAGACGGTTTAAGATGGGCAGACGGAAATAGCATGTGTAAGACTTCCGAGTGCAGCAGAAACTACGTACTCTGTTGCTGTGGTCGCTAACTTTAATAATGAGGTCATTCTTGCGGAGGTCCCACACTGAGGCCCGGCCACTCGGGCTTGCAGAGGCCAGGATGTGTTGGACCTGCCTGTTCCAGGACACACAGCTGATGTCCTCTTGAGGCTTTAAGACAAAAACATGAGCTCTTATTTTCATTATACATTCATTATAGCCATCAAAACTCTTAAAAACATAATTTACGCGCACAAGATAATACAGATTAAGTCAAAAACACACAATAGAGGCATCAGAGTTCTCAATGTTGGAAAATAGTCATTATCACTTCATTATGGAGTTCAATGACATATACAAAGCTGTTCAAAAGAAGAACCTAGCACAGTAAAAGAACTTCACATTTTGACAAAAGGACACAGTAATTATGTTTAAATTAATCACCAAGATTTTAAAAAAAATTAAATAAATGTACAATCTAATTAATTAATAAAAGTAAAAAGAAATACCTGAGTTTTAGGTCCTGGTGTCATTGGAGAGCCAAAGTTATTCATGTCCCAGATATAAATTTCAGACTCATTCCCACCTGATGCAACCAGGTTTGTCTGCAGCAGAGAGAGCAAACATAAGATTAGTCACCGTTTGTTTGCAGGAACGCGATGTTAAACGAACGAGACTGGAGTTAAACGGATCGTACTTGGAACGGGTTGACGTCGAGAGCTCTCACTGGCCCCGTGTGCCTGTCGCTCTCGGCAATGATCACGTCGCTCTCTCCGGCCATGATCTTCGCAGGGTCGTACAAGATGACGTTGCCGTTCTCGCCTCCTGCGATGAGGACCCCGGATGGCTGCCCTTCCGCATCCATTCCATACGGACCCCAGACCAGTTTGTGGTATCTGCGGGGAGATCGAGGAGAACACAGAGTGTGTGATGAACTCCTGCATTCGAAGGAGAAAATAAAAAGGCCAATGACATTTTGTGTAACCGGCAGCTCTTAGTACCTGTGAGAGGAGGACAAGCTGCCACATGACTTCATGTCCAGAGATGGCTCTGTCAAGTCCAGCTCGAAAAACTCCAGGGAGGCATTGGTGCTGAAGGAGGCATCCAGCTGCTGGGCTGATGTTCCTGCAGCGAGAGAGAGTGACAGAGAGAGAGAGACAGAGAGAGAGAGAGAGCACACAGAAACCTTTTAGTACAGGTTGTCAACTCAAATCAACTTTAATTTGAGGTGCATGCTCTATGGATCAGATTAGTTTCAAGCAGCTGTATGAGTGGTTGAAAGACTTATTATAAAAATTATATAATGTCCTGTCAGAACACCGGGAAAAGCTCAGCAGCAGGCAGCAGGCAGCAGGCCTGTGCAGGTCGCTCGCTGCATGCTCGTACCTGTTGCAAGGTAGATGGGGTGGTGCTGTGCGGGACTCCAGCTCTGGATGGCTGTGCGGTTGATCTCCTTAAGTTTCATCCTGGAAAAAAAGAAAGAAAAGTAGATGCAGTAATTACTACAGTAATTACAGAGTGGTTGCAGTAAATTATAATTTTATTTTTTGCTTGGCTTTGCTTTTCTGCAGGAGTCACCACAGATAGCAGAGCATACGGTGTTTGATGCATTTTTTTTGGCTCTGAAAGTATGAGCAAAAAAAACATCTTATGTTGCTCGGCTTTATATTATGTTTATGTTTGAAAGGAGAGGTTCACATTTTCTTGAAACAACACCTGCACGCAGAGTTATCAGTCGCACAAAGGCAGTAATTTAAGGTACCCACTCGTGTTAATCATCATTTAATCGCAGAATGGACAGCAGGAACCAGTACAGCACCTACAAACACTCTTTAAATGTACATACGAGCATGTACACTGTAGCACATCTAACGCAGCCTAACACAGTCCTGCAATAAATTCAACCTCCATGAAGGTTATAATGCTATACTGACAGGTGTCTCTATTATTTATACCAATGAGGGGTAGACTAAATAACGGAAACACCTCTCTGTATAATGCAGCACAGTTCAGGAGCACCACAATCTGTGCAGCCTCCAAGATGAATGAATCAGCAGCTCTCTACAACAGGTTTTATTATAACCTTCACAAAGGGAGGATTTATTACAGGACTGTTGTGTTCGAGTGCATTAGTTTCCGCTCGGTGCACCTAATAAAAGTAGTATTTCTATTTAATTCATGGGAAAGGATATCCTCTTGAGATGCAGCATGTCATTTTTATTTTTTTTTAAAGTACAGACACACAAAGTATTACATAACAAACACTGCACAGACAACTTGCTCGCCCTTTACAGCCCCTCAGAACCAGTGACCTGGATAATAAATCAAAAGTACACAAAAATTAAAAAGCAGAAACAAGTTTTCAGATGAGAAAAATAAAGATTTCCCTCAATAGGAGGAGACAAACTAGTCCAGATATTAGATAAACAATAAATTCAGGTTTTCACTCCCAGTAATAAACACACAAGTTACAGAGTTACAGACAAAGGCCTACTTTGACTTCCACTAATTATCACATGCACCCTGCTTTATGCTGCTATAGGGGGGTTGGGGGGGGCAATGACATTAACAAATACCTCCCGAGAAACCAGGGGGAACCCATCGGCGTGCTTCCCTTCACATTCACTAGGTTAACATTAGCACACAAACAAACCAGAGAAAGTACAGTGCGAGCTAGCGGCGAGCTAACAGCTGATGGGGAGCATTTAAAAAAAAAAACCCCCAAAAAAAAAAGCCAACAAGGAGCCAGAAGCAGAGGCAGAAATCAAAAGTGAACAGAAAGCTGCAGGTTAGTGTCACACTTCTTGTACGAGGATATAGTACAGCATGTCCTACAGCCACAATGAGAGGGGGGGGCATTAGGTAGCCTGCTAGCTGATGTGCAGGCTAAATTATAACAGTGGGAAGACAGTTAATATATATATATACACACACACACACACACACACACACACACACACACACACACACACACACACACACACACACACACACACACACACACACACACAGAGATCTTATTACTTACACTTAAAGCGGCTTACCTTCCTTCCTTTCTTTCTTTGCTCCCTCTCACATGAACGATCAATTAAAGCTGGTGACGAACACAAGTTCCTCTTTCTGTCTGAAGGGTCAACGGCTGTGCGGACAGACGGACAGACGGAGAGGCTACCGGGTCCCGGCTCCGGACTCAAGACGGATTTCCACGTCCCCACTGGTCTCCATCAACGTGGCACTAAACAACAGTGCCCTCCTCCCACGAAGAAGAACAGCTTCCGGTGGGGGGGCGTCAACGGCGCTACTTCTGCTAGCATGCTAACTTATTCTGCTTCGGGTTTTAATGGCGGTTGGCAGTTAGCATGCTAACTGTGCTAGCATGCTAACTTCTTCAGCTTCGGGTTTTAATGGCGGTTGGCAGCTAGCATGCTAACTGTGCTAGCATGCTAACTTCTTCAGCTTCGGGTTTTAATGGCGGTTGGCAGCTAGCATGCTAACTGTGCTAGCCTGCTAACTACTTCAGCTTCGTTTTAATGGCGGTTGGCAGCTAGCATGCTAACTGTGCTAGCCTGCTAACCTCTTCAGCTTCGTTTTAATGGCGGTTGGCAGCTAGCATGCTAACTACGCTAGCCTGCTAACCTCTTCAGCTTCGTTTTAATGGCGGTTGGCAGCTAGCATGCTAACTGTGCTAGCATGCTAACCTCTTCAGGTTCGTTTTGTTGGCGGTTGGCAGCTAGCATGCTAACTACGCTAGCATGCTAACTTATTCAGCTTCGGGTTTTAATGGCGGTTGGCAGCTAGCATGCTAACTACGCTAGCCTGCTAACTTCTTCAGCTTCGGGTTTTAATGGCGGTTGGCAACTAGCATGCTAACTGTGCTAGCATGCTAACTTCTTCAGCTTTGGGTTTTAATGGCGGTTGGCAGCTAGCATGCTAACTGTGCTAGCATGCTAACTTCTTCAGCTTTGCGTTCTAATGGCGGTTGGCAGCTAGCATGCCAACTGTGCTAACTTTGCCAACGTTATAATTTTTTTTAAATAATAAATCTACTCAGAAAACCTTAATTGAAGAGAAACATACATAATATAATACACATCGATTATATTAAGTATTCTTGTGTAGTTAATAATATATTTTTTATTGGTGACGTATTTCATAATGTAAATATTTCTATATAATTATAATAAATATATAACTTATAATTTAAACAGCAGTTTTTAAAACCAAGTTACAAAGTGCCTTATATGGACGGAACCAGGTTTGAAACAAACAATTTAAATCATATAAATAAATAAAATAATTTAAAAAAATCAGTAAAAATAAATACCAAAAATAAAAACATAACATAAAACATGACGAATGATTTAAATAGTTACAAATATACAAATTAAAGAATAAAATAACAATACCATTTCATAATATACCAAACACCTTTAGAGTATGAATGATGCCCATTCTAAAAAATTACTAAATACAACCTCTTCTTTTCATTTAACGTCTATAAGCAATAAAATTATGTTCTTCATGAGATATTGCATGTGTCATGTGATTCAGTTGTTTGAATCACTATTTATATTGTTCTTAGTAGATTAAAGCCCTTTGAGAAGAAAAACTAATTTTAAAAAAATTATATTAAAAAAAAAAAAAAAAAAAAAAAAAAAAAAATCAATACAGTCAAAATACTTAACATTAGAGGCAAGTCCTCTATTTAAAATGTTACCTCAGTATATTATGTACCAGGAATTAAGTTTAATTAAAAAGTACTCATTGATATGTTAACAGTTTTATTGTTGTTGCTCTAGTTTAAACCACTTTTATACACAGATCAGTCCAGTTGTTTCCCAACCTAGGGGGGTCAGGCCCCTTCAAAGAAATCTGGTCCGGAGATAACTGATCATCAGTTACACGCCACCTTTCAGAAGACGTCACGAGTCAAAAAGGTTGTGTGCCACTGGTTTCATCTTTATAAAAGTAAATCTCAATATGGAAAGTAACCAAGTGTCAGATATATTGAGTAAGAAGTGCAATATTTCCTTCTCAATAGTAAGAGTATCGTAGTACCTCTATATAGTATACCTAGTGTTTGTGTAAATGCAATTGCTTTCTTTTGCTGTGACTATAAATATGTGAAGTCAGTACACCTGTAATAAGCAGGTAAAGTCTAGTGATAAATGTACAAAATGTTATAAAACCTCATTTCGCCCAAAGATATTCCACCATCCATTAAAAAAACAACACACAAAAACAAACTTTGCTTGACAATTTGTATTTATTTGGCAATGAATAACTTAGAACAAAGACAAACCAGTCGAGAGCTTAAGGTAGATGTAGTTCACCTGAACTGGCTTCACTTCCGCAGGTCGACCCTGAAATTAAAATACAGATATCAAAATAAGCTGAAAAGTTACACTGACTGCAGCAAGCTCTTTAGAAGCAGTGCCAAAACCCTCATTTAGAAGCTCATGTTTAATCTTCCCCAGACTTATGAATGGGTCAGATGGGTAGTGATTGGTATAATCATTGGGATGGCTATTCACTTTATTACATAAATGTCTGAACTGCAATACATACATGCACATCCAGGTCCACTCTGCTACTTTCACTGGAACCTTTCCTTCAGCTGACCTGTCAGAACAAAACATGACATATTTGGATGTTATTAACCATTAAAAGGTGTAGGTGGTGAGAGGATCTGTGTATGTAAAATTACACTGTACAAACACCATAAAAACATACATAAACCGGATTATTGTATGAAAACTCAAGCGGTAGGATTACATGATGTTATCCGAATTGAAGAGCTGCCTTTTAAACTTAAGAAAATGTTCGAGTGGTGTTCTAATAACAAATAAATCCTTTTATATAAGAGAGTTTACACAAAAACACGCATTTTTTAAATAGGAGTTTGGCGTGACGGAGATGTCACACCGGAACACGCTGGCTTTTCTTGACCACGTGCTCTGGCGTTGGTGGGTTTACAGCATGGAGTGAACCAACTGTGCTGTTATAACACATTATCACCAAAAACAAGAAAATTAGCCTATTAAATTTACATTTTACTTACCTAATTACCGGACAAGGCGGTGGCACGATTCAGCTAACGTTACTGTACAAAACCTCGTTTAAAAATCATGCTCAAAAGAGAAGAAAGAGCTCGCTAAATTGATCTAAAATGCATAAAAGTTGCATTTTTTTTAATACTTAATATCACTAAAAATAAGACTGTTCATGTCTCCAAGAATAAGACTTTCTTGGAGACACCCAGCGTGCCACTAACCCACCTCCTCCTTCTAGTCTTCGTCTTGTTCTTCCTCTGAATTATCGGCAGTGTTGCCTTTATGTGCCTTACCGCCACCTACTGAAGTACAACTAGTACTACTAAAAGGAGGAATATTGTAACTTTAATCCCATTTTTAGGAAAGTTTGGAACAACAATGGGAGAAATAGAGTTGCTCATCTTGATTTGTTGTAATTTATTATTACATTATGTAATATATTATATTATTATTTGTAATAATGTGTCACACTACTAACTTGCAGATTCCTGCACAGCTCTTCACTCATTTATTTAAATATTTTACTGTATTATATCACACGTGTTGTCTCCATTTTTTATCTTTATTTATATTTTCTGTGTTTAATTGTTATGCCCCAACTCACCAGGGCAAATTAAAAGTTTTTTAAGTCAAAATCCTCTCAGATTAGAGTCTGTGGTCTAATGTGCATCTATTGTGGAAGTCTTTAAACTGAAAAAGTAGGGGAACCTCGGTATAGATGCATTGCATTCCCAATTTTGCAGTTCCACAGTCCACAGATTGAACAATGAACCAAACTGAAGAGTTTTGACACACAATTTCACTTCTGTGATAACAAATATACGTAAAAGGCAGCCACATATCTCTTTTTTAAAGGATTATGTGGCTGCCTTTGTGAATCAGTAGTGTGCACCTTCACTTTATTGTGTCATATAATAAGTGGAAAGTGACTGTAATGAACGTACTTTTGTTATTAGAGATATAATTAAGTATGATACTTTGTTTTAAAATACAGGAAATGTTCATTTATTGATTTATAACTGATCTAGGGCTGTCACTGTCACCACATACTTACGTACTCTACTGATAACAGATGGTATGATTTGAAATCACAAACAGTATCACAAAAACAAAACCGAGACATCATAAAACATAAGTTGACGGCTAGAAGATGTGGTTTTTTAAGGGGAAGTGGAACTGAACGAATGATTCAGGAGGCAGTCGGGGAGAAAAAGTGATAAAAATGTCAAAAGGTCGTCATTTTCAGTCGGTGCTTTCCTTCGCTGTAACAGTATATTTTACAGGTATGTGGTAAACAACTGTCTGATCTACAAAAAGGTAATTAACACATCTTCAGAACTAAAGATAAATGTCAGTTTTACCCAAGCCCACGTCGGTAAATGTGCAACTTTTTTCCGTCTTGAGCTCTTTGCTGTGCTAATGTGGGGCTGTGTGCCGTGTGTGCATCAAAGCCTGTTAATAAAAGAGTGTACGCTCTCTCTTTAGAGTCGTGTGGTTACCTCTGTGAACCAATAGACTGCAGCTGAAACCACAATGGAGTTGACCCTGCACTTTACTGGATCAGAGAATAACAGAATAAAGTGGAGAGAGACAGCGAGGACACGGGGAAGAGCTGTAGAGATCATGATCTTAATTCAACTCTAAGCATGAGAGTGTTTCTCTCCGTCTATAGTCCCTAGAGGATGAATCCTACTGACTGTGGTGATCCCCTGACTTTTCATAGCGCCATCAGCACTCAAAAGTTTAATTTGCCCAGTAGACCTTTTTCACAGCAGCCATTTAGACATTTAATCACAGGTGTTTGCGAACACTGATTCAGAGTCAGGGTGCTGCTATTGTGCCTGTTGGAAGGGAACATTAATTTGGCCACAGAACTGAAAATACAATTAACGTTTTCCAGGACAACAGAGACTATTTTCAGGATATTTGGTCATTTTAATCAATTTCCAGGTGTTTCCCTGACTGGAAAACTACTCTCCAGGTTTTTAACAGAATATTTTTAACAACCTTTCACTGAAATATAAACTAGTTTTAAATCAGGGAGTTTTGGCCACCTGGGGGCAGCGGACATAAAAAACTGACAGTGACAGTGGCAGAGAGAAGGACCCTGAACAAACTGCTGTCCATACTGCAGCACCCACCACCCTCTGCACGACACCTTCACCCGGCAGAGGAGTGTGTTCAGTGGCAGACTGCTGTCCCAGTCCAGCTCCACCATCAGACTGTACAACAGCTCCCAGTAAAGGCAGGGAGGACAACAGATAATAGACAATGGACAATTTCTATCTCTAGTTTGCACATCCATTTGCACTGTTTACTGTAGCTACTGTTAATTTTATATATTATATATAGATATCTATATATAATACTTTATATTTTATCTTCTATTTTAGTTTTTAACTCTATTCTTAAGGTTAGGGATTTTAATTTTAGCCTTATATATGTTTAATGTATGTTTAATGTATGTTTTGTATTTTGTATGCTACTGGATACCTGAATTTCCCTCTGGATAAATAAATAATAAATCTATCTATCTATCTATCTATCTATCTATCTATCTATCTATCTATCTATAAACAACATTGGCATCTTTAAAGTTGATGTGATGAACGTGTTGCAAACATTTGCTTATTTCCACATCCAGCAGTTACAGAGGAACATTATTGTTCATTTGGAGATGTGTCTGCGTCCACTTGATGGATGTAAGTCCAATATCCAATATTCACTCTTTAAGCTGTTTTCTCCTGAGGAAAATGTCTCTCGCTGCTAAATGCTCCACTATGTTCACCTACTGCGGTTAATAATGAGGCCATAAAGCGGTGAGAAACCGTGAACTTACAACCAGACAGCTAAACAATGAGCTGAAACTCACTTTAAAGCACCTTTCACACTGTTTGCACATTATTTCATATGTCAGTTAAATAAATAATATAAATATCAGTTAGAGCTTTTTCACCACTTAAATAGTGAAATAATAATCACATTTAATTACATTAAAAGACATAGACACATTTTGAGCTTAATAAAAAAAAAAACATTATATAGTTTAATTACTGTTTAAAAGTCGGGATGGGCGGGCACAAACATTTCATTCAGTAACAGCCACAATGAATGAATTAAAAGCAGCCAACAGCTAACGCTACAGCCGACACTCACCTGCTCGTTGAATGTCTTTCTGAAGGTTTATATATTTTGAAGTATTATCAACAATGTGTAAAATAAAGGAATTGAATTGGTGAAAGTTATATAATGACAAAAAATGGGTCTTAATTGGATAATTGTGCCGTTTCTGAACAAACATTTTGCATATTTAAACTGTAATATTGAGGGTTAGCATTCAATATGTTTGTCTCAGGCACAGACAGTAAACCAGCTTTATAGAAAGAAAGATCATGTTCTGCTCAGAGTGCACCTTTATGTGTTGCGTACTTCTGGACGTGTTTAATCTGAGTGAATTTCAGTCCTCGGGTTCCTGATAAGATGCATGTGAGCAAGCAAAAGTAGGTTTTGGTACATTTCAGCAATAGTGAGTCAAAAACAGATTGATATTGTGTACAGAAACAAACAAACAAACCAGTGGATCCTTTAACTGTCCAATATTTAACACACCTGCTGCTGTGTGACCTACATTAAAGGGACCCTGTGGAGCTTTTTTTGTAAACAGAGTTATGGTATGTTTGCATTCATTCTTTCTATAAATCACATTAGAAAACAATTGCATTTTTGATTTTTGGAAGAATTTGAAACGTACATTGTTTACATTGTTGTTTCCTTGGTTCAGTAGCACAAACTGTTGATCAGAGGAAGACGGCTTTGGATCGCGTCACTCACGTGCAACGAATCCCGAACCCATACTGCACACGGATTTTAAGGTTTTTAATGCCTGAATATACTCGCAGACGGACACCGTGGACGTGCAGTGGTTCTGTTTACTTTCTGGAGTCCGCCATAGACTGTATAACTAAAAACAAACAGTCTCTGTGACGTCACACATAGGTTTCTAAAGAATTGTTGTGAAGCTCAGTGTGTTCGGCTCCGGCCGTCGCCCTCTTGGCAGTCCTGAATCCACTGACTCCAGCCGTTTATGGGCGAAGAGGTGGAGCTAAATAAAGCCTGGTTGCTATGACAGCACCCACCTGTCACTCAAAGTGGCCACAGCCTTAATTATGCATAACTTTAAGCCTTCATATAATTTTAACAGGTGAGATTCTATATAAATGCAACCCCTGACAGTTAAGGGGGTGAATTTAAGGTTATTTAGCCATAGAGACTAAAACAGGTTTTTGTTCCGGGCTGTAAACATGTTTATTTCTGCTGTAAAGTTTGAATAGGGGGCCTTTTGGAGATGGACTCACATTTGGAGCCGCCCTCAAGTGGTCCCTAGAGGAACTGCAGTTTTTGTTATTTCCTTGTTTGCTCATGAAGGCTGCAGCTCCGAGTCCACTCGGAGGACGTGTTCTGTAGCTTGTTGTGGTGTAGCAGCCACGTCACCAAAAACTGGATTGCGCTGCTCACAGTTAGAAAAAAAAACAACAAATAATTGTAACTGGTGGTGAAAACAAGTGTTACATTTTGACGTCTGTAAAAATTTGTGTCACCTGACGTCACAGGTTTGTATAAAATGGTGTTTCTGTTTTTTAAATAATTGCTAAAATAGTATACAATGATGATTATGGAGTTAGTATTGTACTGATTGAATGGATTTGGGACACAGAAGTACAAAAACATTGCTCTATAACACAGCTAATAGCCAAAACTCCACAGGGAACCTTTTAACATCGATGAAAGCAGTGCAGGAGGACTTGATAAAAGTCCCAGCATGCAATCTACAAAGACGTGTGGAAGATGGAAATTTCAAAGTTGAAGAAGTTTTAAGAATGTTTTTAGAATATTTATCAACTTACTGACTCCCAATAATCGTTTTTCACAGCAGATATTGACGTGTAACAGAAGGAAAAGCACAGATGACACTAATAACATTAATGATGGCACTGTTCCATTTAAAGCCGCCAAAACTTGGTTATAAATCTTAAAAAAAGGCCCAAAACACTTACTTCCTCAATCAGAGCAAAGTTCCCCTACATGAACACACCATTTCTGGCAGAGGTTGAAACAGTTGTGGTTGTTTAACATAAGAGATTTCCGTGTTTTGTCCGTCTCTCAATACCTAAAACAAATATTAGATCAAACTACATTTGATTGACAGCCCACATATATATATATAAATTAGGTTTTGAGTGAAAATGAATACTTTTGTCTATAAAATGTGAAAAGTGTCGGCTATATTTCCCAAATCCCCAATATGATGTAATCAAATTGCTTCTTTTATTCATCCAAAACCCAAAATATTCCATTTACAGACAACAAAAACACACAAAAGCACCACATCATCACACCTGAGAAGCTATAACTCTAGCTCTATGTTGGAGAGAAATACTGAAGAAATAAAGCCCCTGGATTTAATTATCCACCTTAAATATTCATTCACTAAATGTGCAACAATCACTCAGTTTGGAATAAAATATATTTTTTTACTGTTTATTAAGAGTTTAACTGTCCAAAAGTAGCTAATCTGCTTCATCAGGACAGTGAATGAAAAATCTCCTTTTCACTCCAATGTTCCTAAACTCTGATTGATGCACAGAGAGATGTGATCCTTTCACCCTTTTCCAACTGCACCCTGCACAAGAGCACTGACAGCAAACAAACACAGAAATCTCTTATGAGAAATAACCAAAACTAATGTAGAATTCATGTAGTTACTCCCAGTAAGTAACCAACAGAGAAAATAGGTTTTTGGGGCCTTTCTGTTTCCTGGTAAGGATGCGTTGGACTAGAAAGATAACTAGTTCGCAGAACGCGTTTTTACCCGGAAATCAAAAGTGTTTACAGTCGTTCCAAACGGCCCCACTGGAAGGCAGGAAGCTGGCCGTGATGTTTAAATAAGGGCACACGATTTCAGTCTCTCCTGGAAGACATTAATAGTGTTGCACTCACATGAAAAAGGGACAGAAGTTATTGCGTAATGAGTTCAAACCTCGAGGATTCCTGAAGCTATTCGACCGTCCCACAAGCAGCTCTGATGATATGTACGGAGTTTAAAATGGTTATGAAACAGTCGTGATTTAATCCTGATGCCTCTATATGACCGACATGAAACAAGACCATCAGTGAGAAGATGGGCTGTTTCTTTATAGTTATTCTTAATGCCTGCCATTGAACAGATTCACCTCGAAATGAATGAAATGAGACGGTAGAAACACTACTGCTTTTGTCCACAGGGGCCGCCAGAATCAACACAAAACACAAAGTTCATGTTGCTGCTTTAAGTTGTGCTAATTAGCCAGCAAACGCAACAACAGAACACTGGAACAAGCATACGTAAATTATATTATTAATTACTTCTGTGCTTTACCTTCTATTAAAATGTCAAAATGGATGTTTGCTCCTTTAATTGCTCTTCATTTGTGCCCCTGCGACATTAATCCAGCCTCAGACAGATCAGGAAACTGTCATCTTTGTTTTATGTGTTCCTGCTTTCCTCCAGTCATTTAACAAGTCTCAATTATTTTTCCATTCACGGTGTTTTTAATGTACAGTAAGCATGTGACTAATAAAACAGAAAACAGCACCAGAAGAACTGTGTACCCTCCCGCCAGTCACGTTCCAACTAGTCTGAGCGGTGCTGTGTATCTGTGCATGTGTGCATAATGCATTACGTGTGTGCATTCAACTTACCTTTAGGATAAAAACCTAAGATTGCCTCTACTCATTTTCATAGAAACAATTTAGCCTAGCCTTGGTTAATAATTAACAGTTTGCAGCACTATAAAGCCACACAATATTAGCGCTCACATTGATTACAAATACTTGTCAAAATAAATATCAAAAGATACATGTTCTGTTTGTCTACTGTAAGCACAAATGATTACATAAAAATTACAGGCATTTCTTTTTTTTATCGAAAACCTCAAAAAAAGGGAAAGAATAAGAGAAGAATAAAATGGAAGAACAAAAGGTTGGAGAAACAGATCGGCTAGGGCCTCGTAGGGAAAATAAAGTGAAGAAACGATTCAGTTCCTGTTCAGCACTACCTCGCTCGGCCGTTTCTGTCCGTCGCAGCCAGGAGAACAAGAAGTGAGAGAACGGCTTCGAAGGTCTGTCTGTTTGTCCTTCAGTTAGAGCCCGTTCCATGTTTATTATTCCAGCTGGCCTTCGCTTGCCCAGGGCAGGGGAATCTACTTTCAGGCCATTGTTCTGCCTCTTGATGTTAGAGACAACCTGTTTCCCTGCAGGAGAGAAAACCCCCCTACAGGGGTCCGAGAAAGAGCGCAGAGTCATCCGTGCCTCTCGGGGGGAGGGGGCCCCCCTCCTACAGCTGGGGGCGGGGTAAGAGGGCGGGGAAAGAGCCACAGTTCCTGGCCTAGCAGTTGATGGAGGCACAGTCTGCTTTGGCTTTCCCCGCGGAGCTGATTATCCTCATGAGGCAGTGTCCGAACTCCTCCAGGATCAATCGCTCCGTTTCGGCCTGAGGCTGATGAGTCTGTTCTGCCTTTTTGGCCTGTTCCAGCAGACACTCGCACGTCGCTTCAAGCACCTCCTTTGTTACAAACGTATATGGCAGCCTGTGGGGGAGACGGAAACAACACCTCGGTTAGAAAATACATCGTCTTTCATGTCAACAGCTGTCATTATATGTTAGTAGAGGTGGGGAGTTACAGACGGACTTAATCATTTTTGTTCATACATTAATATTCAAAAACTACAATTAGGGAGAAAAATACATAAAGCTGCAAGTTGTCACTGAGTTTCTGTAACCTACTAGTCAAAGAAACTTCTAATTTTAAATAATAAAAGGGCATGGGAGAACAAAAATGCTCATCAGCATAAAAAACTTCAGTTGCAATAATAATATTGCAAATAATGTTTTTGTTAGAGTCCACCATTCTCACACTGGATTTAAATTGCCTTTACATGAATAAAATGTTTTAAGCTCTAAACTAAAAAGATGTGTTTTTACTTTGTTGCTTCTGTACACGGATATTTAATGTTTGAGATATACTCAACGTCCCATATAATATTACTAACATTACTAAATAAGCAAAAAACTATCAAAAGTGTGTTTCATACAGTGGGTAACAGCAGAAGAAACTCACTTTAAATGATAAACAGGGGGATGAGGGATCATAAACAACTTCAACTGCTATAATAATATTGCAAATTATCAATTTATTCCACCATTCCCACGCTGAATTAAAAGTGGCCTGTGAGAAGTCATATGGTCAAATAAAGAGGATCTTGATGAATTTCCGTTAGGCCAAGATAAGGCTGCTAGACTTGTTCTTCCTTGTTCATACCGACTGTCATGGCTCTCACATAAAGACAGATTACATTCCAGTGTGCTTGTTTTCATGTGGGCAGCTATATGTTCAGGTATAGCACCACACACACACACATATTCCACTCAGTATACATATGGATAAATGACAATTCGTTATCCATGGACCGAAGACAAGAGCCATGAACAGGGATAAATGGAACAAGTTCCCAAATTAGGGAATAAAAAAGTACTTAAACAAATGCAGATTTATCTAAAGCAGACTGTGACTGAATAACAGGGATTGTTGTGTACTCAAATGTGGCTGTAGTGTTACTAGCTGTCATTTGTTTGTGCTTGTTGGGCCTTTATTTTATAGATGTTATTGATAGTTTTTCTTCATTATTGATTTGGTTGTGTTGTATTAAGATTAGCTGCTCCTTTTTCACTTTCTGGACTTTCATGTGACTCCATGCTTTAAATAATAAAAGGTTAGGAGGAAAAAAATGATCATAAACAACTTCCGCTGTTACAATAATAATAATGCAAATGATTATTCCTCAAGAGTGTTTCTGTAATTATTGTTGTTGTAGTAGAGGTAAGTGTTAGAGTACCTCCCGCCTCCACTCGAAATAACAGGCGTCGTCCGCATTAGCAGGTCTGAGATCTGTGAGGAGAGCTTGGTCTTCGCTGCAGTCTGCTGCTGTACTCTCACTTCTGCTGCATCCGCCAGGTGCATCAGGGTCTTCCTCTCTGGGCTCTCCTCAAAGTTTTTGCATCCGACGCACTTACAAATGGACGAGCACATGATCTTCGCCTGTTAGGTGAAACAAAGGACATATAAGAATGTAAAGTCCATTTAGTCAACATGAAGTGAAAGCGACAACGCTCCTGCAAACAGTGCAGTGAGGAAACCCACCTCGTAGCACTCGCAGTAGTTCTTCAGGCAGCCCGACCGTTTGCAGTTGCAGCCTTTGCTGTGTCTGCGGTCCGACTCTCCCTCTTTGCCTTTGCCAATTTTAGGTTTGAAGGCCTCCGGGTTCCGGTCGAGACACGTCTGTAAAAAACACATTTTCACCTTTGTTTCATCCGTCTGGCAGGAAGCAACTCAGTCCAGTGACATAACTCACAAACCTCCACCTTACCTTTATAGCTTTGAGACGTTCTGTTTCATGTTCCAGGTTATTGAAGCAGTTATTGCAGTTACAATTATTGCAGAACTCTCCGTTTGCAAAGCAGTCACAGTATCTAGGGAAGAAAAAACAGAGTTCTATTTAATAAAACTGCCCCGTTAGTTAGCAGAAGTTACACATAAAATATATTGATCAGGACACTGCTGTCAAATAAATACAACACATGAAAAGTCAACAACCTACTTAACAAGTCCTACTTACAGTTTGAGACACTGCGACTTGGTGCAGTTGCATGGTTTCCTTGGTCTTGACGTTGCTTCTGCTGTTGACAAGCTGTGAGCCAATGAATAATATTACTTAAATTAAATGAAAGCATTTCAACAATCAATTCAATATCAATTAGTAGACAACCGTTGTGGTAGTTGTTCTGTAAACCTTTACATAAGTTTCACTTTTCAGTGTGAGCTTACACAATGACATGTATCTTAGTGTCTAGGCCTCTATAAAGTCCCATGTGTGGTATTTCTAAAGAATGCATATTTCGTAAAACAAATCATTCATTGCTTTCATCGACAATTTGTTTCATTGCAACTTAAACAGTAATCTGAACTGAGATAACCAAAGAATAAAAATACTGTCACAGATTAAGAAGGCCACATTTTAGATAACAGTCATCTAGTTTTCATTTTATTTTGAAAAACAAAACAAAAAAACACAACTTTGCTGCAATACTTCTTTTGTCTGGTAAATGTAGTTTTAAACACAAGATAAATGATTTAGTTGGTGACATTAACACATAAAATAAGACCCATCTTTATGTCCCTCCTTACCCATTGAGTGGCAATCTGGCCTGAGTCTGGATACCAGTGGACGCGGGGAAATTAGAGCTGCTGGCGAGGGTCACAAACGGTGACTGCTGGAGCTACAGGAGAGGCAGATAACAGAAAATTAATGAAACACATAAATATCAAAGAGCAGTGAATTCAAAAGAACAAAACAAACACCGCTGACCTGTGTGACATATTGTGCTGGCACGACTGCATAGCCCACGTTCCCGCCTCCTGGAGCTGGTGCCAGAACGGTGCCTGGAGGGAGGTTGGTGAAGTTGGGCTGGATCTGGGGTAGAGGGGTTGCAGGCATTATCAGCCGTTGCTGGGTCTGAGTGGTGGTTACTACTGCTGCTGACGTCAAGGGCTTAGGTGCCACCTACAGGGAATACAATCCATGAATGCAGCTCCAGAGGCATTTCACAGAAAGCTCTGAATGAAAACAGCATTTACAGAAGTTACCTGCTTGATGGTCTGTGCTTGGACGATTGGGACAGACATCCTGACGGCTCCTGTACTCACCACCATCGGTTTAGCTGTGAGACATAAAGCCATCATGAGTTGCCACAGAAGAGCTTCCACATGTCCATTCACAGGTTAACATTTGTCACCAGATAAACACCTATCACAACGTCTGTTTGTAAGTCACCTGTCTGTATAGAGCTGGTGCTGGGACCGCTGGGCTGCCCCGTGCTGCTAGCTGTGGTTGCTGTGACGAGGCGGACGTAGTGGAACCGGCTTCCTGGCACCTGAATCTGCTGCACGTTCGGCTGCGTGGCCAGTGGGATGATGGTCTTGAACTGGGAGCCGCCGACTCCTCCCACGGCCACAGACTGCACTGGTTTAATATTCTGAAAATGTTCGAGCAGGAGACGGAGCTTTAAGTCCAAATGACAAAAGGAAAAATTTACTTTGCATGAAAATCGACAATAGTACGAGTCAAAATTCAAATCTTGGAACTTCAAAGTACGCTGGGACAGATTTACACCTCATATCAAGCCTAACTGATCTCATAATATTAAGCCGGAAGCTTTTTGTTGCAGGCCATAAGCTGCTACAATTGGTTCTGGCTTAGCGAGTTCTGTCTCCTACCAACATGAGTGTAAAGTGCAAACCAGTTAGCTGTAAAGTCCATAAATTGTTCCAGAGAGCAGCTACAGTCATTTTGTAATGAAAGGAAAACCTTAATACAGAACAGGGTCTGGCCTTAAGAGTTAGAATAGAGAAGTTAGATTGTACATATTGTAATTTTTACTCTGTAAATAAACAAAAAGATACGTCACACAGTACAAGAGCAGTTTCAGTTTGGATGTAATGCCATCAAAAACAATAAAACACAGCCAAGAGTAATGCACTCAGATCAACAGACAGACTGTGAGAAGTGACTCACTCACACAATGTTTCATTATGCTTCTTCACTGCCAGCTGTATTGTTTATAGACAAAAAAAAACAATATGAAGACAATCTTCATTAAAAAAACATTTAAATGTGCTGTATTTTCTACATTAGAGGTGATCGTGGCATCCCAGAATACTTCATTGTTGATATAGAACAAATGACTTGAAATCAAGCCCAGGGCAAGCGCGCCCACGCTCCGGCCGACAATAAACAACGACCAGCTCCGCAGTGGGATCTCACCTGTGTCGTGGCTTGGCTGGCGGCCACCTTGACCGGAGATGCAGACGTGGACTGCTGGACTGTGAGGATCTGCTGGCCAAGAGCTACGTTGACGGGCAGCGCCACTGACTTCTGAGAGGCATTGGAGGTCGGCGAGGCCACAGACACCACAGTCACCTGGCAGAGACAAACAAGGAGAGTGCAGTATGATCAGTCCAACTACTGACCTTATCACACGCTCGATACATATTAATATTCTCACATAATATTAATGTTTGGCCCACATATCAACAACCTGCTTAAATGTGGATGGTGAATGCATCACAATCAAATTAATGACAGAAACTTGGTGATGAAGTGTAGTTTAAAGCTCTGACTGAAGTACAACAAACCTTCCTTCAGGTGGATATTTTGATTGGTCACACACACAGGTGTATATGATATCATTAATGATTGCTGTATTCCATGTAGGCGAGTCAGTCCCAGGGCTCTGGCATTGTGCATACTGACTGACTGACAGCCGCTCTTAAATAGACCATCGTTAAGGTTATTCATCACAGCTGTGCCTTTCCTGCTAAAACAACTGTGACCATCTTAAAAAAAACTGCAGTGATGGTATTTCAAGGCACCTGGAAGCTGCTCAAAGTGAAAATAAGTGGGAAACATAACAGGAAAAAAAAGCTAAATGGGGAATGATGTGTAGAATTTACCTTGCTGGGAGTCTTAAGAGGCGATATAGCGATCTTTTTGCCGGGGAGACTTTGTATACTTGTGTTGTGGGGCTCGGAGATGGTAATGGTCCTCGGGGGCATCCCTGGGGAATTCTGCGTCAGGACCCGTCCTGTGAACACGTGGCACAAGAGTTGAGAAATCGTTGCTTAATTACAGAACACAAAAGAACACAGGAGAAAAGCTGACGTTGTAGTCTTGATCTTTACCGACAAAAAAAAGACAGCAGTGTACAATAAAATCATGATGTAATAAAGCAAATGAAAGTACCTGCAATAACAGGAGACACGGATGTCTGAGGACTTAGACCTTTGCTGTTAACAGTTTTTGTGATGATGAACTTGATTGGTGCAGCTGAGGATGTTGGTGTTTTCTTAGCAATCTGTGGAGATATTGACGTGCATTTTATTTACATTCACAACTCAACACATGTATCACGTTGCAAGTCATATCAAGTTAAATCCTTAATTACTGACATTAGAATCGTCTAGCTTGTTTTGTTGTGTTTTCATCTCATCTTTTTGATTTGAGTGGAAATGGAGACAATATTTTTAAGCTTGTGCAGATTTAAACGATATGACTACATGACTAAAGAATAATATCTAATGTAAAAATCGTCACAACTGGCAAACACCTGATCCACTTAATAATACCCTGGACTGTATCAGCACCAGTGTATCAGATCTGTGTGTCACTTCTTTCTCTGCCTGATGAGTATGTGAATATTCAGGGACTGGTGATGGCTGCCTGATAGTCAATGAAGATTTATGATGTCAAATATGCCTCAATTACCCCGTCTTTTAATATTAATACATTAATAGCAAACACAGGAGCGTGTCTGTGCCCACAGAAAACATACATGTAAATAGAACTCTTTTTTTTTGGCCTTTTATTGCCTTTTTTATTGATAGTTACAGCCGAAGATAGACAGGAAAGGGGGGCAGAGAGAGAGGGGATGACACGCAGCAAACGGCCGCAAGTCGGATTTGTATTTGCACTTAGTATTAAGGAGTATTAATGTTATTTAATACATTAACTTTGATGTAATAAATGTTACATTTTATCAGGGTTATACCCTGATAAAATCTGCATTATTGCTTTATTTAAATTAATTCTTAACTTGATTGTCTATCTCTTTTTACAGATGTGTGTGTGTGTGTATCAAACTGTAGATATTTTTGTCTTTTCTTCAAGCAAACTCAGTCTCTTCTGAAAAATTCTTCTCTCTATCGGCCCCGTCATAACACCACATTTACAAGAAGGTAAACAAAAGGTAGCTTCACCTTCAAAATTCAAAACACTGCTGCTTGAACCTGCTTGTGGTGCTGTAATGTCTCACCTCAGATGCAAACAAACTTTTTTAACTTTCTTATCAACCAACCCAGCAGGAGAGCAGTAGTAGTTTAACAATCAGCGGTTGTTAAATGTCAGCTTAGAGCATCAACGCCCCAAATTATTATGTTTACTTGTTGGACAGGCCCATTGAACACACATCTATGGATGGAAAACACTGAAATCCAATCTAACAAAGCCAGTCACGCTTTTATTACGATGCTTTATAGCTAATCGTTTGTAAACAGTGCTTGCAGTCTTATTGGGCACAGCTCAAATTTGCCAAAGCAATTATGTTTAATTTAACACTAAAATGTGGTAAATGACCAAAAGTCTGATATATTAAATTGTCAAATTATAGCCATTAATTTTAACATTGTACTATAAACACAAAACAATCAGTTTTACCTGTACGGCCTTCAGCTGCTGGGCCTGTAATGTGGTCACCTGGTTGCCAGCACTGCCCACCACTTGCTTCAGCTCCGACCTCCCACCTATAGTCACCACTTTAAACTGTGGAGCTTGAGATTTGGGGTCTCCTGCAGTCTGTGAAACGCCAGGCTTGCTGCCTGTGTGGGGTAACTGCAGCACTATAGGCTGCCCCGACTTTCCTATTGCTGTAACCAAAAGTTTCTGTCCCTCCTGCTTGATGACCTGGGGCTGAGTACCTGCAGACTTTGCTGCTTCTGTGGCTTGAGCTGAGGCCACCTTGTTGAGAATGATCTGGTGGTTTGCGGCAGAGATGGTAAACGGAGCCGTGAGCTTCTGCAACCCACTTGTAGACACAGTAGTCCCAGTAACGCTATCTGTAGTTTTGGTGGTGGCTGTGGAAGTAACCATGGATGGTTTGAGGGTAAGAAGGGGTGACGATGTGCTGGAAATTGAGATGGGAAGCTGACTTGCGGAGCTGATGCTGAATGTTGAGTCTGTGGCAGTGGATGTGGTCAGAGCCTGAGTGTGTTGTGTTGAGGAAGAAGCATCCGAACAGAGGCTCAGATTTTCTGAAGCCATGGGTGTATCCGTTTCCATCGGGACCGATGTGTCATCGCCGGGCTCTGGCTGAACCGCGGCGCCGTCAGGTTGGGAGTGAGGGATGTCCTCTATGGCCTCAGTATCCATGATCTCATCAGGAAGGAGGCTGTTGAGCTCTGGTGATACCACATCCATGCTTGCAAAGTCTCAGCTCTCTGTTAATCCCAAAAGAACAATGCAATTAGTTTTCATTGTCACTGCAAAATGTGTCAGAGATATGCACAATTTTCCACTTTACGCATATAAATTGTAGTTAAATGCACAGAACACTTAACTTTCAGCATTTTTAATGATTTAAATGCAATTATTTTAACAAGATTTAGTAGAAACATGTGTTTACTGCACTTAATGTATCATAGAGCTCGATGCACACAACATATCTGAGGGAAAATTAGGGGGATTTGTTGATTACTTTGCACAAAGTTGTTGGATTTAATTGCAATAAAAAAAGATTTACAATGTTAAAATATATATTGTGACCTACAAATCTTTTTCTCTAGATTTAAGAAAACATATTTGTTTGGTACAGACTCCCAAAAATGTCCAATCGTCATGATTTTAATCATTTTTTTCAGTGAAAATAAAAATTGTAATGCAAAAATTATCATTCCCACACTAATTGAGAGTCATATCGCAGTATCTGTCAAAATAATCGCATGTTTTTACCCTTATTGTGCAAGCCCTAAATTGAACACATACACATTTTAGTTAACACTTATTAAGGAGAAGCAAGAAATTACTGCATTAAATGCATCATAGAGCCTGATGCACACAACATATCTGAGGAACAATTAAGAGAATATGTTCATTACTTTACAAAGTCGTTGGATTCAATTGCAGTTAACAAGATTATTAATTTATGTTTTATTGCTCTACATAATTGATATAAAATGCAAACTGGACAATAAAGCAATGGGCTTGAAAGGTCTTTGCAAAGAAAATAAAAAAACAAGCAAGGCAGTTAAAGTTAGCCAGTATAGCTGTATTCACAGCAAAAGCGGTTTGATAAGTTTAAGCAGGTATCTGCAGGATAAACTGCTTTCAGCTTCAGTATAACCTTAAATTAGACTGATTATTATCCCCCTGAATGATGTTTTATATAAAGAATGCTCCAGTTTTTCCTAATATGTCTGCTTTATTCCTGTCTATATTTGTTTTACGTATTTTTTTTTACATATTACATGTTTTATTGTGTAACTGATCTGATGTATCTGCAGGGCGCCACTCTGAATGATGTTTTATAAACACAATGCTCCTGTTTTTCTGAACATATGTGCATTTGTTTTATTGTCTTTCTAGCCACTCTGAATGAAAGCGTCGCTCTCAATAGATTTTCCCCGATTAACTAAAAAAGATTCTCTCGATTTCTTTTACATCTGTGAATTAATGATCAGCAATCAGCAGAAAACGTGTGCATACATGGTTTTTATTTTTTTTTTTTAGCTCTACTGATTTTGACACAGGGTGACAGCTGATGCATGGGTTAAACTAGGCCTTATCTTTGTCCTGCTGCACTCTACTCAACATTAATCCACTGAAACATATGAACCCTGCCCACCACACACACACACACACACACTAAGAGAACTGCTCTAATTGTTTCCGCGGATGAAGCTGCACTTGTTGACGAAAATAAAATAAACAAAAAACACCCCCCCCCAAAAAAGAAGTGATCCCAGCTTGGGGGCAAAGAGTGAGGAAGAAGCTCCAGCTGTGTGCTGGCTGCGTTACTATTTCAGGCCGGGGTTGGATTTCGAAAGATCCGCCATTTTTCCCTCGTCATCAACTCTGTTAGCTCCCCGGCTAACGTTGAGCTGTGAGGAGAATGACGGAATGCATTTAACTTATTATTATTATTATTATTTCACATGAAGCCGGAGACACTTACCCGCCGCACTTCAAACACACACACACACACACACACACACACACAAGAGCCAACAACGAGAGTCGAGGATGTTACACTTGCTATGTGTGCTACTAGCGACTAACAAACTCTTTGAGCTGACAACGTAAACAATGCTAGCTTTCAATAATTGCTGCTGTCACTTGAGACATCCATCTGGGTTGAGATCATTGGAGCCAGACAATGCAGACAAGCACTACTGCAACCTAAAGGCATGTGTAGCCTGTGCTTTTTTTTTTTTGAGGGGGGGGCTTGGATTACAGGTTGTGAATAACATATTTTAGTAAATAAATAATAATAATAATAAAAAAAAAAAGTAAATCCTATTTTTTGACCCAGTTAAGATGCAGACAAAATCCGTTTCTAAGCCAGATTCAATACAAGGTTTAAGGCAAAGCTAACAGCAAACGTGACTGCTAACTTGTCCAATTATATATTTTAATGTACAGTATCAATAGAAGGAACAGTTCATGCAGAAATCGCTTTAACATCCCATCAAAACAACTCTTAAATACTCAGATCTCTCTCTCTCTCTCTCTCTCTCCAGCGCCAAGACAGGAAGCAGCAAACCGGTAGTTACTTCGCTAACAGCCAAAGAAACTGCTCAGATACCGACACACACATCACGGACGGTGAATTAACAGTGTTATGAGTCGGTGTTCAATTCGGCGTGTGTGAGATCCACCAACCAGCACTTATTTTAGTGAGAAATTACAACTTTCGAAACGGTCCGCCGCTCATTCCCACACTTTTTCCCCCCACTGAAAGAGCGCAGCTACAACGGAGGCTGAGCGCACTGAGGTGATAAAATGTAAAGTTTGTACAGAATATAGTTTATCTTTAAGGATTATATTGATGCCGAATTGACCAGGAGACTATCGATAAATGTCTCACTTCAGTTTGTGTTTCTAGAGTAACGTATTATTACGGACACGTTAGGACATGTTAAAATGTTATATTTCTTAAAGGGAGTTTGGCGCAGGGAGCTCATAGTTGAATTGAAACTGATAATATGCATCATTTAGGTAGCTGTTAAAGTATGCCAACGTTGTCTAACGTTAAGTGCTGTTAGTTATTAGTTTGATTAATGGTTTAATAATGTATTGATTACTGACACTGGCTAGTTATCAGCTTATTGTACGCAGTATGCTGAGAAACGTTTCCCTTTGTGCTACTACTTTCCTAATTAAACATGGTATTATTAATAAAGAGACCAGTCAAGACTCCTTTTCAAAGAGCTTGCAGTGTCTGTTATTGATCAGTCACAACAACTTCCAGACTGCGTCCAAGGTTCAAGTTTAGCATTTACTTTTAATTCGCGGTCGCAGGAGCCTTAAACTCTGCAGGCGGTTTACGAGACAATTTGCTCCATATGTTGTTAAATATGTTAGTACACGTCAAAGTTTGGACTCTAATTGATCAGTCACAGGGATAATCCAGGCCCCCCTTTCATGGGTGTCCACCATTAAGCATCGTTATCATCCTCCTCCTCCTCATCCTCCTCATCAAAGCCAGCCCAGCGGGCAGGACAACTGTACTAGCAAACTTGCCGAGGCTGCTAACCCGAGCTAGCTAGCACAACATTATATCTCTCAAACACTCAACACTTTCTTAAGTGTGCGGCTCTCCACTGGAGGCGGTGGAAGCGAAGCCGAGAGCGGGCCGACACACGGCGATGCTTACCCGAGGTATTTACGCTGGGCAACGGCTCCAGATAAAACGAGGAAAGGAAAAGGCGATTGTTCAAAATACCGCGCCGAGCGCCATTCCTCCCTGACATTTCACAACCTGACCACGCCCTCCGCGCCTCACGTCACTGCTACGTAACTCTTAAAGGCGCAGAGCAACTTCAGCAACAACACTGCTTTTGTTGTGATTAAAACAACAACAACAACAACAACAACACAATTTGGCTAGTGTGTGTGTGTGTTTGCATGGTAAAAAATAAACAATGCTTTTTTTAAAAAAGAGTATAAAAACGTACATAAAGGTTTACTGATATCATACAAAGATAATTTTACCTTCTGAAGATTAGTATATATTTAATGGTGCTTAAATAAATATATGAAAAGCTCAGTGGCTTAAGAGATGCAATAAATTATACAAAAATAATAAATTGATTGATTTCTTTTACATTTGTACATGGCAGACTGCAAGACTCATCTTCATGCATCCTGCAGTCCCAGAATTTTTATTTTTATTAATATGATTACATATATTAAACATAGTATTAAAACTATATATAAACTGCTTAAATAATAATGTTAATATCTTGCCAGCATATTCATTCATATATCTATAATGTTATTTTTTCTTTACATATTTCTGTACATTTGTAAATTGCACTTTACTACTTTGCGTTTCGTTGTTTGCACCTGTACTTACAATGACAATAAAGTTGAATCAAATCAATCAATCAAATCAAATATTTAGGATGCAAACCACAAGGGAGCTTGGTTCCTCTTAATAAGACATGAGCGCCCCTAAAAACCCAGATTTGTGAAATTTTGGGGGTTCTCTGACAAAACTAATACAAATACTAATCTTAAAATACAATACTGACATCTTGTGAGTCTTTAAAGGGCCCTGACCCCTAGGTTGGGAACCACTGGACTGAAATACCTCAACCTCAATCAGCCACAACAGTAAAAGATTACATATCAATTTATCAGTATTAACAATCTCATATTTTCTCTGCACACTGAGTACTTTTAAGCCAAGTGACGCAGGTTTTTATCTATCAAGAACAGGGTGTTAACTACAGGGGTCTCCTCTTAATAAGACACAAGCTCTGACAATAATAATATTAAAATACACACAACATGCTTATTTTGCCTCTTTATCATCATGTATCATGTATAAAATGAAGCTATTATTGATGCATTTATGTCATTAACTGATTATTAAATATAATACGTGTTAACACAAAGCAAACAGGCCTACATGGTTGCAGCTATAAATGTTTCTTTCCATTCTCACAATGCTTTTTGCACCAAATAGTCCAAAACCTCAAAACTATTAAAAAAAAATAAAAAAACATAATTATCAGCAACAAATACTCACATTTAAGATTTAAGAAGGCGGAACGTTTTAAGTGTGAAGAGTCGGTACATTGAAACAAGCCCACACACACACACACACACACACACACACACACACACACACACACACACACACACACACACACACACACACACACACACACAGGAAGGAAGGAAGCCGGTGTTGTTGACACTCCGACGAGCGACAATGGCGACCGAAGTGAGGCAGGAGCTCGCACAGCTGATGAATTCCACCGGCTCCCACAAAGATCTTGCGGCCAAGTACGTAACGCTGATTATAAAAATATAAAATATAAAATATAAAATATAAAATATAAAAGCTGTATTAGTTACCGACTGCGTGGAACTGAGCCCAGCGAAGCTAACGTTAGCCACCTAGCTCCATTAGCCACACATTCAGAGAGGAAGACGTTAATTAAATGTTAGTTGAGAGAAATGTTTGTCTCTCAAAGCGTTTTTATTCTTCTGAAGATGCAACAGTAAAAGCAGCGAGGCTAATACTGACGTTGGCTGCTGTTATGTGTGATAATATTAGTATCTAATAGCCATCAGTACCCCAAAACTGGAAGTCTCTCACACCTCTGGTTTAAAAGACATTTATAATTCACCAACTTCTGTTACTGTCTGTCCATTTTAATAACAGTATGAGTTTTAATGTACGTTTGAACCAAAAGGACAAGGCATGATCTCAGGGCACACACCTGTATGATCGTGCTTTAAAACATTTATTTATGTGAACTAATGCAAAATAAAAAAAAGGACAAACAGCCATCACTCATGAAATATGTATTAACAAAATAATTTTGTAAAATAAAGTTGTATAGTTGCGACAAAGCAGCAACATTTCAACCAGTCAGGACACACAATTAAAAATACTATGATGGAACTACATAGTGTGTTCAAGTACTGATATATTACATTTAATTTATAACTGTTTGTATAGTTTATTGGATGTTGTATTGTTGTTAAAAACTTCCGTTGCGCGCCGTTTAGGGAACCACTGGTTTTTACATTTTCAATTCAATTTTATTTGTATAGCGCCAATTCATAACAGAAGTTATCTCAGGACACTTTTCAAATAGAGCAGGTCTAGACCGAACTCTTTAAAACATTAATTACAGAGACCCAACAGTACCACCATGAGCAAGCACTTGGCGACAAGGGCAAGGAAAAACTGCCTGTTAAAAGGCAGAAACCTCGGACAGATCCTCCGTCTGTCTCGACCAGTTTTGACCAAAGTGTGTTTGTATGTGTGTACCTATCATTCATTATTACATTCATCTCTCGCAGGGCCTTCACTATAAAAACTAATGCTGTTTCTAACCTGTAAAATCTATCTGTATCTGTAGATATCGACAAATTTTGGACAAGGCCATTCAGTTTACAGATGCAGATCAGCTGGAATCCTTGAAGGCCTTTGTTGAAGCAAGTATGCTAAGCCTGAATTTCTTTTTACACAATCAGCATTTTCTACATCATACGTATGCTTAGTGCATCTGGAACATAGCTTACCATAAAGTTTATATCTTTCTTTTACAGTGGTCAATGAAAATGTCAGTCTTGTCATCTCGAGACAGCTGCTCACTGACTTCTGCACACATCTGCCAAACCTGCCTGACGCCACAGCTAAAGCAGTGTATCACTTCACCTTGGAAAAGATTCAGCCGAGGGTCATCTCCTTTGAGGAACAAGTAAATGCCCTCCCACTCTCTCATAGCCCTGATGAGGATTTGTAGTTAACCATTCAGTTAGTAAAACGTCCTATTGAAATACACTGTTAAAATATGTTCTTACACACCCTCAGGTAGCCTCAATCCGACAGCACTTAGCAACCATATATGAAAAGGAGGGAGACTGGAGAAATGCTGCGCAGGTTTTAGTTGGTATTCCCCTGGAAACAGGACAGAAGTAAGTAAGCTACTGGCAGATTTATTTCCTGACCTGTAATGCCTGTTATATGCCCAGAAATCTAAATGCCTTTTTTATTCCCTCACATAGGCAATACAATGTGGACTATAAGCTGGATACATACCTGAAAATTGCCCGTCTCTACCTGGAGGATGATGATCCAGTGCAGGCAGAGGCCTACATCAACAGAGCCTCACTGCTTCAGAATGAGTCCTCTAATGAACAGCTGCAGATACACTATAAGGTACACAAACATTTCACTTTATTCACCACGTGTAATGCTTGGTCTGCCATAAAGATCGAAGGAACACTCTGCTCCGCCTTGGTTTTAGCATTCATGACAACACTCTTTAAATTTAATGTCATACTGCACACCATAACTCGAGCAGACTCTGAGCAGTGGCTGTAAGCCAGCACTATTAAACAGTGTCTGTAGTTGATTGGTTCAGCGTTTTCATGCCGTCTCTCCTTCTTAGGTGTGCTATGCCAGAGTCCTCGACTTCAGGAGGAAGTTTATTGAAGCTGCACAAAGATACAACGAGCTGTCTTATAAGTCAATTGTCCATGAGACCGAACGTCTGGAGGCACTGAAACATGCCCTGAACTGCACCATACTGGCCTCTGCAGGTACCACCAAGACTTTATTGTTGTCAAAGATAATGTAAATGGGAAACTTATAAATTGTGGATTTGTCAACTGTCATTTGTTTCAGGCCAGCAGCGTTCCCGTATGTTGGCCACTCTTTTTAAGGATGAGCGTTGTCAGCAGCTAGCTACCTATGGTATTCTGGAGAAGATGTACTTGGACCGCATTATCAGAGGAAACCAGCTACAGGAGTTCGCTGCCATGCTGATGCCCCACCAGAAAGCCACCACAGCGGATGGTGAGTCCAGATAATTCACTTCACACAGCCTCAGCTGCCAGGTTGTTGGATTTAGCGTCCGAGCCAAGCATTTCCTATTCCTACGATCACTTCTTCCACAGGAGATAGCTCGTAGTTTTTATATCTAATATATGTAGTATTGATTTAATGTAACATTTAACCACAGGGTGACTGCAGGTTTTTTATGTTTCATAATGTAAGAATGAAAGTAATTGAAGTTGTGTGTTTTCTCTCGAAGGCTCCAGCATCCTCGACAGAGCTGTGATCGAACACAACCTCCTGTCTGCTAGCAAACTCTACAACAACATCACTTTTGAAGAACTAGGAGCACTGTTGGAAATCCCCCCAGCAAAGGTGAGACATCGGTTCTGTAAATATTTATATCGTTTTCATTTTTGGTCTTTTTTTTCTGCAACCAAACTCTATGAAATATTATGTATTTATATATTTAGTTAGCTGCCACAAGTCACAGTATGAATATTTTCAGTTCCGGCTTTTGCTTGTAGAGTAGAAGTGTTTCAGTAGTGTTAACGTTATCAAAATATATATACTGTATTCACTTGTTAAACATTCAAGCACATTGCAAAACATTTGGAACCTAAAATGTATAAAATGTAATTTCTGTTCGTATTAAACATCCTTTTTACTCCATTTTGCATAATGTATGTTGAGATGTTACTTTCCTTTGTTTGTCTTCAGGCTGAAAAAATCGCCTCCCAGATGATCACCGAAGGACGCATGAATGGCTTCATCGACCAGATAGATGGAATTGTACACTTTGAAAGTGAGTAACGACAGCCAGTTGATGTAGGACAGAACATGTTTTTGTGAACCAAAATACATTTCAGTCTCACTTTTTAATGTGTTTTGGGGAAAAAAAACTGTCGATCATGCTGTAAATAGCACAGCACCAATACACATTTTCCTTCATATCTATTGTACTTTCTTTGCCAGTATGGGCATGAAATAGTTCTTCAATAGCATTCATAATGTTGTTAAAAGGGTCTTAAAAGTCTCAAATGTAACCAGCTGAAACCTGTAGAAACCCTGTGTTAAGTTAACTTCCACCTTAACTATCTCAAGCGTCAATCTAATGTCTCAAGTATTCTGTGAGCCACCATAGTTATCTATAACAGGTGTGTGATGAGAGTCTCCTGCTTCATGTTTCCTTTTTGCACTATTAATGTTTTAACGTTAATGGACGATGGATGTCATTTTGGCAACATCGAGAGAGACGTTATCAATGACAGGGTGCAAGGTAATTATGGCCTCAGTTCTGTTACTGTAAGGCATTGTGATACGTACTCTTATCTTAGTGTTATATTCACTTCTGATGGAAGTGCCCTGACCTTAATGAAACTCCATGTTGAGAAGAAAGCAAACCGTTAATAATCCTTTCAGCTAATTATTATCGAGCTCCATTTAGTGCAAAAGAGATAAAACAGGGAGAAGTAAAAGCAAGACATATTGTCATCTAAAGCCTGAATTAATTGTCCATCTGCCGTAAACAGACAATAATAATTATGATACATTTACAACATTCCCCCTTTTATTACACACTTAAATGGTCTTACTTCACTGTTTATTGGCACATATGAAAGAGTCTTATTGTTATGTTGCAAGATGTTCCTGAATAATTTTGTATTATTTTAATCAATTTTGATTTTATAATTTAAAGTTATATTAGGTGTCGTTTATATTGGGATATAGTTGAGTCTGAATATATGTGGCCAGTAGGGGGCAGCCTTGTCAAACAAAAATGACACAAAAACAACCAGATCACCTTCCCTGCTTTTGGAAAGTGGCAGTGCTTTTTTTATTTGTTGTTCATGAAATGGAAATGTATTTGATGCCCTGACTTCTAATCTTTTCTTCTTCCTTTTAACCCCGGCAGCCCGTGAACCACTTCCCACATGGGACAAACAGATCCAGTCTCTGTGTTTCCAAGTCAACAACCTCTTAGAAAAGATCCGTCAGGCTGCTCCAGAGTGGGCTGCGCAGGCGATGGAAACCCAGATGACCCAGTAAACATCTCCACCCATCCCAAAAAAAAAAAAAAAAAAATCCCCTAAACGGCTCCCTCAGCCTGTCCTGAAGTGTTGTCTTCCTGGTCAGAAGCGTCACCACTTCAGTCCCAGTGATGGAAACGCCCAAGGAGAAGCCTCTGCTATCACCATCACTTGAATTTTTCAGAGAACACTGTTTTATTACATTTGCCCAGAGGGAACACAGTTCAATGTTTCTCAATATTTCCGATCTGATGTAACATTAAGGTGTGACTTCATATTATTTACTTGGCATGTTAAAGATTTGGATGTGATTGTTCAGATAGTTGACATGTAATAGGGGTCAAAAAGAAGTGAGAAATGCAAACAACTGGTCAGTTTAAGCTTTTGTGTTCCAACACGTTCTTGTGTTTTTAACTTAACATAATTACACAGCAATGTCTGTCAAATGGCTCTTGATTTATGGCGTTGTGTAAACCTTCTCGGTCCACATTTATTAAATTTCAGCAAAGAGAATTAAATTCAAAACTGAGAGAAAATGTTCAGCATCTTGGTTGTCACTGAAGTTTATTTTGTGCCTCTGTAATAATTCATTTATATAGTTTAAATCAGCATTGTATCAGTTGTTTTTGAGTTTGTTTTCCTGCAGCTTTCTGAGCAATGTCCTCTTTAATCATCAGGATGTTCCCTCTGTTTTCCCTGTGAGAAAAGAATAGTGCATTTTCTAAAGAGTAGGTCAGAGTGCTGGATGACGGACAGAAAATGTTCATGCTAGTTAAGGTAGTTGGAGAGCTTCTTTAAAACTGTGTTTTGTATTTGAGAAAATGTTTTAATTGAGGTTCAGCATCATTTTCAGCATTTTTATTAACCTTCAACAGCACTCATTCGTTGGTGTAGCTGATCCACACAGGTTTATAGCTGAGGGCACAGTCTGTGTCTGCAGCAGGCAGGCTGAGGTGATACACTCTACTACTATTACTACTACTTCTAGTTATACAGTCTGTGCTGTAGACCAGTGGTTCACAACCTGGGAGTGCTCAAAGCTTCACAGGAGTCACGAGACCTTCTGGATTTTCAGGGGTGCAAAAGAACTTTTAAAATATACTCAGTAGGCTTATATCTCAACATTTAGCTCATTTCTGTGAAGAAGAAACTAAATTGTTATTTTTAAAGTTTAGATTTGTATTTAATATAAACTTTAAACACCTGAACACAAGCTTTATTCAAAAAGCCTTCACTCTGTAATAAACAGCCTCGTCCTGTGTTTGAAAACTGCACTTAAATCAACCAAAGACTTAATAAAACAATGACCAGGCATCAGGGAGAAGAAAACACTGAATTCGTCATTAAAAGAAGAAGCCTATTAAGTGTGTCTGATTGTTAAAAAGAAAAATAACAACGTAACAGAGCAGAGAATTGTAAATTGTAAATTATATTCAATATTCCTATTTTTAAAGCAATAGGCTAGTTAATTGCTGTAAAATAAATGGGAAAGTTAGATTACTGCAGTTATTCACAGAGAAGATCCTCAATGAAACACAAGCTCATGTTTCTCACTAATTATCAAAAAGATGCAGTTCAATGCATCTGCAAAGCTTTAGTGTTACTACATCATGATAACGAAGAAAAGTGCCTGAAAAACATTGGTTTGATATAAATGTAGTGATTGTAAACACTTGTAATGTGGCATTTATGTGTTTTTCTTGATGAATAAGACACTGATGACATCTTTATGTAGGTTTTTTTTCCCTACCAAAAATGTAATTCAAAGGAGGTACATTAAGGAAAACGGTTTGAGAACCACTGAGGGGAAAAAACAACAAGGGAGTTCCTCTGCTCATTCAAATTAAAAGAATTTTTATTACAGCAGCGTGAAAAACATTAAAACATTTAGTATCCAGGTCAGAAGTCCAGCAGGATCCATTTAGTATACTTTCCATAGCCAAGCCCTCGGTGTTAAAGGTTTGATTCCTGTTTAGTTCGACACACACACTGTAAAAAAACAACCGCATGATTTTAAGGCACAATTCTATTAAGTAAAACTCAAACTTTAAAGTTTTTGAAATAAACAAAAGAAAAAAGTTTTCCAGACTGTTTCTTCTTTAGAAACAAAACATTCTGTATTTCAAACACTTTTCACAGCGATGTTTCATTATTTGGGTGCTTGGAAATTAAATAATTGCAATTACAAATTTTTAAATGCAGATTTTTGGTTTTCAAAACCTAAAGATTCAAGTTTTTCTAAAAAAGTTTGTAATTTTTCATTAATTACTGTCAGCTTATTTCAAAACTTTGAAATAGTTTGAGTTTAAGCTTGACATAAAACTCAAAAATGTAATGGCGACTGTTGCCTTGAACATTTTTCTTTTACATTGCATGCATTGACATTCAAACTGGTGATACCAAAGGACAAAAAATATCTTTTAAAGAATCAGGTTGTGTTCAGTGATGGGAAAAAAGCTAATGGCAGTGTATGACACCTTATGTCAACACCAATCTTCTCCACATCCTGTCAACTGCTGGAAATTACAACTACAATTTATGACAGCAGCAGTAAAGGTGTGTCCCTGGCCGACTAATATTTAACCAACGCCACATCATTCAGAGAATTTAAGTAAAAAAATCCCAACAATAATCTGTTTACAACAACCGCTAAAGGTTATATTACACTCCAGTAGGTTTACAGCTTCTCACAGCATCTAAAAAAACTGGATTTTCCACGATGTCAGAAGCTCCATAAAGGTGACAAAACATGGTGTGGTAAATATGAGGTGATTTTAAAGGAGGTTTCTGGTTTGGTGCTTTCACAACACACTTACAGGAGCATTCAGAAAATGCCTTGCTCCTTCCTGCGGTCAATATCTCTCTTCAGCTGGCAGGTGGCGCAGACTGGACAGCACCAGGACACCATGAAGTCATTACACAGCGAGCCCTGGAAGCAACAAACACCGACTGTTAGCGGGTGCATCAGAGGTTAATACAGCTGAGAACTTTTGTTGGAAAGGGCCGTGGGGTTACTGACACATCTTAATAAATGAACATATAAAACGGAGTCACTCATTCACTTAATTAACTCAAAAACTTATTTTAAATAGAGGCGATATATTTCCAGTGCGTTCCATTGAGTCATTTTCTTCAAGTAGACTTTATATTATTACAAAAATGGAAGCAATAAAATGCCGTAAAGCATGTTTGCCCATTCTGGGCTACTGTAGAAACATGTCAGTACAACATTGCAGCCTTCGCAGAAGGCAGCGAGTCGATTATACACAAATGAAAACATACCGTAGGCCAAAAGATCCTTATAGATGTTACACTCTGGACCTATATATTACATTGGTTGACAGCTGGAGTGACAGATTAGCTCAGAGATTAGGATTTGACTTTTGAAATATGCATTGTTAAAGATTAAACCGGTGGCTCTCAACCTTTGTGGCTTACAGAACAGCAGTGTCTACTTAAGGCTCTTTGTCATGTTTTCACCAAAAGAGTGATTTGCCATCTAACCCTTACTGATGGTTTCATTTAATAACTGCTCAGGGCCCAAACAGGTAAAAGCATCCAATATTTCACATAAAAGCAAGGATTACCGAAAAAATGAATACAGATTTGTGTTTTAGAACTTTGTATTTTCTCCTTTCCCTTCCCATTTATCATCTTATGACCTCTCAGATTTATCCGGTGACCCTTTGGAGGGGCCCGACCCCTAGGTTAAGAACCGCCGGATTAACAGTATATAAAGTTAAAACTATTTCCACCTCGAGCAGTAAAACAGTAAAATACTGCACTCACACAGCCATTATTCTGCATTTGCTTTTGATACTTTAAGTACATGCTGGTAATGCTTTTATTTAAAGTTCCCCCTCCACTCAAAAATATGTGTTTCTTCCTGTTGCTACAGTGTGATGTTTGAATGATGTATGTACAGAGTTTGACACTAGAAGGATGTTTTTACATTCGTCTGCTGAAAGTTGAAAGTTTCTTGTGTCCAGCAGGAAAACTTTAGAAGTGAACTCAATTTGAGGTAGAAGGAGAGTAGATTACTTTTTAAGGATTTTAATGTAGAAATTATACTTCTTTTTGGAGAAAAAAACACATTACACACATTATTGCTCATAGCAGACAACTGCTACATTCAAACTCGATTATTTTGCTCATATGTGACTCAGATCAGATTTTTTCTGAGTTTGGTTTGATTTCTTTGCAATGTGACCTCAGTGTGAACAGTCGTATCAGATTTTATGTGACTTTTACGACATTCAGGTCACTTCAGGACTGTGATCTGTTCGCAGTGGAATAGGATATGTGCCACATAAACAATCAGCACTATAATAATTGCAGTGTGAACGTAGCCTACATGTGTGGACGTATCTCTGAATGAAGCACTTTTAGTTCAACTCAAACTGTTTGAGGAAACTGATTGCCTTAAACCGTTTAAGTGTATTAACTCAAATAATGAAAGCATGGAATATAATTAGATTTGAGTACAAGTAAGTTAAGTATTTAGTAAGTTAACTTAAATTAAATAATACATTTTAATTTAAAACGAGTAAGTAAATTACCGTCATAAGCAGCATTTCTCCAAACTCATTTAAAATGTGTTAACAGAATGTATCTATTCTATTTGTCTATTTTAATCTGTCTTTATATATATATATATATATATATATATATATATATATATATATATATAATAAAGTAAGAATAACTTAACTTCATCTTCTTTATACAAATATTTCCACTTAAGTTTAATTTAATCAAAGTAAATGATTACATTACAGTGACGCTTGCATTTTTATAACAATATAAAGTCAACTTAAAGAAAATAAGTCAGTGGAACAGACTGGAATAATATCAACAATTTTTGGGAGGATTCATTTATGTTAATTCACCTTTTTTTATGAAGATATGCTGTTAGGTTTTACAGTGCATTAGTATTTTTAAGCAAAATAAGGTTGGGAGCCACTGTTTTACAGCTATTAAAGGTAATACTGTTACCTGACAATAATGCTGTTTTACTACATGATCCAAAGGGAGACCTACAGTCAACCAGCTCCATATATATCCAATGAAAACCTACGTTGATGTTGTACTTGGTCCTGTAGACGCTGCGGATGGGCATGCCCAGTCCACACAGGCAGCACTCGCCCATGTCACTGGCGATGGAGCAGCCGAGGCACATGTAGCAGCACAGACCGTAGCAGCCTGATTCAGAGAGGAAGAGAAATGTTAATATTAATACATAGTCTTCAACTCACATGCTCAACTGTGTGCAAATCAGATTTTCCCAGTAAGAAATAAGTGCTCACAAGTTCCACAGTCTTCACAGAAATTACACAGGCCCGTCTGGAACTCAGAGGGCTGGTATGTCCCCGGTTGGTTGGTCACAGCCATGATGAGGGATAATTCTGTGTGGGATGAAAAGAGTTTGTCACCGATGTCTTGCTCTTATCACAGTTCCCGAGCCCAACACCGAAGAGGCCGAGGCTTATTTTGTGATGTCCCCCCCCACCATGCAGAGATAACAATAAATTACACCTCTTTAGAACTTCAAACAATATGGACACACATTCAGGATTCAGAGTCAAGCAGTCGTTAGGAGGTAAATCTTACCAGATGGTTGGAGGGTTGAAGGACGGTGGAAGGACTTTTCCTGGACTGAAGCCAGAGTCTTTATAAAGGTTTAAAGCAGGTGACTACTGTAGTCATAAACGTTATCACTTCTATTGTGCAGAGGTCACTAAACACACCTGCACCAAACCCAGTACTGCAATAAACCTCAATCGTACAACATTACACTCCCTCCTTATGAATGTTACCCTTTTTTTAAATCTTATATTTTTAGATGTTAATATAAACTGTAGAAGCAAATGTAATGATTTGAAATTAGCAATAAAAAAAACTTTTGGTTTAAAAAATAACAAGAAAAATGAATTCCAACTTCCAAAAAGTGTTAATATTTATATCCATTGCATCTGAAATTATATTAATATAGTGTTTTGAATTGAATTGTGCATCACATTCATGTTAATAACCTACTGAAGCTTTTATTATTTATTAACCGCCCTCCTCTGTGAACAGCCGCCGCATCAAAGGTCAGATAATATGAACCTATTAATAATTCAATGACAATAAAAAAGTTTTCTCTTTTCTTCTCCTTCCTTGTTTTAGTGATTTAATTTGAGCCTACATTTACTCAAGCACTGTACTCAGGTAGTTGTAGTTTATCTTAGTATTCGAATACTACGTTAATATCATCTCCACCTCGGCCAACTACAATATTAAAAGGTCACTTAAATATTAACACAGCAATAATAATCATCCAGCAGTATAATATGTAGTAATATAACCATAACAGAGCAATCTATCCTGCACAGTGGCTACTGTTACTTTATCTACATTTAGCTGATTTTGCTTTTACTTAAATAGGGTTTTGAAAAGCAGGACTTCTCTGTGTGTATTCTTACAGAGTGGTAAAGCATCTGAATACTTCTTCCACTGCTGACGGAGGTTTATTATGTGTGCAGTGTAACACACATTGCACATTAGGCTATCTCGAGTTAAACATCATGCTGACACACCCTGTCCTCAATCACAGCAGCAGAGAACAATCAATAATGTGATTAGGGGTATATATGACCCTGTTCTTCTTGTGAAACTAATTTTAAAAAGACTTTTCAGACCCTTGCTATGCTCCTTTCAGACACACGGTGGCGCTGCTTCCCACAAACTGGCTGACACCTACTCGGGGCTGTGTAGGAGGGCATGTAATGACGAGCTGACTGTAATGATATAGGCTCCTACATAATGAGCAGCTGTAACTGAAGCTCAGGAATAGGCATGATTTTCAATTTCCTACAGACTAAAGATAGACGTGGGCTAAATTACAGCAAAATACATGAGGTTGCCATTAGCCTACACTCCTCAGCAGACCCCCTAAAATACTTTCACCGGCCCGAGCACATCCAACGATTCAGACATCAAACTTTTAAACCTACTTATTGGTAACAAATAGAGTCTGGAACTGTGTGTGTGTGATTTATTTCAGGATACTACAGGGTTAAAGATAAAATCAGACAAACCTGTGCGTGTTCTTTTTAGCCTGACAGCAGTTTTCATTAGCTAATTTCAAAGTTGGTGCCAAACAAATGTCAGAATATGTTCTGTGTTTTTCTAATATTGTTCCTTGTTGATGTTTGTGGTTGCTGGGCGATGATCTACTGTAGGTCATGTCATCATCTTCTGTACAGAATTTACACCTAGAAAGTGGATTCAACCAGCAGAATATTACTATATGAGGCACATTTGCTCGAGTACAGTTTTGAGGTACTTGAATACTTCCACTGTATGCTACTTTCTGCTTCTACTCCACTACAGTTCATAGGGAAATATTGTCATTTTTACTCCATTACATGTATCTCACAGCTTATTTTTTTCAGATTTGGATATTACATACAAAATATATAAAAATATGATGCATTATTATCGATAAACTAGCCAAAAGTGGTTAAAATGAGTTCTTCTTCAACATAAAAGTTCTGCCTACGTGTTAATGCATCAATCTAATATTGATTCAATATTTAAATGTAAATACTTTTTATATTTAATTCACTGATGGAAGAAGTTCCTCAGATCCTTTACTAACTTAGCATCAATACAGAAGTGTAAAAATACTGCATTCAAGAAGTATTATCAATAAAATGTAGCTAAAGTATCAAAAGTAAAAGGACTTTGACTGACATATGGTTCTGTGTGACATTATTAGATTGTTAATACTGATGCATCAACGTTAGAACAACATTTTATTGTTTTACTGCTCAAAGTGGAGCCAGTTTTAAGTACTTCATATACCGTTTAACTCGGGGTCGGGCCCCTCCAAAGGGTCGGCAGATAAATCTGAGGGGTCATGAGATGATTGGTGGGAGTGGAAAGAAGAAAAAGTTCTGATACCCCAGTCTGTTGTCATATTTTGTGTTTTTCTCTGATCTTTGCTTTTTGTGAAATATGTGACATATTGATGATTTTCCCTTTATGTGCCTCAAAAGTGGTGAAATGTCTCTTTGTCAGAGCGGCACACTGTGTTTTATATATAGGATAACAAATCAACAGTAGTGAAGAGTAAGTACAAATCTGACATACTTGTACTTTACTTTCCATTTTATACTACTTTATACTAGGAAATATTGTTCTTTTTACTCCACAAAAGTCATTTGATATTCTTAGTTACTAGCAAGATTTTACATGAACAAACATATGATCAGCATATATATAACAGTATATAACGTAGTTAAAATTAGCTTCATCTTGACCTACTAACAGTAAAATGCTACATACACATTAATGCATCATGCAAGTATCAAACACTCAATTATACTTAAAGACTTTTACTTCAAGGAGTATTTTACCTGGTTGAGAACAGTCTGAATTGAATACAGATGCCTCTTTATGTCCTACATTAACAAACAAATCAGGGAGAAGATTGGCTGTTTCTGTATAGTTATTCTTAATATCTGCCATCGGGTCGGATTCCCCTTGAAATCAATGTAACAAGTCGGTTGAAACACTGCTGCCTTTGTCCACAGGAGGTGCCAGAATCAACACTTAAATAACGCCTCTTGTTGCTGCTTTAAATATAATTTTCAATACAGAACTTATACTTCCAAAACAGGGATTTTTACAGTGTGGTTGTCCTTTTATTAAAGTAAATATCTTAATAGTTTATAATAGTAATAATAGATAGATAGATAGATAGATAGATAGATAGATAGATAGATAGATAGATAGATAGATAGATAGATAGATAGATGACAACCAAAAAACTGATAAAAAATGAATAAAACTCACTCAAAAATCATGTTTTAATATAATACTTTAATCTTCAAAGTAACTCCAGCTGTCAAATAAATGTAGTGGAATAAAAAAAGGACAATATCTCCATCAAGTAAAGTACAAGTACCTCAAAACTGTACTTGGGAAACTTACTTTTATATTATTTAAAAAGTTGAATGACTTTGATCTAAATATGTTGTTTTTTAAATGTTGACTTGAACCTGTAATGAGGCACTTTCATACACTTCTACTTTTATTCCAGTAAATGATCTGAAGGTTAAATCTGGGTAAAGTGTGAGTTAGTGTTATTTCAGGGCAGCACTGATAGACATGCGCACAGCTGAGAGGCACATCTGCACTGACGTCACCCCCAGCGCACTCCCCCACCCCCCAGCCCAACACACCACCCCGGCCTCCCCCCCCACACACACACTGAAAAAGCTGCCAATTTGAAGCTGTCCTGTACTGGGACATACCCGGTCTCTGCAATGTAGTGAGGAGGAGCAGCTCCAAGCCAACTTTTTTTTTTCTTCCTCCTGCTGGTGTTGTGCATGCACTTTTCTGAGGAGCAGTCTGCCGCTGTGGCGGTTCCTGAGGTGGCAGAACACCCTCTGCAACCTCAGCTCACTTTTTAAGCCACTCTGAGCCACCAACCAAGAACACAAAGTCTAGATTATAAAGACGACAGATAGAGCTGAAAATAGACCCTTCTGCTGGAGGAAATCCAAGACTTTGAAAAGCTGAATAACTGCTTTTTTTTTTGGGGGGTTGTGTGTGTGTGTGTGTGCGTGTGCGTGTGTGTGTGTGTGTGTGTGTGTGTGACACAGTGTCTGAGATACTGCTGCTCTGAAGGGGAGACTCACACTGCAGTTTTTAGAGGATGGCAGAGGAGTCCAAAGGGAGATGAAAAGAGGAGAGCAGTAGAGGTTTGTGTGCGGAACTTCAGAGCTGCACACGTCTTTTGTCCTGAGCTCTGCCTGCACACTTGGACCGGAGCTGACAATGAAGATGAGCATGGTAACTATGTGTTAACGCTGTTCCTGAGAATTACGGATGTCTTTCGGGATGGGGGGGGGGGGGGGGTTGTCGTGTGAGCATTTAAATCCTCTCAGGAAAGCAGAGTGTTTACAAACCCCAGCATTTAGCCAGTTGTAGGCTGCTGCTCATTCAGGCACAGCGAGTTCACAGAGTTTTTTGCGCGGAAAATTTGCGCGTTTGGAAACATTTACGCACCGGATCTACAGTTGCAGGGTGTAAGAAAAAAAAGCGTTACAGCAGGTCCACATCTGCAGGGCTCAGACTAACTTACTAAACTTCCTAAGAGAGCTCTTTTTTTTTTTTTAATTTTAGTTTTTATTTTTGCTTGCAACAAGAGCAAAAACGCGTCAAAGCGATGTCAGGTGGTTTATTTGGATTTTCGCAGACGCTCCTTGAGGCTTGTATTTGAGGTACCGGTGTAATGCACACGGGCCGGCTGCCAACTGTCTGGGTCAGAGTGGCCAAGTAAGTAGCGCTGTCTGTCTGGAGTGCTGGAGCCAGAGCTTGAAGAAACACTCACACACACACACACACACACACTCACACACTCACATTCACACATACAAACTCTCATTTCCAAAAGGCTTGTCATCCGTGTTTGGAGTGCCGGTCACTTTCATTGGACACCATCCGTCTATCACCTGGATCCGCTGACGTTTGTTTATAGCGGTGTAGTTTGCACATGCTGCCGCGTCAGTGAGTAAAACCACAACCTGCAGAAATTATATCATGTCGACTAGTCAGCACCATTGGCGCTGTTAAGATTTATGCATCCGTAATAATGTGGCTTCAGCTGCACTGCACAGCCTCGTTTTGGTCACTCCAGTTGATGAATATTGAATTGATGGCACACATGTGGCTAAAAGCAACGTTGTTAAGTGTTAAAGTTGAACAATCAGACTCTAAATTATAAGATGTTGAACTTTAAGCACAAAGCAGGTCTTCAGTTAGTGATTATTTGAATCAAAGCTGCAACCATTAGTCAATTAATCGATCATAAAATCAATCAGCAACCATTTCAGATCATTGATTAATCGTTTAAGTACGTTTTTCAAGCAAAAAAACAGCAAACTTCTTCTGATTCCAGCTTCTTAAATGTGAGAATGTGTTGCTTGTTGTTGGTTCATGTCATTTCTAAATGATCATCTTTGTTGTTTTGGACTGTTGGTCAGATTAAAAAAAGCAATTCAAAGACGTTAATCATGGTTGCTGGAAGAAGAGGTGCTGAGGGGGCTGCTGCACCCCCTAATGAAAGTTCATAATAATGTTCTCCATGTCCTTTTCTATGAGGATTTACATGTGTAACCCCTGCTTGGTTTCCTCTGCAGGAATGCAGATGGATCGGTCAAGACAAGTTACCAATATAGAGCTTCCTGTTTGGAGTTACACCTGAGAGTGACTGAGTCTGATGGATTACGCTGTTTTCTATGAGCTGCTGACATGAATTCAGAGGCCAGTGAGATGTGGAAGTGCTCGCCTTCAGGAGAAATCTGAGACCTGGATGAGCCCTCGAGCACGAAGAGAACATTTAAGTGAAGGAGACAAACCATGGACTTGTTATGGTGTGGCATCGGACCGACCGTGTGCTTTTAACCCGTTTGTAGCACCCTCTACCCCTCACCCCATGTCACAGCTTTCCCTGAATTATGGAAATTTTGTGGAAGACGCTGACTTGGACACTGAGCCTCGTGGTGATGGCTGCTTCTGAATTTCAAAGCATCAACAGACCTTCACACAACTCTCAAGGTATGATAGATTGCGCAGGAGGATCTTTTATTGTAACCAGCAGTACGTTCATTGTCACATTATCTCTTCTTTTCTTTTTCTCCTGTAAAAGAGGAGTTCCTGTCCTACCTGCAGCACTACCAGCTGACTGTCCCGGCGCTGGTGGATGAGAACGGAGAGTTCCTGAGCTACACTGTGAAGCACCACCGGCCGGGCCGACGGAGACGCGGGGCGGTGGACCCCATGATGGGACAGCCTCCTGCGTTAGACCCGGACCCCCCAGAGTCCCGGCTCTTCTACAGACTGTCAGCCTACGGAAAGCACTTTCACTTAAACCTGACGCTCAACCCCCACCTGGTGTCAAAACATTTTACAGTGGAGTATTGGGGCAAAGAAGGGCTGGAGTGGCGTCACAACCTGGTAGATAACTGTCACTATGTTGGATTCTTGCAAAATCAGCACAGCACGACCAGAGTGGCGCTCAGCAACTGCAAAGGCCTGGTGAGTACAAAGGGTGACTTTTTTTTGTGTTATCATTCCAAGTGACCGGTTCACGCTCTCTAACTGCCCTTTCAGCCACACCGCTAACCTCAAACAAACCCTCAAACTAATGTCAGATAACTAATATATACCTAGCTTGTGCTGCTCTCATGTCAGCCAATCTTTCAGAGGATTAGACCAATTGTAGTTTGCTTAACAGAATCTTGGCTTCCGTCCACTTGGCACAGTCTGCAGGCAGCTCGGAGCGCGGCGATGCTCGTGGAGAGAAATCACATCATCTGAGTGATCTGTTAGTGATAAGCATCTTTTCTTTCCATTTGTGCGTTAAACATCACGCTTCATCCTCAGGTTTTAAAAAGCCTCAGTAGTTGAGATCACATTTCTTGTAGTTGATCCCTTTTGTGATCTGTAACATAATGTGTCTAAGTCGTAGATATTACTATAAGTGCTCTGTTCAGAAACAAAACTGAACAGCACTAACAAGGCATCTAATTATCCTGTCTAAGCTTTTAGTCCTCGGGCTTTTATCCACAGACTGTGTGACTGTCCAGCTTCTCTTTGCTAATCAAGAAATTGGAAGACGTTTTAATAGCTGTTATCCCTCCTCGCTTCAGAATAACTCTAAAGAAGGGAAAAAAAGACTCTGCTTCTTATTGGCAAATGTAATCATGTGGAGAAAACATGTAGCCAAATGTGTTGGCAAGACCTACACGGAGTATCATAAATTGAATTAGTGTTTGCTCTTTTTTCTAACAGCACCAAAAATGGACAAAACTGTGTCTGTACTTTAATGTAATCAGCTGTCTTGGACAGTTTGAGATCTTGACATCACACACAATTAAAACCCCTGAATGTGTTTCTGTGTGTTGGTGTGATGTCTGCTTAATTGCTTTCATTGAACAGAGCAAGAAAAGTGTTTTTCTACAAACTCATTTTGAAGGACTTCTCTCTGTTTATGCTTCGTAGAGGGTGCTGAAGGATTTAGAACATTGCCTTTAGAGTTGGTCTTGATGTAATTGATTGTTAGTGGTTCTTAAATCAGACTGGATGCTAGTAACTAATGTTTTGTATGTGCTAAAACATCACCCCATCAGGGAGAGATTACATGAGGAAATATATTTGTTATTTAAAGGGGTGCTCCAGCTATTAAGTATTGTACTTCTACAAGTTGAGAGACTTTTTTTTTTTACATTTTTTGAAAAAAATCGAAGCAGCAAATACTGAGATTTCCTAACTTTTGGCCCTTACTATCCAAAAATGCTGGATCCTACATTTCCCATAATGCAACTCAAAAGCATCTTTCATCAGAGTGTCTTTACCTGGTAAATGTTCATGTATTTCACGCTCCACATCCCCAGTTTGTGAGGCCAGCTTTCTGTAAAAATGTCTCCCGGCCCACGATGAGATAACCCTGATGATGTCATTGCCTAATGTCATTTGTGCTAATTTGAGTTTATTCAACTCAAACAGCCAATTCACCAAATGCACAGACGTTAGCTTTTAGCTGCTCCAGTGTCTCTCTTCATTTGCAGTTTTCACACATTCCGCGGCCACTGTAGTTTCTCCTTCACACTTGTAAGTGGAGGGTGAAGTGAGGGAGTTGCAAGCTGCAACCTAAATCTTCCACACTGGTTCTTTAAGTTGTCTTTGTATTCTGTTTGAGCACACGGTAACAAGTAAACTGTGTAAAACGGGAGGAGTGCACCTTTAATAGAACAAAAGTGTGGTGTTAAGATGTATTTAATGTTGGCTTGTGTTTGTAACCTGTTTCTCATTGATTTTCTCCCCCCAACAAGCACGGTGTTATAACAACAGAGGACGAACAGTATTTGATAGAGCCATTAAAGAACATATCCTCCACCACCTCCGGTGAATGGAACCTGGAAGAAGCACAGCAACATGTTATTTATAAAATGTCTGCCATTCCCTCACCACAAGAGCATAGCCAGGAGTTCAGCTGTGGCATTTCAGGTTGGTGAACCTCCATCTGGGTTGGACTCTGTGTGGGTGGAACTGACGTAAAGGAATAACTATACATAGCAGGTTAGAGGAAGTGCTGGTTTGGTTCTAGGCCCAGGTTCTGGTAGACATGACCGGGCCTCTTGTGTGCTATAGTTGCTCCTGGCCTGGACACCTTTCAACCTGCAAGAAAAAGTCTCCCTCCAGCTTTCACAAAAGGCCCTTCAGTGCATAAAGAGTACTTGGCTCTGACTTTTATAGAAGCACAAATCCTATTTATAGAACCAACAATCATGTTCAGATTTTAGAAATTCAAACAACTCCACCAAATGCTGTGTCTGCAGAGATATGACGAATTGGAAAAAGAACCAGGTGGATATTTAGGTATTTGGGCCAAGGTCTTATAAGAAACAGCAAAGGCTGTCATCGCCAGGAAGCTAGCATGCCTTAACATGTACCATCTTATAGCTTTTTCCCAGAGCATCTGGGTCATAAAGCAAAGGCTTTAGCTGCAAGGTTCAAAGGGGCAGATTCCCTGCACTTACTACACACAAACCAGCTCTCTCTCAAACCGACGATGCATCATCATTGTGAAGTATGATTTAATAATTCACTATAATCTGTCTTTGTCTCCCTGTCGTTCACAGACCTCATCAAAAGCAGTGCACCTTGCCAGTTCAGCACGCCATCCCCTGTCCACTCGCCCCCCGCACCTCAGAACGACAGCGAGCAGTCGAACAGCACCCACAGACAGAGGCGCTCCGTTAGCAGCGAGCGCTTCGTGGAGACGCTTGTGGTCGCTGATAAAATGATGGTCGGTTACCATGGACGCAAAGACATTGAGCACTACATCTTGTCTGTAATGAATATTGTAAGTTTGATCCTGCTTTTTGGTCACGTTCCAACACACTGTTGAACATAACAATTTCTCCATTGTTGCCCCGTTCAGTTATTGGATGTCTACGATAATGGTTGAAGATTAGAGGTTGTGACATTTGGACACAATTTGTCTGACTTTGTGTCTTTTCTTCTTTTCTGGAGGTCAGGTTGCCAAACTTTACCGTGATGCCAGTCTAGGAAATGTTGTGAACATTATTGTGACCCGGTTGATTGTTCTGACTGAAGATCAGGTAAGAAGAACTCTATTTCTACCCCGATCTTTGTCCCTTTTACTGTCTCTTTCATTCATTTCCCTAACTTTGAACTGTCAATACAGTACTATCACGTGAGCCCTTTTTATAGTGTCTTTACCCTCACCTGTAGCCAGTGTATAACTTATATGCTTGGCGTGAGTGAGCTGCAGTATTTTATGTGATTGAAGGAGGGGGAGAGAAGAGAGACTATTCACCATATGGCCACCACTTCAGATGAAAGATGTGCTCAGGCATCTTCCCACGGGGAGCCTCGATTGAGGGTTTTTACATGCACTGTACATGTGTATGTATGTGTGATGGGAGAAACAGAGTGTCTTCCTAGCATCTGTTTTTTTTCTAAAGGGGTCATAGCAGCTCTTTAGTAGCATCAAGTCCAAAAAACAAGTTTTCGTGTAAAGCGGGGCCGCACTTTGATCCAATTGGGAGGAAATACTTGTCTCTCAGTCCTTGTTTTGGATAAACTGAATAGAAAATACAGACAATACAACATTTTATGGTGAAAGTAAGTCACTGATGGGCTGTTGAGTTGTTCAGCATTGTGTTGTAATTAATCAGAGGGCACGCTGAAATCAACACCGCATCACTGGCTGGCGAGGCAATGGTTTACTGTAGCTGAACCCATCACATTCATGGAAGTAGATGAATTTTGCAGACTCTGCGACAACTTCCTCAACTCCTTCTTCTCCCGCTAGTCTTCTTTCCACATCTCTTACTTTTTTTGAATAATACAAGTCCTTGTTCTAACTCTTCCTGCTATAAATGGGTTTACCTTTACTACGCCTGAATCTTCTCTTAAATCAAACACAAAAACTTTTTTGCTCTTCCAACAACTTGTCCTCTAACCTCCCTCTGATCCCAGCACAGCACTCCTCCAAATAATTCATCCAGATAATCGTTCTACTTTGGCGGCATGGCGGCTCATCAGTTAGCACTGTCAGCACATGACATTAAGTTCAGTGTCACATTTGTTTTTTCGCATTTTTCCCTCGAATGGAGAGTAGACAGTTGAAGCCAACAAGAGATGAGAGGGGTAAAACATGCAACAATCAAACCAGGGGCATTGTGCGGCGCCCTCATGATACATGCTTTGACAACTTGTTGCTTAGAAAGGTGATGCTTAAGCAATATTACAGCTGCTTTTAATTAGTCCACACATACTCTCCATTACAAGTATCTTTTCAGGTTGTGTGATATGGTATACAATATGATATAATACGACACAGTCCGATACGACATCATTCAACATGACATGATACAATAAGACACAACTTTATCTGATATGAACGGACATAACAGGAGATGACAGGACACCATTAGTTACGATACAACAGAGCATGACAGGACACGTCACACCGCAATACAATACGACATGACACAATATGACACCATACGTTACATGATACGACCCAATATGTTACTACCCAGTACGACAGCATGATTTGATTTGATTGGACACAAATTAAATATGACGCGACGCAACACTAGGCAACACAATACAATGCGACATGTTATGAAACAACGCAATTGGGGATTAATAAAGTATATCTTCATCTTCTTCTTCATGATACAACGCGACACAATTCGGCACGATACTGCACGATACGATACTGCACGATATGATGCGATACGATACTTTAATGTACTGAAGCCGGTTATGAAACAACACAATATGACTTGACATGTTACAACATGACACAACACGACACAACGCGATCAGATACGATAAGATAGGATACTATACGATACAGTATGTTACGATACAATGTACTGAAAACAACTTGTTTTGTGCTGTGTCATATGGTTTTATTTTGTTATACCGTATCATATTTCACCGTATTGCATTGCATGTTGTCTTCCGCAGCCAAACCTGGAGATCAACCATCATGCTGACAAGTCTCTGGATAGTTTCTGTAAGTGGCAGAAGTCCATCCTGTCTCATCACAGCGATGGCAACAGCATTCCTGAAAATGGGATGGCTCATCATGACAACGCTGTCCTAATCACCCGGTAAGCGTTAGCTCACATTTACGCGTATGGACCACATTTTGCTCACACACTAGCATAGTGATCCAGCATGGATTCATGGGCTTTAAAGGGTAAATTTGTTTTTTGCAGTGGTTACTTTCATTGTAAGTAGTGCTAATTTTCTCATTTTGAGCAAATAGGTTGCAGGTTATTTTCTGTGCTCTTGGCGCATAAAAGCTGTGGAGTCACAGTTCAGTTTCAGACTGTAGATGTGTGTGTGTGTGTGTGTGTGTGTGTGTGTGTGTGTGTGTGTGTGTGTGAGTGCTAGTAGAGATGGCCATCAGCTTCAGTACTCACGCCTCCAAATGTCCACTTCTTGTGCACAGACTTTACCTGTAACTGTTAAAACTGATGGGAATAAAGACCTCAGTTCTGGAAATAAAATGTGCTGTTTCAGACGCACTGTACCTGTCACACTGCAATTTATGTCATGGGTGTTACCATAAAACAGCAAACCTCTGTCATTACCTGGAATAGGCTTCATTGTTGCCAGAACTGTTTGGCCACATAACCTAGCAACTAAAGTGTATATTCCCCACACTGGTTTTGTCTAGAGAGAGGATGGTGTTCTGTGATTGACATGGGCTAAAGCCAAGCTTTTTGACTCTCTGGGCTCTGTACAAAACAGCCTTTCTATCATTAGTGTGCTCTTGCTTGTTGTCTGTCAGCTGATGTTCTCCAGTTCCTTTGGCTCCTGTTTTTATTGTTGGTTTTAGCTTCACTAAGCACCAGCACCAAAGGCTGTTTAGTACAGTCTAGATGCAGGGGTCATGTGGTTTATCCATTTGGCTGTGATCTTTTTGACTATAACTGAAAATTTTAATTTAGATACCAAACACCTTATGGGACTTGGAACTCATAAACGTACTCATTCATGTTCAGCAACCTGCAGATAGCACATAGTCCACTGGGGGAGGTGCATGTCAAATGTCAGACCGTGTCCAAACATGCCACACTGCACAGTAATGCCAACTTAGCAGCTTTATTGGTTGTTTTAGTTACTTTTCAGACCCTTTTAACAAATTTATTTCTAAATAAAGACTAGCGACAAATTAAGTGACTTGAGCCCGACTGATATGTCTACGATACTGGCCTGTCGTAGATATATCGGTATCTTATTGGTATCAACGTATATGTCATCCAATTTATTTTTCCGGGATATCTTAAATCTTAAACAGTATTTAATGAAGGTATTTGTTTAAAAAAGCATTTTAGAATAGAATTTTAGTAAACCAATGGTAGTTATTTAAGAGGCGTAAAACCTCAAAAACACACCCCAAAAAAATTGCCTGTAGATGGCGCACGTCAACACTGCTCTTGGGCATGCCCACAACTTACCACAGTGCAGTGCTTAACCCCATGTGATGAAGTATTGGTGAATGTGGAGTAAATATAGTATTGGTGAATACTGAGTAAAAACGAGGCAAAAGTAGGCGAGAGATAATGAGATAATAAGCTGTGGGGAGGAGGCACCAGCTGAGCTCAGAGATGCTAACATTGGAGATAGTATAAATAGTTGATGGTAGACACCAGTAAGCCCTCATTAACCACCATGTCTGGAAGAGCAGTCAGTGCATTCCTCGCAATGGTGGAACGCACCTAAAAAGGTTCAGTAGGATTTTTAACATGGTTGATGCTTGCAGCTCAGAGGGCACTTATTTATTTCATACATCTGGAGCATTTTGTCTTCAGATCAGTGATTGAAAGTAGAGCTGCAATAACTATTTCAATGATTTATCATTTTTAAAGCAGTAACACAAACATTTCAGCTCCTCCAACGTGAGGATTTGCTGCCTTTCTCTGCGTTGGTCGGACAAAACAAGACATTTGAGATCTTGGGCTTTAGGAAAATGTTATTATCTCTATTTTCTGACATTTTATTGACCAAATGATTAATCAAGGAATAATTATCAATAATGAAAATAACAGTTGGTTGCAGCACTAGATCCAAGGTAGGTAGGTGTTAATTAAATATTTACCAAAGTGAAACTCTTGCCTGGACATTTACATCTTCATGATTTCTTTAATGTCTTCAAATTATGTGTCTGAGGCCATCACTACACATATCTAATTCCAACTTTAACAGTCAAATTAACACAGTTATTATTTGAGAAATATAATAATATCATCATAGGGAGTCACAGGAAGCAGGGTATTGTCTACTACTACTACTTCCTCGTCACCACTGACCAATCAGTGCAAATATCCTGCAGTGATGCACCAGCAGGACACACACACAAAACCTTTTCATTGCAATGATTCACCGTTCTCATCTTCATCTTCATTGTGAGCGCCGCAAAGCACTGTTGCTTCTTTGTCAGTCCCATTTTGAGGCTGCGCCGCCTTGTTTGAATGTGGCCTGTCACGTTCAAAAAAAGACACCGAGGGAAATTAGGGGAATAAATCAAAACAAACGGACGTCCTAAACGAGGTCACGATTGTACCTCACTGGTTTGGAGCCGCTCCACTGGGGAGGGAGGAGGAGGAGGAGGAGGAGGAGGAGGAGGAGAGAGAGGAGTTTATGGGGAGAGAGCGAGGGAGGGAGAGAGGGGAAGGAGAATGAAATTAAATTTGCTGTGCCCTTGGTTTTAATAGATTAAAAGCTTTAGGAATGATTGGATCATTCATTTGAAATGTACGATGTGGCTCAGAGTGTTCTGGCCTTTTTTTCCCCCTGCGGTCTATTGGATTACCTGTATGTGAGTTACGGGGGTTAACAGTAGGCACACAGCATGAGCGAAGCCTTTCACTCTGCTGTCTGAGCGCTGTGTGTTAGCTGCGCGAGCCTCGTGCGTACAGATGGAGGAATGAACCAAACCTGCAACAACTTCATCAGATGCTATTGTTATGCTAAAGGTTGAGATTAGATCTCGTCGGACTCGTGTGATTAAACACGGAAAGAATGGAATGGAAAAGAGCCAGTGGAAGAAAATACTGTACAAAAAAGGTTTAGAGTTAATTTGTTTGTGTTCTTTCCCCCTTTTTCTTCTTTAGGTATGACATCTGCACCTACAAGAACAAACCCTGTGGTACCTTAGGTGAGTGTGCTGAATCAGAGGAAGATTTATCCACGCTAACATGTGTTTTCATGCTAAATTGGTAATTTTAGCTGATGTTGACTATACGATTCTCTGGTTAAGGAGTTCATCCGTCTCTTTTTCCCTCCCTCTGGAGAGAGGTTTTCATTTTCACGTTTGGCCTTCGACGTGTCCTCAGACAAACCTTATTTAGCAACCTTCGCAGTCTCCTTCAGAAGAACCCCAGACGGCTCCTCCTGTGAGACATAATGAGAAGGATGTTTTCACTTGTGTTATTATAGCTCCTCAGTGACTCCCCTCTGTTGGTTGAGGCCCTGAACCTGGACAGCCGTGGTCACCTCCTCACACGGCCTCCAGTTTATAAAAAGTGCCCCGTCTCTCCTCCTCCTCCGCCTCTAACCTCAGTTTGTCTAAGGTGTTTACACTTCCACTGGGGTTGAGAGAGAAAGGAAAAGGTATGCGTTGAGAAGCCGGGGAGGAGGGGGGGGTGAGGGATAAAGAGGAGGAGATGGAGAAGAAGAGGAGGAGTTGAAAGGAAAATGGAAGGGGAAAAGGACAATTACAGGGAGTGTTAGAGTATGCAGGAGGGAGATAGAGAGGGTGATACGCTGGTTGTGGCTGGATTGGGGGGTGGGAAAAGGACAGCAAGCAGTGGCAGAGACCCCCACCACCTCCTCCTCCTCCTGCTGCTCTCTCTCTCTCTCTCCTCTTCAACCCCTCATCCCACCACCACCCAGCCCTTCTCTCCCCATCTTATCTTTGTCAAGGCCCCGCAGGCACCACAGTATATCTTGGAGGTAATATTGTGACTTCAGGGGTGGTTTGACAGATTGACCGCATTCGTCACATTCCCCGGTCGCTTTAATTGCCCTGGCATCTGCTTGGCTTCCTCGTTTGTCTCAACCCCCACCCACCCCTCTACCTCTCCTCCTCCCTCTCCTCTCTTCTCTCCTCCCTCTCCTCTTCAGGGGATCATGCTCCCGGGTCAGATCGCTGGCCTTTAGGGTCGCCGAGTAATCACGGGGCCGGAGATAATACACAGTCCACCCCGGTGCAAAGAAAACAACTTGCAATGCAGTGTGTGTGTGTTTGTGTGTGTGTGTGTGTGTGTGTGTGTGTGTGTGTGGTGTGTGTGTGTGCGTGTGTGCGTGCGTGTGCGTGTGCGTGTGCGTGTGCGTGTGTGTGTGTGTGTGTGCCTGTGCCTGTGTTTGCGCTCACCCACGACACAACGCACACTCACTTTACTCACTCTCACACAAACTCACACATTCTTAAACTAATCGTAGAGTAGCCACCCTCCCTCCTTTCCCTCCCTCTCCTCCTTCTTTCTTCACCTTCAGGCTCCCTCTTTCCCCGCAGTAATGGTTTCAGTGGCCTCCTGATTTGCGAGTCTATTCTTGTTTAGCCTCTTAGTAAAGAGGACACAAAAGCCATGCCACTTTTAGCAGGCAGTCAGGGAGTTCACGCAAACTATACAGGAGAACCTGAGGCAGCGCTGACCACCAAAACGTGTGTACACGCAGGTTACTCACTGAGTGCCAATGCAGGCGAGACACGTCTGTCTATATCACGCTTTGCAAAGATCTCAAAAACTGGACAGTTTAAATTCATTGAGATGAATTTAAAGGGTCGGTTCACTCAAATTACAAAGAAACATTTCACTTCTTACTTACCCCTTGCCGTATTCTTAGATATCTGCCTCCTCTTTGATAGGAGGAACTTCCGATTGAACTGTTGGCCTGTTTTTATGAGCATGAGAGTTAAACAAGACATCAAATCTATGTGTACGGCTACAGACACTGAAACCTTCCTCAGATCAATACATTAAAAAAACAAACACGAATGTCATATTTCCAGCATGTTTTCTACATCGTTTTCATTTGCTTTGACTGGACCTCTTTTATTTATATCCTGTCAATGTGCCCTCTTCACCTGCAGTAGTTTAATGGCACCTTAATGGCACCTGAATGGAGAATTAGTGCAACCAACCGTAATGGATGGAAACGTAATGTCTGGGGATTAACATGGATTATTATATACTCCACTGTACTGGAGAGGAGGCATTTATCTCAATACCTGGGCAAATGAAACCAAAACTGCCTGCATGGTTCCATACGACAAGAAAAAGTGAGAAAACATTTAAACCCATTCAGATCCCTCACACACATTAACACACATCCCCCAACACACACCTGCTTTGCGCTGTCATATGATCCACTCTGCAGTCACCTGTAGATGTAATCTGTGAAGAATTGCCTCCTGTCTCCCGATCTGACCTGTCAGGTTTTAGGAAAGAAAAAAAAAGGACCTGCGACACCTGGATTGTGGAGAGGTTTGAACACCCTCTCCTCTCCCTTTCTCTCTCCCTCGTTCTCCGACTCGAGTTCTGAAATGAGGAAAACATCTATATTTCCTGACAGGTTTCTGGTGGGGTACGCTGTTGGTGAGGGGGTTCTTATATTCCCTTCCTTGGCTCGCGTTTTAGGTGATCCCTTGTTACATGAATTGAAATGTATAAATCTAACCCTTGTCTAGACATTTCCCAGCAGTCACTGCAGCTTGCAAGACAAAAAAAAAAAAAGAAAAAGACGTCTAGCCGTTGCTAAACTCCCCCTGGTGAACAGAAGATCATGTGTGTGGAATCCCAATTTTATGACTGTTAGTCTTAAGAATGCTACGTCTTGACCCTGTGTTTGTATGTTTGTCTGGCATGTGTGTGTGTGTGTGTGTGTGTGTGTGTGTGTGTGTGTGTCTAGGCTTGGCCTCAGTGGCTGGAATGTGCGAGCCAGAGAGGAGCTGCAGCATCAATGAAGACATCGGCCTCGGTTCTGCTTTCACCATTGCGCACGAGATCGGCCACAAGTGAGTCTTAAGGTTTTTAAGATCCGAATAGAAAATGCAAAATGTGTCTCACGCAAGAACCACAGATCCGTTCTTAAAGAGGGGACTCCAGGAATCAAGAACCGATTCAATAGTCCGATCCATCGAAATCGTATGCCACCGTCCTTATCAATTCCTTGATTTGATGCTGGCACGTTTTTCTTTTCCTACGCTGCGTTCAGACTCAGACACAATAAAACAGTTGCGATGACACTAAATACATAGACCTACTCTTTTTTCCACACAGAATATTAATCAGGAATCTGTAAGGGAATCGACAAAGAATTGGACCCATAAGCAGGATCAATAATGGCATTGGTATCAATAAAATTATATCAATTACCATCACCAGTCCAGACATGTTTAAAGTCATATAAAATACTCTGCTTTGAATAATATTTGTCTCTGATATAAGTTTTCTACAAAAAAACCAATTAACCTCCTCTTTGAAAAATCCATAATTTACGAGTATGCACATATTTTTTGTTTCAAAACTTTAACCGCTGGACACAAGATGTCCATCCTCAATGTTTGTGCACACACATCACACTTTTTTGCATATTGGATGAATGGCTTTCTCTCTTCAGCAGATGAATGTGACAACAACCTTCTAGTTTCAAAGTCTGCTTATACATATCATTCTGCACAGGGAAAAAAAACCCACATTTTTGAGAGGAGGGGTTCTGGAAGATGCACATAGGAGGGATTTAAGCTGCATTCAACAATTTCAAAGTGCATGTAGATTTTTTCCTTTGGTACGAATGAAATTCACAGGAGAAGACTTAATGTCTGTAGATAAAAACAGCTCATTTTAAAGTGTCAAAAGCACAACTATTCCTACATTCAGGGGATTGTACACTAATGAAAAAAAAATTTCTGCCAATAGATCCTCCTAAATGTTACACACTGAACTTTTAATGCTAAATTAATATTCTGTCCACCATGTTTTCATCACCGTGGCCAATTTACAGAGAAGTGTTTTCTTTCATTTAGATTTTATGATTTCACTGTCATATTTTGGCACTGGCAACTTACACAGTTCAGTAGTTGCTTTGGAAAAATATCTCACTCCGACAGCCGCCTGAGGGTCTTTATGGTCAGGTCTGTCCAGAGGAGCATCCTCTGTTATGATATGTGACGGTGTAGTAGTAGTTTGTATTTCCAACCACATCTGAAATCAAATGTGTTTAAAGTTCAGAGGCAAGGCGGCGTGTGAAGCGTGATATTGATTAAGTCTCTGAAGACAGTCATAGTGTTGCACCTGGTTGTTGAGATGAAAAGTGACAAATAAAAGATCTTCAAATATACTGGCCCCTTAACATCTCCTACAGTATAATATTCTCTCCTCTCCTTGTGTCACAGAGCTCTTTGCTTTAGACAGATGTTCTTTGGCATCTAACTAATGTCAAACTATTGGCTCTTTATGTCTGTCACAGTACAGCGCTGCTCAGACTTTGTTAATTTCTTCTAATTGTTTCAGGTCCCTTAATATGACTTCTTACTCTGTTTTTGTCTGCTGATTTCTGACAGCTCTGCAGTGTGAAGCTCTGGCCTGCTGTGGACTTGGGCATATCATGAATCTGGCAATACAATCTGTAGAATATTGTGAGAGGTCATATTGATCACATTCATGACCAGATTCAGTCTGACGCATTCGACTCGAGTCCAAGCCTCTTCCAAATGACAAATTCCTTCTCTTGCTTCAGATCATCTAAAAACCTGTGTGCTCTAATAATCGCTCTTAAACAAACATTTCTTACTGCTCGAGTCCGCCAGACCTGCATGTAGCCCTTTTTCCCCCAGCAGACGTCTTGAACTGTATCTCCACATATTTGCTCATGCAAATGTCAGTTTTCACATACCTCTGGCTCTTTCTTCCTGAATATAAAGCAAAATAATGATGATGTATTAGTCTACGTATCCCTCTCGAGAGAGTTCAGCAAGATGGCGATTTCCTTTATTATGTCTCGTGTCTGCTTCTGTTGTGGGGCAGTTGTAAAAATAGTCTCTGCTTCTAGAGGATGTATAAAAAAAAACATGCTGCAGCGGGGTTTCAACTGGGGCTGATTTATTTCCAGAGTAGGGTAAAATGTCATAAACGCCAGCCTTAGAAAAACAGGTTCGGGCTGCGCGATGTGGTCGGGTTTGTTATATACATTAGACCTGATTTGTGCTCCTGGACTGTAAGGAAAAGTAAGCTTTGACATCCTGCTGTAACATGAGATTTTCTCTCAAATGATATCCAGACAGATAAGATTTTTTTTAATTTTTTAAATGAATTGTTAAAAGTGAGTTATTTTCAGCCTTAAATTGTTAAGCAGCTTTCACAACAGAGCACAGAGTTGGGAGCTGTTTGGGTTTTGGGTCTCTCTCTGTTCTCAGAGACTGATCTAAAGGATCCCCTCGTCCTCGCTCCAGTCGGCTCTTCGCGGCCTGCTCAGACCTGCAGGCGGTGATTGACAGGCAGGCATCAGAGTGGTGATTAGAACTTACTTGTGCCTTTCGAGCTCCAGACAGGGTTTGACCCCTGACCCCCTCCACACAGCTGTTTCAGAGCCACAGAGCTCGCTCTTTACAGCCAGGGCCACTGAGGGAGACGGCAACCTGGGCTGTCCACTCTCATCTAAACAGTTAACTGCCAAAGCGAGAATCACTTTTAGACCTGCGGTTACTGATGACCGTCATACCCAGCTGCCTTAATTCCAATTTTAATTTTGTGTGTTCCAGTTTTGGGATGAACCACGATGGGATTGGGAATTCCTGCGGTACCAAAGGCCACGAGACGGCCAAACTGATGGCCGCCCATATAACAGCCAACACCAACCCTTTCTCCTGGTCCGCCTGCAGCAAAGACTACATCACCAGCTTTCTCGAGTAAGTGGATGATGGTTGTTCCCTGTGGGACTGTGTTTGTGTGTGTGTGTGTGTGTGTGTGTGTGTGCAGTAGAGAAAAAGGTGCAGCCGCCACGCTTTGCAACACGCTGCCACTGGCTGGCCTTTGTGGTGACCCGCTAGGCCATCCTGTACGCAAGTCCTTCCCCACTTATTCACATCCATTTCATCACCAACACCGCTGCCAGACCTCCTTGTGGCTGTGTATGATAACTGGGTGCCTTCCACCCTTGCATCCTCGCACCGCAAGGCGGGTGATGTTAGAGCTCATGTGGTGCTCAGTGGTGATGTGTAGACCAGCTGCCTCCAACCGCTGCCCCACTGTTTTCTGGATAGGTCATAGAAGACAAAAACTTGAAGTGCACAAATAAACTGAGGAGTGAAGCGATGACGTTTGGCAGAATGAGGGATGAGTCCTGCCAGCCTGGCATGGTTAAAAAAACGTACACAGGTTTCTGGGAGTTAGAGAAAGCCAGACAAAACATCTGGAGCTGGTCTGGCAGTGTACTCTGATTTGTCAAAGATCATGACAGGACTGTATGAAAAGCTACTACCCTGATCCCTGCACGTCATGGGTACATTGAGTTGAAGCTACTTTTAAATGTGTTTAAATTAGCAGCTTTACTTGGGATGAATCTGATTATTACAAGTACAAGCCTACGAGTACAGGCTGAATTAGCTTCGCTCTCTTGCGACATTGTCGGGCTCACGATGGACAATTTTATGAAAACTGATGCAGCAGAACAATACGTCTTCTTTTTTAATCCACAAATTCATCTTCCTTGTCAAATCCTGGCACCTAAAGTACCCACAATGCAGCTGAACTGCAGTCAGTTTGGCCGGACATTTGGGTGTGTTGTGCTCCTGTTGCCAGGTCTCCCCAGAACCTCTAAACAGACTTTGGGATTGGTGGAGTAAGAGTCATCCTCGTCTCACTTGGGGACTGTTGGTAGCAGCTGTGGACTGAAGACACTGAGGACATTTCTCCACAGACTGGGCTCTGGGCGGGCCACTGGCCACTGCTGGGAAACTGCTTCATTGTGTAGGAATAACAATCAGAAAGTGGTCAGGATTGTTCCCGCAGATGAGAAACATGCTGCCATTCTTCTTTAAGCATCACAGGATGAGGTCAATGAGTCCTCATCCTTGTAACACTCAACAACTCTGAGCAACTGCTTGCTCGCAGCGGTGGCAGGGTAGCTGTTAACTATAGCAAAGTGCCACGTTGACACTGAAGAACATGTGGCACAAGAAACAAATGTTAGAATATAAACAGAAATAACTCTGATACAGAGTGAGTCCTGGTGTCATTAAGGCTTCTTTAATCAATATTTTTTTAATAGCAATTGATGAAATAAGTACGTTTTATGTGAAAGGGGTTGCTCATAGTGACAAATCACGCAGAAAATCACGACCCCAAATGAATGCTCATATTGCTATGTATTGGTGTTTACAGTTTGTTGCACTGACTCCAAGTCGCAAAAAAATCTGTCACACAGGTACAACGTCTCTTAAAGAAAGATCAGATTACTTTAAACAGAAGACCTGGATGTTGCAGAGGCACAGAAGGGAAAAGAAGCGGTTCAACAACGAGGTGAAGGGTCATAATCAGACCTGAGGACCTGGAGGATGCTGCAGTTCTTTAGGAGTTAGTTCTACTTGAATAGGTTTTATCTGCTGTAACAGCTCTGAATAGAAGTGGAACAGACTTAGGGACAGAGGGTGAGAGACGTCAGCGTCAACTTCACCTTTTATCTGATTCTTAGCTGACTCTTACTAAGGTACACTTTAATGTAACAGGCTTGCCCTGCCGTCATAATATTCCTGCAGAATAATGTGCATGTATCTGTGCATGTATCTGCCTGTGTTTATTAGGTTTGATCTCATTTGGTGGAATCATAAAAAAACACATTATTCTCATTCAAAGTGTTATTTTTTTATTGCCCGCTGGATAATAGAGCCCATTCGTTTAAGCTTCCCCTTGCAAATAAGCTGAGCGGAGTTCAAATATCTCTATTTGTAACTGCTTCTGAGTGCAGTCAGAGATCCATCTCCTTTCTCTCTGCAGTTCACTTAATTGGCCATCACTAAGACCTGAGTGCTGCTTGCAAATCCTAATACACAACCCTGTGGTGGAGTATCGGAGGTTGGATGCAAGTCTGCGGTGTGTGTCTTTGTGCGCGTCTGTTTGTGTATTCGTGTTTAGCTGGCGAGGCCCTCCAAGAAAGCCGATAATAGCGGCTGTGGTTGTCAGATGATGTTTCCGGCTGAAAGCTGTTAGAGGAGGGTTAGTGAACAGCACTTGTGACAGAGATGACAGTATTATATGCCAGCTTCCAACTGGGACACAAAGAGCCGCTTCTCTGCTGCTCCGCCGGGTTCCTGTCCGTTTCTGGCTCGAGTGCCTGAGAGTGACCAAAGCTGTGCTCTAACAAAAAAGACACAAAGTTGTTTTGCTTGTTTTCAAAACTATTTGCCGGCCTACATTATACCCCTATTTGTATGTGAGTTTTTCTTTTCATTTTGGGTTTTATTGCCTTTAGCTTTTATGTTTCTTACAAAAGGGTTCTGTCTGTAAACTCCCAATTATCCTCCCTTTCTCTCCCTCAATCAGAATTTTGGATATCGCACATGCTTCTCCAAGCCAAGTAAACAACTTTGGCTGTGGTGTTGGCCTAGATTCACCGTCTTGCTAAAGCAATATGCGGTGCTTTGTTTGGGTTTTTGAGGAATGGTTTATGAATGCACTCACAGTTCAGTCATAGTTTATTCTCCCGAGTCTGCATGCCAGTTTGTTATAAACGTTATATGGCAGGCAGTTTAAGTTCATTAAACTCTCAGAGACCACATGCTCTATTAAATTTGATATTAGACTTGTGTGACTTGTGCCTTATGATAATTGTTAGGTTAGTCTGATTTAATCACGCTGCTGTCTCAACACTGGTTGGATCCAATCAGGATGGTTAATATCTACATGAATGACTGGTGTCAGAGTTCAGGGATCGCTGATGTTCTCGCTTATTAGAGGATATTTCCGCTCAGCATAATGAATTTGGCTGAATCCACCAGACAGGAAGCCTTTGCGACGATGTCAAATAATAGCCTCTATGTTTAAACTTTGACTATTTTGTCTCTCTCCAAACCAATAAATAGTGAGGCTTGCCCTTGGTGCACGGGGAGTCTGGGGCCTCAGAGACCGGTTTGTCTCTCTCGCTCCATGATGAGAGGGTCCTCCGAGGAACAAGAGCCAAGAAACAGGATTATTCCATTCAGTAACTGAGAACAGGGGATAGACAGAGCAAGAAAGAGGGAAGAGAGGGGGAAAAAGGACGGAAGGAAGGAAGAGTTTTTCTCCTTTTGGTCTGGAATATTTAAGTTGCACTTGAAATACATTTTTTATTTGCCACCCTGGGATGAAAACAATGAATGTTGTCATTGAAGCATCGTCCCAGTTACTCTGGATAACACACAGAACAGATTGTCAACAATTTTTGTAGGGATTATTTCGAGTGGTGAGAACCAGAGGAGCGCAGGTGACATTTTGGGAAAGAAACTAGTAACTTATATCAAATAAAAGCACTTAATGACGTCCTGAAGTAGCGTGCAATCATGGCAGTTGTTGTCTTCACCGCCATTGCCGCCATTGCAGTCAGCTTCTCCCGGTTAGGATTCTTTGAGTGTTCTTCGTTCAGGAGGTTTCTACCGGGAGACGAATTGTACCTGGTGATTAAAAACCGCTAAAAACACAGAATAAAGCAGTTCCACCTTAAAAATCACTGCTTCTTCGACACCCTGGTAGGGGCTGCGAGCCGAGCTGCTGCTAACGTTAGCTCAGCTTGTTTCTCTGATAACTTAAGATCCAGACATCCGATGACTAAAATCCTTCCTCCGGTTCAAATCTAGAGTTAAAAAGCACCAAGATCTAAACAGTGGATGGTAACAATGTGGCTTCAGACTGGATAAACAGTCAATGTATGACAGCTTCTGGCAGACAACCACAACGCTGACACAGGCACAAAGGGGATATGACGCCATCGACAGGCGACCGGTGAAACGCAGCGTTACCTGAATAAAATACCTGAGTTTAAACATTGTTGGAAAGATAATGTGAGAACTTCACTACATATAGAACATAGAGCTGGAGTTTATAGACACTTTATTTCAGAAATGTTACATATTATAGCTTTAAAAAATAGTCATCCACATACTTAACAAAGTCAGGACAAAATATGGTCATTTTTTTGCTTTGGTTCTCCTGTAAAGTTGGTCAAATGTCACTCTCATCCCTTTGGTTCTCACCCCTCGATTTGTTAGCTGACCGCAATCTTTCCACATACCCTGGAAACCGCAGAATTACCCCCTGGAGTAGAAGTAGCAGGGGTCCAAGAGTTTCTAGGACATGGCTTATTGAGAAAGTATCTAGGAACTTTTTAGACACATTTCAGTGCTGTGAGCAACACAAATTAATTTCCATTCACCTTCATGCAGGAAGATAATCTCAGATACAAATATCTCAAAATCTGGAGACCAAATATATGTTTTTGTAATGCGAACAGGCCGTCTTCTCTCCCTTAATCTGTTCAATCCTAAAGCCGAGCTCTGCATTAGTGTTGTCACCGGGCCCACTTTTCCTTTCGAGGGATGGGAAGCATTCCACGGCACGTCGCAGCCGCCGTAGCTGGAAATATCTCTTTGTTATAGTAAATAGTTGTAGTAATATTTTGCCTTGAGAGAAAGCTCTGACTCAGGGAGAAACAGGGGAGGTAGAGATCAAAATGAAATACATCTCTGTTTGTTTATTGGCACACAGTCTTTAGTATGATTTTAGTGACTTACGCTTTGGCGAAACGTCAAAAGGAAGAATCTTATTCCGTGAGCCGAGTGTCCTCAGGATCTCGACCCAGAATAAACAGACACACCAACAAAAGAAACTCTGTGAGCTCCTTGGCTGAAGTGTTTTCTTATTTTTTAGCTACTAGAATAAAAAACAGCTTGTGTGTGTGTGTGTGTTTGTGTGTGTGTGTGTGTCTGTGTGTGTGTCTGTGTTTTTCCTGCAAGTTCATTGTGAGCACACATATTTCTATCTGACAAAACAGACTAAACATAATCCTAGGCCTGGACATATGACCCATAGCTCACTCCAGATTCTTCTCTTCCTTTCCCTGCTCTGTTATTTTATTGGCCCCTCTGTGGATTCTCTATAAGCAGTGACATACAGAATGCTGCAGCACAGAGCCATATAATCAGAGAGGGCATGTGGTCTTTTAAGACAAGGCAGACCGGCCCTCTTCGCCTCTGGTAAAATGTCTCCTTGTGCTTCAACACTGCCTTTGATGAGGAGGCGTTGATGTGTAATATCAACATTAACTACATGTCATTTGAGATCTTTGACAAGCTTCCTACAATAGTAGTTTGGTGGTAAAATTAACTGAGTCAAAAAAACAAGCCAAAATCTTAAAAGAGAAGAGGAGGTGGAGGACGAGGTGCGGGTGGAGGGGGGGGACTTTAATCATCCGATCTTGGCATTTCTAACTCTGCCATCAGCCAAGTGTAGAAAGGTTTCTTTGTGTAAGAAACAATCCTATTGTAGGTTTGTTTTTTTGACAGCTCAGGTCGGGGGACGTGTCTGGACAATGAACCTCTGAAACGAGACTTCCTGTACCCAACAGTGGCCCCGGGGCAGGTGTACGATGCAGACGAGCAGTGTCGCTTCCAGTACGGAGCCTCCTCACGCCAGTGCAAGTATGGGGTAAGAAACCAGCATCTTTCACGCTCGCTCACTGCTGCTCACTTCTCCTGTCCACACTGAGGGATCCCTGTTATATGTTTTATTTTTATTTTAAACACCCACTCAGGACATGGACAGGAGAGTTTATATTATTCGGATATTATCCCGAAACATCGCGCACACACTGCCGCAGTCAGCTGGTGTTCAGATCCCCAATGTCTGCTGAGAATAAACATCCATAAATCTGTTTATTAGAGCTTAAATGATTTGTTGATTGAGTGAAAATTCATCTATTTTGATAAGTTAATTAAAACATTTCCTGTGGGTTTACCTAATTTCTTTGTCTTATGTGATAGGAAAAACTGATTATCTTTGGGTTTTGGATAGTTGGTTGGACTTTGAAGACGTCACCTTGGCTTTTAGGAATGTTATGATTGCGGTTGTTCACAATTTTCTGACAAACAACCAAATGATTGGACAATTAAGAAAAAAAAACAATCCAATAAGGAGAAAAATTATAGTTGTAGCCCTTCAAAACAAAGAAAAAAAGTCACTCCTTACAACTTCTGATCTTGTCTCAAAAGTAATCCAGGTGACTGCAGCATAGATAAGAGCACCACCCTGTATCCTTGTCTACAGGATCCTACGCTATTTATTACCTTTACAGCACCAGGACAAAGGTTTTATTGTAGCTCTTTCTATTATACATCAGTTATCTATTCATCAATTCACTGATGAAGCCTGAATGCGCAGGTGTTATTCGTCACCTTATGGTCCGATACTGAAGCCTGACACCTGCGTAGCTTCACACTGGATGCAAAACTGATGAACTGAAGTTAGGGACTGTCTCAAAAGTGCCTGTAAAATGACTAAAAGAGCTTGTCAGATTTCTGTTAACAGCTTTCAAACTAACTTTATTTTCCACTGGACCTCCTCCCATTAAGGGGCCAGTATACAGTCTGAACATTTATGCCGCTGTCGCCGTATTTAAACGTCCGGTAGGTAACATGTAGGAGGATCTACTGGCAGAAAGGGAATATAATATTCATAGGTATATTTTAATTTAACCTGAGAATAAGAATTGTTAATAACGGCTCATTCTACGGTAACAAAAACACGTTGATCTACAGAGGGAGCTTGTCCTCTTCTATCCGCCATGTTACGTGGGGCCTTTCACGGCCACCATAGTTTCTCCTACACGCTTGGAAGATGAGCAGTATTCAGTTGGTTGCACTAATCCCACACAGGATGACAGACGGCTTTTCGCTCCACCTTCGAATGCGGTTAATCAGGATGCTATAAGTAATGGAAAAAGCGCTGCATGGATTCGTGTATAAAAGTGCTGTATAAACACTCAAAAATAAACAACAAAAAAAAACGAAGCAATCTGAAAGAATAAGCGCCGTTTTAATTTCTGTTAAAGCTCTATTTTTTACATTTAATAACGGGTGTTGATGTACAGTTATAGCATGTTCAGTCCTCACCGGGATAATAACAGTTTTCCTAAAGTTTATATTTCCTCTTCAGATTAAAGGAGGGTAAACATGCGAGGAACATAATTGGTTTATTATTGTCTGACAGCTGGTTGGGAGGTGTCTGTCCACACTTTGCCTTATTCTTCTTTTTAATCTCTAAACTTCCCGGACAAAGAGATGAAGGATTGAAGTCAACGCTCCCCCTCATCTGATTTCCCTGTAATGATAATGATTCGACCCCCTTTCCCGAGTAATGAGAAAACCTCAGTACATGAAGTGACACGGGCAGTGAAAGACAAGGAACAAACACGCGGTAAAAATGAGCAGCTGAAAGAGTCCTCAAAGATTTAACGAACAATAACGTGATATTGCTTTGCGTTACATAAATATTTGGGCACGCGATGGAAAAAAGAGGGGACAGAGATTAGCTGAGATCATAGAGTTATTTCATTTCATTGAAAGAAATATCTGACAGCAGGCCCCAAATCAAGCCCTGTTATTTTGGCTCCTAAGCTCATAATTGTGGTTTTAGATCAGCATGAAAGACACACATTTATGAGCGGATTGGATTCCAGCACTGATTCAACAGAGCTAGATTGGAGTTTTTCATCTGACAATCAGATCTATTTCATTCAGCCATCTGTGAAAGAGATGCCCTCTGCGACTGCTCACAGGACAGACGCGACCACAGAAATGGATAAAAGGTCTAATGAATGGAAGAGTCTGGTTTCTGGAGCGAAAGGCTCAGCCATAACTTATTGAGCTTTTCCACATTTTGGGTTGAATATTTTGTTGTGTTATCATTTTGTGCCGCAGAAGAGTGCAGTGATGGGGAAGGAGGGGAAGCTTAGCCAGAGCATATCAAAGTTTATCTCTAATATTACAATAAATAATGTCACACACTCATATTGTAGTTTTAATAGTTCACTGGTAAAACAGACTGTGAGATAGCACAGTGATTTGTTAGTTCTTCAACCTCAGAAAACTCCACAAATCTGTTCTGTATTCATTTATCTTCAGGACAGGACGGAAATTTACCACCACCACATGACCTGTTGTGTCCTGTTCAACTGAGTTAAACTGTGAACAGCAACTTAGAGCAGCGGTTCTCAACCGGAGGGTCCGGACCCTACAAAGGCACGCAAGATGAAACACAAACTCAATCGTGCTGCAAATGAACTTATATAGTTCGAGCTACTTTTTCTACCATTTGGTCGTTTTCCCAAACAATGACGGAATGATTATTAAGTAATGACCATCAAAACCAGATGACAATTCAGTTCGGCTCTAAGGTCTGTCTGTTGCTGTAATATTACAGTTTTAGATGGATGGTTGTTAAAGTTTATACAGACATTCATGGAGGATTAATTACGACTGGTGATCCCCTGACTTTTCTTCCAGCGCCACCAACAGGCCACTTATCCTGTGAAATATCTCAACATCTACTCAGTGGAGTAGCATGTTTTTTTACAGACGTTCATGGTGCTCAGAAGATGAAGCCTACTGACTTCCATGATCCCCTGACCGTCGCTCTACTGCCACCATGATAAGATAACTGGTCTAAGTTTATGTAGATTGGGTCAGCTTGAGGCTCTGATTGGACTACTTGTTCCCAGGTAAATCTACTTCAACGCTGAATCAAATCAGTTCAAACAATCTAAGAACAATAAATCACTCTTTAATTGAACTGCTCACAAATCAAACCAAATCTTGTGCTGCTTTGTATTTACGGGTCATTACCAAAAGAGTTTGAGAACCACTGATGTAGAACAATACAACAACAATATTTCACAGAATATGGCCCGACGGCACCTTCAGAACTGCAGGGTTATCACAGGCTTTAAATCACAGCATGAGACTGTGTCAGAGGTGGGAAAAGTAACACAGACGTCGAGAGAGGAAGTTAGGATAATTTATAGCAATAATTTGGTTTCAGTAAATACTTCCCACTCCTCAGTTAGTCTGTGCTCGGAGCTACTGACGCAGACAGGCTGGCCGTATGAGCTGAGCGACACTGGAAGCTGAAGGTATGAAAAGCAAACAACCTTTGATGGCTGTATTAGCGAGGCCCTTACTGAGTGCCCCTGCCCTTTTTATTGCCGGCTTGTTCTCTCTTAGCGTAAATCCATCAGGCCCGCATCCATGTTCGTTAAGGCCTGGGCCGCTGACCTTTCAGCAGGGCCCAGATCGTGAATAGAGCAGCGGGGCGGCTTATTGAAACCAGCTGGCAGAGGGGAGTCGCTGCAACCAGAGAGCGGCAGTTTGCTGCTTTATTTAATCTGGATAGGCTCAGGGAGCTGCAGGGCTGTGGCATATTTACTGACCCCGGAGGTCAGAATCTATGCGCGGGATCGTAACTCTTCTTCATGAGCCTGCTCTTCTGCCGTACACAATTGTCCTGTAAAAGTCTTTGAAGTCGTGACGCGAATCAACCCAGTCGGGTTTAATGTGAAATCTAATGCAAGGTTGTGCAGAGCTCTTCTCGTAACATGTGTTCACTTTATGGTTTTATTTATTTGGGGGCAACTTAGTGCTATCTACTCACTGTCTCCTTCTCTCTCACACACACACACACACACACACACACACACACACACACACACACACACACACACACACACACACACTCCTTTCCTTTAGTAATCTAAATGGATTCTCCTTATGTTCCAGACTGAGGAGTGAGGAGGGAGAAGACGGAGATGTTTATTCAGACCACTCAGTAATACTAAAGATATTTGTTAGGCCTACAAGTCGTCTTTATCTAAGACTTGGGGGGCCTATTGCTCACTCTTGATTTCCCCTAAGAAGCAGAAATTGGATTTCTTGAACTGATGTCACGGTCCCATGTGGTCCTGAGGTGAACGTGAGCGAACGTTAGTCATGGTGTTGATCCAGCTGACTCTTCATTTCTCATAATAGAACATTAACAGCACCCGATGACCCTTGGCGTATTGCTCAAGATGCACTGTGATGCAAAGCATATGGGTTCTCGAAGCTGGATGCGTCTCTGCGGTCTGGATGCGGTCTCATCAACTCCTCTCATCCTCTGATTTGATCTGGAATCGCGCAGATTTATAGACGAATTTCCGTGATGTTTGTGTTCATTTTTTTCTCTCACAGCTGTCAGAGCGCAGAAGAAAAACAACAAGAGGAAAACCACCAAAAGCTACTGATAAATCATTCTCACCCTTATTCAGCAATCCACCCCCCAGTCTGCTGAATTGATTTATTCTGACCAACTTGCTTTTGCCTTCTTTCCTAGGAAGTGTGTAGAGAGCTCTGGTGCCTTAGCAAAAGCAACCGCTGTGTAACTAACAGTATCCCTGCTGCAGAGGGGACCCTGTGCCAGACCGGCAGCATTGACAAAGGGGTAAGTCATCAAATGTTGATGTTGAATGTTGAAGATTCACACAAATTACCAAAAAATCAATTCTCCAAGTGATATCTTGGGATGAGTGAGGTTCTCTGGGTTTCCTGCCTCCACTCACACCTCCCTCACCTGCGTTAGATCAAGACCTCAACCACATTCTTTAGAAATAAAAGCATGGTTGACCCACGATATCTCTGCTAGCTGTTCAAATCACAAATCACAGTTTGCCTCAGAGCTTTATGGTGTGACCCCACCAAATGCAAAGTGAATATTCTGCCTTTAATCTGGCTAAAAACGGTGGTATGAGCTGAAAATAATTTAATTTAATGTCAGTAAATGGATCAAAAAGATGCCGAAATACCTACATCATGACTAGTCTAGAGGTGAGAACACCATCCCTTTAATGGTTGCACACATAATTAGTGCAGTAGCTAATGATGCGCTTCAGTACAGTCCTCTGTGGGCAGATATTAGCCTCTGCTAGTGGTACCTCACTGCCTGGACTTGCATCTATTCCACTCTGGGAAGGGGTACCATTCCCTGAATGTGCACTCATGCAACGGGTGTTACGACACACACTCACACACACACACACACACACACATGCAAGCAGGCCAGGCTTTAGGTCATCAGCCCGCTGTTGATGCCAGCCAGGTTAGGGGAGACAGTTTTAACACGGATTACGGCAGCCATTGTCACCGGATGGTCCGAGGTCTAAAAGGGAAGAATAGGAGAGTGTCACGAGCTGTCACCCGTGATTACCATTAGCTCAGTGGAGCCTTTGAGGACCGGGGCCCACGGACAGGGTCCTGGACAACACAGGGGGCCCCAGGTTGAGCCTGGGGGGCTTTGGAACAGCTTTTGGAGCAGCTTTAGGAGATCCAGTGGCATACCCCGTCTGCCCCTGCCGGGGGACAGCTTCAAAGGAATATGAATGTCAGCCATTTCTCACCCAGCGTGTAATGGAGAGAGGCCCTTCCAACAGGAGCAGGGAGAGAGGGAGAGAGGGACTGGGGGAGAGGGCAGAGGGAGGTGGGAGAGAGACAGAAACTGACCAACAGAGAGGAGGTTTTTTGTGTTTTTTTTCTGGACTCGCAGAAACTCCAAGTTTGAAAGCAGACTTCATCTCCCTCCCCTCTGCCAGTCGGTTTCCCTGCTGTGTCCTGATCCCTCCGTCATCTCTCCATCCCCGCTCTCCTCGCTCCCACTGCTAATCTTGTTTAGACAGCGTCTCAGGACGTGAATGAGTAAGTCAGCGAAAGAGGACAGTGGCCCAACGTAGCCCTCACCTTGACTGTCCCAGTCTCTCTGGGTTCTTAACCTACTGACACAGTTGGAGAGACAAAGGGCCGTCTCTGATCCCCTCTTCCCTCTGGAACTCTGAACAGCTTAGCACGAGGCTTAAAACACTCCTGAAACACGGCATGGTGCTTTCCATCCCTCAACTGCCTCTGAAAACACCTCACAGTACTCTGGAAACATGAATGAAAAATACAAACACATGCTAAATCAGTATAAGATGTTGTGTTAATTAAGCTAAAAATAATGGTTAAAGTTAAGAATATGTTCAGGAGAATAGTACAACATTCCCCCTCAGGTAACTTCTGGAACAACCAGTTCCCTCCCCATCTTATATGTTAACTTACATCATAATTTATATTAATTATTATTTATACGAGCCAGGTTGGCTGATACCTCCCGCTTCCAGTCTTTAAGCTAAGCTAGGCTAATAACACCACGACCTACCTACTTAAAAACTGGAAAACAACAACAAGTGCAAATATGGATCGATGCTAAATGCAAATACTCACTGTGGCAGTAGCACAACTGGAGAACTAGGTCATAAAGGTTTGCCAATGTTAGCAACCATAAGTTAGTGGCCACACAAGGAAGGAAATTTGTTTAATTGCTTATGAATTCAACATTTCATTTGTAAGAGGAAGATTCTTAGTCTCGCTGTAATGAGGCAGACATACAATTTATATAAATATTCTTTTTTCACTCTCGGAAAGCAGTCAAATAAGCACATATCTTCAAATGGTGAACTATTCCTTTAATGCTAAAAATGTCACAACCTGACTTCAGTATCATGAACTATAAATCAATAAATCAATAAAGCTCAAGGAGGAGGAAACCAGGACAGCAATAACTAAATGGAAAATGTCAGGTAAGAGAGGAGAAATAACAGGACTAATGCGGAAATGAAATTATAGGGTGAGTAAAAGTGTAATCACTAGTTAGTGTGTGTGTGTGTGTGTGTGTGTGTGTGTGTGTGTGTGTGTGTGTGTGTTTAAAGCAAGAGACTGTGTTATTGAAGGAAAACTTCATCAGTCAGGTTCTGTATAGTCTACATTTCACTATACACAGATGCACATAAATTTATAGTAAGCTAATAACTGTTGGAAAACTGTAAAACTGACACTTAAGTATTCTGTGTTGTAATAAGTTGCGTGTTATCGCGAGTCTCGCCTCAACTGAAGACCCTAAAATAATCGTTAATGTGTCTTTTTGTTGTAAAAGAAAAAATAATTCAGCTCTGCTGCATAATAACCAACGTCTCCCCATCTCTCTCTCTCTTTCTGCTGCTCCAGTGGTGCTACCAAGGGGAGTGTGTGGCGTTCGGTACCTGGCCTCAGAGTGTGGACGGAGGCTGGGGGCCCTGGTCCATGTGGGGGGAGTGCAGCAGGACCTGTGGGGGCGGTGTATCCTCCTCCATGAGGCACTGTGACAGCCCAGCGTAAGTAGGCAAAGTAAGCCACAGCAAGCTGAACACACACATCCAGGTCCTGCCTACAGGTGTGTGTTTGTGTGTGTGTGCACATGTGTATGCTGTGTGGATGTATGTTGTATCCCAGTGGGAGTAGAGCTCATTAGATAGCAAATTAGTCGTAAAATACTTTAATGGGTCGATGCCTACTTCCTTTGGGGAAAAGCAGCCTTTAAAGCTCTATGTGATGACTTTAAATACTAACTTTTGATTTTATTTTTTTGTTGTTGACTCCCACAGGATGTAAACAAGCAAAGCCAAACAGAAAGTGATGTATTTATTGTTTATAATGCACAGAAACAGTATATATCAGCCGGTAGCACACACAGTTTATCACATAGAGCTTTAAAGATCCCATCAAAAAGATAGCGATCAATCAGTGTGATCTATTTCCTGTTGAAACTGGTCAGTAAGTAGTCAGTCATAAGTGTAAACGTATGGGCTGTGGACAGAAAAGCAGAGAGAGTTCGATTGATGATGTATTGGCTGGTCAGTTACAAACCTCGCCACTGCAGATGCATTATTTTCCAGGAAGTTGTGCCCAAAAGAAGAAATACCAAATTATTCTTCAAATAAACTAAAAGTTAAACTCATAACCAATAAGCCAAACACTTATTCAGTTCTCAAGGGTATTCCTGCTACAGCCTGACATGGTCTGGTATTTATTTGGTATATTTATGGTCTGGTATATATTTTATTTTGTGGTTTTCTGACTTTCTGACTCTTATCTCTACTATAACATTATTATTTAACATCTAAGAGATTCAAATTTAAATTAAAAAAGTAAACACACCATATCTTATCCCTGGAATCATGTTTCCTGCTTGTGATCTCGTTCTACTCTCATCTTGAAAGCAGCTATAAGCAATATGTTTATTCAGTAACCCTGTGAAAGGTGTTCCTTGTAGTGATGAACCTGCAGCTAACGTTAGAAACCTTAAGCTAGTGGTCACACACAGACTAAATAATGCTGTTGCAGGAAACCCCCTGAGTGTATTAAATTGAGTAAGCGTTTGTTTGATTGCCAATGATTTCAACATTTTATTTGTAAGAGAAAGTGTTATTTCTTCTATCAAAAGTTAAAGTGTCTGAGAGATAATCACCAGGAGGAGGTTCTTTAAGGTTGTAGTATGTCCTCATGCTGTTTGCACTGACACAGCGTGTGCAATCAGTTAACACACAGCTCACTCTCTACTGCAGATTATAGTGCTGTGTGGTTTTGTCTTAAGGCCTCTCATGTGTCCTCGCCAGACAAATCATTGTCCAGTGCATCTTCGTCTGGCAAGTAGACGTTTGGGATCTTTATCTTTCTTCCAGAGTTGCATTCCTTTTGTTTTGGAGGCTAGATATTACGTCAAACACGTCATGGGAAGACACGAGAAAGAGCCAGGGTTGAAGCAGAGGGAAGGGGGAAAAAAAGGGGGGGAGGAAGGAGGAGGGAAGAGGAGAAGGCACCGGCATAATGTGGAACACCTGTGTAAGGTGATCGCTGCCGCTCAGGCATCGGTGCAAAGAGGAGGGAGGCAGAGAAAACACAGCCAGACCAGCCTCTCACACATTCATTACAGAGCCTGTCTCACAGCTTTTTGCAGTGAAGTGGAAATAGTCGTGGAGGAAAAAGGGAGGCTAATGAAGGTGAGAAGAGGGAAAGAGATGATAAGAGAAGAAAAACAAACCCTTTATAGATGTAGTAGATGTGCAGTGAAGAGTAGAAAAGGAGAAAGAGAGTTCTGAGGTTACAGGACTGTAGTCTCTCTCCCAAATCTAAATGGCATGTCACACTTAAGAGCTCTTAGAGCAGCTTGGATTTCATGAATGAATCATTGGCACACATGCTCAGCAAAGCGGCAAAAGCAGACACACAAACACACTTTGTCTTCTGGCAGAGACTTTTTGAGGCCTGTTTCATGACCTGCATTCACCAAACCCTTCCTCGTGTACTCGCTACGCCACCAAAGATGATTTCTTTGAAGAACTGTGTGATTGTAATTTATTGATGTGATGTGTTGAAGACGTCCCCCCCGCTCATTCAATTCTCCTGTGTCTCTCAGCCCGTCTGGAGGAGGCAAGTACTGTCTCGGAGAGAGGAAACGTTACAGATCCTGTAACACCGACGTGAGTTTTCTTCATTTCTTTGCCTTCCCTGTTTTACTCTGTCTGCTCGGTATTTAAAACAAAGCACACAAGTGACTTGGAACCTAAACTGTCCCCCTGATGGATGCTCCGCTCTGGTTGACAGTCGGTCTGTTGAGGCATTCTGACCTGAGATGGATTCGAGCTCTGAACCTCCTCTTTGCTGCTCCACGTTTTTGCTCCTGCAGAACGTGCTATCTTAGGAAAGGCTTTATAAGGAGCACATTACCTAGCAGCATCACACCGACGTTAAGCTTTCTGACATGTTTTCCTCCTGGAACGCGGGACAGACGATGATAAAAATGCACAGGCGGTGATTCGATATTCCCCCCGGTAACTCTGGGTTTATTCGTCTCTTTGTCACTTCGTAGTCCATATATTGTTTGTGACATTTCACTTGAGTCAACGATGATGACAGTTTCAGAGTGTATTCCACGAAAAGCGATTCACAGAGGTTGGGTCTGGAGCAAAGCTTTAAACAAATATTTAACATGGCTGCGAGTTGAGATCTCTGTTCAGCTATTTCTAGGTGGGCTTTTTTTTCACAAGGTGAAAATTGAAATAGTTAGGGCCCTGGTGGACATTTAACCGCAAGTCTTAAAAATAACAGCTGAGAGCAAGCACTGAGTGTTTTCTTTGGAAAACAAACAACATCCCTAACCGCTATTTCATCACACTGACCACACCTTGTCCAGGGAGATGTGTGTGTGTGTGTGTGTGTGTGTGCGTGTGTGTGAGAGCACCAGATGTCGATACAATGACAAATACTCACACACTTACACACATAAATTGATGTTTATATCCCGACTATTTTTACATTGATCAGTGGTCAGATATTATTTGTTAATGCTGCCTCCCTCCCTTCCTGTTGCTACTACGTCTGTCCTGTGGGAGGTTACTTTATATTATAAAGGCTGTTCCTATTAGCATAATGCTTCATGCAGGAGCTATTGAAAGAGGGCTTTGACACACTCAAATATGTAGGTTATAGTTTTTATATATACATTAAAGCTCCAGCACAATTCAGTGCTATACTTCCATAAAGTAGAGGGACTTAAGAGAAACAGATTAACAAGACTTAGTGGTAGCAGAGTACTGAAAATCGCAACTGAAGTAGAAATGTATATATATAATATTAACCGTACGAATTACTTAAGTAAAAGTAAATATTACTATTTGGCAAACCTACTCAATTAAAAGTATAAGAGTATTTGGTCGACAACTACTCAAATTGCAGGTTGCTTTGTGTTTTAATATTGCTGAGTGTATGTCTTTTTATGCAAGTCCAAGCCAAATCTGAATCTCAAGTCTCTTTTTTGGAATGTGATTAGTTTTAACAGGGATTTAGCCATAAACAAAAGTATTAGTATTAGCTAGGTTATTGATTATAACCGTATTATCCTGTTTATGGCACTAATTGGCAAATTAAGGGATTACAAAAATTATTACAAATTATCCAGGGACATGGATGTGTGCCAAATGTCAACTTTACAGTGGCGCTAGAAGAGGTGAAGAAGTCAGGCGGTCACCAAAGTCACTAGGATTCATCGTCTTTGCACCAAGGACATCTGGACCAAATTTAAATTCAATGCATCCAATAATTGTTGAGATATTTCAGGCTGCACCAGCGTGGTTGACCAACTGACATCCTCTAGAGCTGCTAGCATGCAGCGTAATGACCTAAACCTAAACCAAGATTACTGAAGGGATGAGCATTTTCTCAGACTTGACTAAGCTCCTGAAGAGCCACGGAAGACGTTGTACAGCTGTTGTCACAGATTGTGTACTGCAGCACTCCACATGACTACTAAACTGACTTTAACATGTAAAATCAGTGCAGTTCCCCTTTAACTCTAGAGAGTGGAGTCTGAGGTCGCGCCATGGCAGGCTCGTGGTATTACATCAATAATGCTGTTAAGTCCAATAATTGATTAGTAAATCAACGGAAAAATATTGATAATCTATTAATCATTTCAGTCATTTATCAAGAAGAAACAACAAAAATCGTCTGGTTCCAGTTGGTTAAATTTAAAGGCTTTTCTCTTCGGGTTTTGGACTGGTGTTGTAAGACGTCTCTCTGGGCTCTTAGGTGATTTTTTATGATTATGAACTATTTTCTGGCTATTTTTTTTAGACAAAATGATTCATCGATTAGTCAAAACTTAAACAACAGGTTAATCGATAATGAAAATAATCATTTTAATGTGACATTTGAGGTTTTTTTTTTTACTTCTCTTCAAACACGTGTTGGCACATGTAAATCTCATTTGGCCCTGTGTTGTCATTTCAACACACACTTGTAATAATATTATTCTGTCTCTTCTGACTCAATCTGCATGTTTGATGTGCAGGTTTAAAGCTGCCATATTGGCAAAACACTTGAGTGGTAATGAAAGTGGCTCAGCCTTCCCTATGGCCCGCTCCAATGTGGAACGCTTTCAGCATGTGAAATACAGCTTTGACCTAAGATCTTTTATTTGTCCTGGGGGAGAGTGTTTTGGGGTTTCTAAGGACCTTTTCACACCAATAAAGTGTTTCTTTCCACTTTTTACCTCCTCTTACTGGAGCAACATCCACACATGAAAACAAAGCAATCCCTCCAAATGCAAAACACACGGCTCTCAATTAGGAATTCCAAGAAACAAGTCTGTTTTAGTGTCTGAAAATAAAATGTGACATCTTTGTGCTGACTTTGTCCAGTTGTTAATAATGATGTTGTCTATGCAAATTAAAGCTTCCCAGAATAATCGTTGCACATAATTCACTAGCCTGCGTCTGAAGATCTTAAAGGACCATTCCAGTGTTTAAATCATGTTTTCAATTTATTTTTCGGATCATTTTTTTGAATGGATGCCACCGATTTTCAGATTTATGGATGTTTTTTTCCTGACGTTAACAGCTATGCATTGCTTTCCGTTCATTTCCGTATGGCATGAAAATCAATTTGCAGACTCTTAAAAACTTGTTTGAGTTGTATAACCCATCAAGTCTGCACTTTTTATTTGTCGAAGTTACATAATCATTGCTCGGTAATGCAGTTTAATAGCAAATTGATGAGAAAAGTCTGTATTGACTCACGATTCACTGTGATAGCTTACACAACTCAATGAAAGCCCCTTTTTTATATACTTAACTTTTATTAGAAAGCTACTTTTATGTCAATAACAACATGAGAAAACAACAACCGTTTCCAGGCAAACGTGGATAGAAAGTCTTACAACCGTACATAATTTGTGTATGATTATCCGTGTTTGGTAAAGCATGCAACAGAAAGAAAAGGAGGTAAGGTAAGAGAGGCAGAGGAGCTATACTGTACATCAAGCTTCAGGAGTCTTTCAATAGATGTTCATATTTTGTGTGACCATTTGAAAATGATTCAAATGCTCAAAGAAAAACTTTAAGCATCACAAATTCTAAAGTATTTACTCTTTTATCGCAGGCCTGCCCTGTAGGATCTCGTGATTTCCGAGAGAAGCAGTGCGCTGATTTTGACAGCATGCCTTTCCGTGGAAAGTACTACAACTGGAAGCCTTACACTGGTGGTGAGTTCATGACCAGGTTGCACCAACTCATAAATCCAAACTGAACATTAGAGATTCATTAGCAAGGGTGTAACCAGGGCATAGACACTGTGGGGGTCCTAATTAGAGATTTTTTAAAGTGCATTTCCCACAATTCTATGATATTTATGAAAATTTGCACATTTATATTGTAGTTTTGAGAACTATATTGACATTTTAATTCACATTTAAAGCAATAGTGTATGGTTCTCCTGAGATAGCTTCTACTTTAAATGCACCTACCAATTAGAATTTGAAATTTTCCAGTCGTAGCAAAAAGGATAGCTTTCAATGGGGAACAATTACAAGTGGCTTTTTTTTAGAAATAACTAAACACTTAATAACTGACACTGAGGGTACAACCAAGCTGGGGACTCACACACTTAATGTTTTCTTCACAAACCAGAATATTGAATACGTCCAATCTCTAGTATTTTTAAAGTGCTGAGCTGTCATCTTTTATTTGCGTCACAAATGACAGTCAGCAGGCCGGCCTGTCTCGTGTACCAAGTTAACACCAACGGGGGGGGATAGTGAATTCTTCAGATTCCTGTACACTGCGCAGTGTGCTCGCGACCCCCCCTCGCTTGTTTTCTAGATCTGCTCCTCGTCCACCCTGGGAGATTTTACATTTTGGAAAGACGCCTCTACACATTTCATGTCAAGAATCTTCCCAGAAGAAGGACCCGGGGCTCATTCTTTGGCCTCTTTTTGGATCAGAAGTTATCTGACCGAGCCAGAATGGGTGGAAGTGCTATTGTACTGTATCACAGTTATTGGCAGGAGTTTAGGAGCTCAGGCTATGTGTCATTCTCCCCCTACGTTCTCTCCTTGATGTTTGCAGATCATGGAAAATATCCACTTAACTAAAAACACAAGAAAAAGTGATAAAAGTTCGAAGCATGTAAACACGGCTTTTATTTTCTTTGAGAGATGGAAGAGCTTAAGTTAGATCTCTTTTATCACAGGGCTCTGTTTTGTCAAATCCATCACCTCCTGACATACAGCGTTCCTCGGGCCGGGGGCCGTAATATAAAAACAGCAGATAACCTGCGTCAGTGTAATTGTTGTTGGCAGCCGAGTGCCGTCTCTGTTGGTGTCAGTGTTACAGTGACGTCAGGCTCTGGGTTTTAGATCTGAGCACCGCTGACTTTACTCCACATGATTATTATTGTCAACAAGTGGGAGAGGAGATCCCAGAGCTGGCTGCAAGTCCTGGGACAACACCAGTGTTTGCCGGTCTCTATGTGTTGTTTATCATTTATCTCTTGAGTTGTTCTATAAGCGTTTAGGTCATGTTGTCTGTTTTCTGTGTGCAGGCTTAAACTCTAGATAACGATGTGCTCTGTTTGTGTGTATTCTGTGTAACCCAGGTGGCGTGAAGCCCTGTGCGCTGAACTGCTTGGCAGAGGGCTATAATTTCTACACAGAGCGCTCTCCTGCAGTCATAGACGGCACCCGATGTCAGGCTGACTCTCTAGACATCTGCATCAATGGAGAGTGTAAGGTAAGGGAGCAGTGCTTTGGCATATATGGTTCTTAGAGTCATTTATAAGCCCAAATCCACACGATGACATGATTTAGGATGCTCTGCCAATTTCGGTTTTATTCTCTTTTACTGAGGTCTTAAAAGAACAGGACGGTATATAACAGAAGGGCAACAAACACGAGCAGTCAGAAGCTGAGGACACTTGTACAAACCCCAAGTTAAATGATGAAGATGATTTCCCAAACAAACCAGTCTTTGACACTTCAAACTGACTGTGCTGAAGATTAGCATTTAGCTTTTAGCATCGATGCACCTGTGAATGAAAACAACCGTTGTTAAAAGCTCTCTAAAATCACGACGTGATAACAGTTGCAGTTGCAGTTGCTGAGCTATGAACTGTAATAAAATGTCCTCATAAGCCTAAATTTGCACTAAACTGAATGTAACAGGTTGCACCAGCGACAGACTGAACGTACTGCTGAGCTGATGACAGTCAGTCACTTACTGTAGTGCATTTGAACCGTTTAATCTAAAAAAAACCGATTAAAAACAGAAATGTGTGACATAATTTTCACTTCTGACCAACTTCTTGTTTAAACTTTGACCTGTTGTAACTAACATATGGAAACTTTTAGATCATTTTCAGTTTTAGCTCCAAATAAAGTGGCAGTCTGATCGTCTGCTGGATCTAACACTGGCAATGTGGCCACATTATTTTGATGAGTACAAATGTTTTCATAGCCAATAAATAAAAGCCAAGTTGTACTTTAATAAACTGAAGTTTTCAGTCTGCCAAAGTTGGAGCTCAATGATTATGATTAGGTTTATAAAGTATGACTTAATGAGAAAATCTCAACTCAAGGTCCACTTACCACTTTAGACTTATGATCTTCCTCAGCTGACTGCGCCTCTAGTCATGTGACCAAGTTCCAAACCGAGGCTCACCGGCTGAGGAAGACTGTAAGATGTGGTTGAAAGCTCTGGAAAATGCAAGCAAGTGGACCTTGAGTTGAGATGATCTTTTTAGAAAATGCAAAATGCTCACGTGTTCTTTCATCGCCACTCGCCAGATGTTAAAAAAGCTCCCTAAAATTACATTTTCTTATTAAATTCAGATACTTAATATACTATAGGCCCTAATGTAGGAATTAATCATTTCAATATGTGATCAATCCTGTTTGATTACAGCAAATCAGGCAAATATGCAGAATATGAAATGACATGTTGATGCATTAACTGGCCCTGTGCCAAACTGAATCCAGTATGAAGATTGATTTGCATGAGAAATACATGTCAGATGCAATAAAAAAAAGAATGCATCTCCCGCCTTGAAATAACACAATGACACACAGCCCTGATAGTATTTCAAATTACAGCTAGACTGACATGCTAGCTCTGCTTTCCTCATCCTCTGTGTTAGTCTTTATCTCCAGCAACACAGTTAGCGAGATACTGACTGCGTAAACACGACTGCCGAAGCACAGGACTGCACCATTCTCCAGTGAAGAACAATTAAGCCTTTGAGTTGCTGATTGTGGCTGATTGTGATCACATGACTGGCATTTCTCTTTTTTTTACTCTTATCAGGGCTTTGCAGCCTCGACCGGGATTGTTTTGTGATAAATAAAACACAAAAAATCATTGTTTTGATTGAATAATGATTTTATATATATTTGAAAAGGCTGATTTAATAACAAGGCAAAATAACATTTTACTGAAAGGAGTTGGCAGTTGGTGCTGTCTTTGTTTTCACGAGCATAAATCATTTTTGTACAGTTTGTGTGTGTATGTAGAGATGAGGGGGTTTTCAGAGTATTTTCTGAGATGCAGCTGAAATAACTTTTTGGTTGCTCGCTTTAAGTATTTGCTTTGACTTCCACCTGACCGTACAATTTGATTCCTGTTTGGCATGACCACGCAGCGTTGGTGCCAACAACATTACTCTGATTCTAATATAAAAACACAACATGGTGTGTGTTTTAATGGGAAGAGAACTCTGAGAGGTGGAATATTCCCTACCAAAGCAGCATTGCAGGTTTATTTCCAGTCTGAATCCACCGTGTCGTTTTATTTCAGAGGCTGGCTCTCCGGGTTCACTGCCACACTGTGATAAATCTCTAGAACACTGTCTGCTTGGAAAGCTTTCAGAAACACTCAAAACTGCTCTGCTGTTTGCAGGTGCTGGAGAGACAGACAGACAGAGAGAGAGAGAGAGAGAGAGGGAGAGAGGGGGGAGATAGTGAGAGTAGAAAGAACTGGGAGATCCAAAGGAGGTAGTGGAAGTGTTGGTGATAACAGGAATCCTCCCAGTTGTATTGTCACACAGCATTAACACACAGTTGATAAGCTGTTATCACACAGTTTACTGGCTGGAACAGTCACTCCCTGTTTATTATAATAGTACAGCACAATTTATGTTTGCTATCTTACTGAAATGTATGCTCTGTAAAGTGTCGGGCTGCTGCTAACAGTTATTTTAATTATGGATCAGGGGCGTTTCCAGACTTTTTTTGACTGGGGTGACACAAGAGGGGCACTGACTTTATTTACTTAATTTATTCCAATACTGTTTAGGGACCCCAGCATGCAGAAATATTCAAATACACTAAGCGAAAATAACCCATTTACCACATGCAAGAAACTGCATGGGATTAGCATAAAGTGTCTGCAAACAGGAGAGTTAAGGGATCCTTTTGAAAATGGCCATGCCAGTTTTTCCATCACCAACATTTTGCCTAAAGTTGGAGTGTTATTTAGCCCCCTTCCTGATATTTACTGCTTGCTGTAGAGTGACATCTATTATATTAAGTAGTGAATGAGGGAGTGATTTTAGACACAGCAAAGCAGCAAGCATGTTAATACTTTGGTTCAGTTATGTTCTGTTGTTGTTCAACACCACACAGTCTTGTCATTTTGAGATGCTAAGAACTATATAATAAATAACTATAAAAGTTATGTGCAAAATCTTTTTAAGAAGATAATTAAAGTGTACATTGGTGTCAACATATAGTACACTCAACACTATAACAGCACTGCAATAAGAGTCACAAATGTATGTTTCCTCCGATGTAAAATGTGTTAAAAATATTCAAATTGTTCCTTATATATACCGCAGTAGACTCAACCATAGACCGTTGGCCCAACATGTAACAAATATTTGAATATTGCAGATCCACTAATGAGCCCATATACTGCTGGTGTTTTTGCAGCCTTTTAAAGGGGGAAAAATAATTCAAAAATAATGAAAATCTTACCTTCAATCAAAATCTTCTGCATACCGCTGTTCCACCTTTGACGCTCCGAGGCATTACCAATCAAGCACCGATGAAGCAATCACTACAAACTGAGCACAGATAAACATTTAATGGGCTCCATACGGCCTCCATATTAAAATTTATTTGAAGCCAACACATTATTATCTGTTCGTCCGTCTAGTTTAAACACTCAGAGACCATAATGTTTTATGACATCTCATATGTTTTATATGTAAAAACCAAAGATGCCAAGTTGCCAGCAATTACAGCTGCTTGTATCGACGTAGCTGTGTTGTGGATCAGTCCGACGTTGTTCTGTATTTTTCTTATTGTCAACAAATCCTCTAAAAAGACCAAAACCAATGATGTGTTAGTCTGTGACTCAGTAGTTTATGACTTTCCAACCCTGTCTGCAGCCTCAAGCCCATACGCTCTAATAAATAAGTAAAACTTGAAAAACAGCTCACAGTTGTATAGTTTCATTAAAAATGTTACTCAAACTGAGTACTATTTTCTGAAGTGGATTAATACACAATTTGATGCTCACTATTATGTGGTATCCATCTAGAAACTGGCGTCTTAATAGTCTGACACTTAAACTCTATTATATAAAACAGCTATAGACATAAAAGAACAGATAAATTAATACAATAATTAAGAAAAAGCCAATATGTAAAAGTCTTGAGAGATGATTTAAAAGAGGCAATGAAGTTCCTCAGGTAGAGGAAAGGGTTGGAGCTCTAACAGCACAAACACCCTGTCACCATTGGTCTTGACCGAGGAATCACTAACAGGTGATAAGCTCACCCAGGTAGCGTGGTGCCATGCCATCAGGGCCCTAAGGTGCTGGTCGGTGGATGTTGTTTACAGTCTTTTTGCTAAGCTAAATGGCTGCTGGCTTTAGCTTCGTATTTAATTCATCTAACCCAAGAAAGCGAATTAATGTATATTCCAAAATGTGAAACTATTCCCATTGTTTCTAACAGTAAAAATGCTTGAAGTCCCGAATCCATTGTTCAGTCTTAAATTAAATCAATGCTCATTCTCTGACTTTGTGTGTTGGCTTTAAAGCATGTAGGCTGCGACAACATCCTGAGCTCTGATGCTAAAGAAGACCGGTGCCGCGTGTGTGGAGGCGACGGCAGCACCTGCGAGGCGACCGAGGGCCTCTTCAACGAGTCTCTCCCCAGAGGAGGTAAAACATATCTCCTCCAGAGGGACTCAGACATCCTGTCACCTCAGGTTTCTGTTATATCTCCACTGATCTATTATACAGCAGCTTTCAGGCTTCTTTGATTCACTCAGTGTGAAAAGGATGAGCAGAGATAGTGTGTTTTGATTTGATGACCACATGTGACAAACTTAAAGCCACCGGAGATGACTGTGAAGAAAACAAAGTAACTCATCGTCCATTTGGAGCAACTTTTGTCCAAAAGCCAACACATCCCCGAAGCCAGGAAGATAATCTTTCATGGAAATGTGCCTTTCTTTTTTTTTTTTTTTTTGCCTTTGTCACCCACCGACAGAGCATATGTTTTGGCCTATTTAGAATTAAGTTGTCAGAGTATAGATCAAAACATAATATTTTTCCCATTAATTACATCATGGAGTGAAGGAATCAGCAGAAGGAGATAGGGACATGGTGCTGGCTTTAGCCCGAAGTCGTCTATAGAGAGCAGGAGAGAGAGAGAAAACATATTTCTCCTTCTATGGTATGGCTAGTAAACCATCTAAAAATACTGTGTGTGCACTGTGTGTATGTGTGTGACTGTAAAAAAAGGAGGGGATTGTTTTGTCCTCCTGCTTTGTCCTTTTTGGGTGGTTTTGAATTTATCCTATATGTACTCCTACCTAACATGATATGTAACTTTCTGTCTTCTCGCGAGGTGGTGGGGGTTGAGTGGGAAAAATACCAACCTTAACGAGCCCTGTCCTTGTCTTCCAGGCTACATGGAGGTGGTTCAGATCCCAAAAGGATCGGTTCACATCGAGATCAAAGAACTTGCCATGTCGAAGAATTATATCGGTAAGTGACGGCCTCGAAATGGTCGAGTCCCGTTTAGAATTTGCTGGATTTCCACTTTTGTGAGCTTTGGATTTTGTGCAAACATTCACGGCCCCCAGAGGATGAATCCACCATGAGGTCGACATTTTTGTCTTTTAGTTCAATTTCTCAACAACTTTGTGACAGATCGGCATCACATTTGGCACAGATATTCATGGCGCCCAGAGGATGAATCCTAATGACTTTTGTGATCCCTGACGTTTCCTCTAGCGCCATCAGCTGGGCAGAAATATTTAGCATTAACATCTATTAGATGTATTTGTTCCACTGACTTTTGTGATCCCCTGATTTACCCTCTCGTACAACCACAAGGTTGACAATAATGAAATTTGGTTTATGTTCCCCCTCAGGATAATTACCTACTTTGTGTTTACGACCAAATACCTGCAAAACTAATGACAGCTGCACTTGTGTGTTAAGTGCTAATTAGCCATTCTTAGCATGCTAACTGCACAAAAAGGCTTAATTATCCTGCTTCGTGTTTCTGATTGGTCAGCGGGAGGTCAGTTGAAAGCTAGCTAATCACATATCAATCAAGAAGTGGTCAGATAGGACCTGCGAGTGCCTCCATCGTCTACAACTTAACAGGCGGGTCTGCGAGTAGGTTACTTGTGGCAGGGACCTGTCATAAGCAAACTGTTGGAAATACTAGATCAGCGTTTCTCATACTTTCTACACCGCTTATCACCTCAGAAAATATTAGGCTCTATAAGTACCGCCAGTGCCGACCCGATTCAGCTACTCACGGTTCACACAGGAGGCAGGTTTATTCTTAATAAAAAGATTATTTATTTATTATCCTGAATGGAACCGGTTCAAAACCAGAGCTAATCGGGTGGAAAAGGGGTCCTCCCAGTCCACACGTCTCTGCCCAGTGGGTCCCATTTAGAGCCACAATTTAAGTATTTTTGTAACATTTATTTTACCTCCACTCACTATCTTCCCAGCACATTTTACCTCGTAACTAATCATGGATGTATATTTACGCCATGTTCATGAATGTGACCATGTCGCAGGCCGATATTAGGACAAAACATGACAGGAAATGCAATACTTATTATGCAGTATTTTGGCAGTATTATGCGTTTTCAATTTTCTTTTTTTTTTGTATTTCGGAGATTCCTTTGCTTACCACTAGAGGCAGTACCATAGTTTGAGAACCAGTGTACTAGATAAAACATAACCTAATGCCTTCGAATTCAATATGGCCTCCACTTCCAGAAAAAGAAGAAGGATTTGACCTCCCTTTCCTAAGTGACTCTAGACGTATGAACGCTGTCATTGTCACTGTGAGAATGTTAGCATGATGACTTTGGCATTTAGCTGTGTCTTAAGTACAGTCTCGTGTGGCTGTAGACTCTTAGTCTTGTTTCACCATCAATCCATCAATGTCAGCAGAGCCTGTAGCTCACTGCAGTGTGAATTTGCGACATCAAGCTGTTTCTTATTATCTGTTCAGTTCTGTGTCAACCACATTTCCTGGGATTTCCTTGTGTTTTGGCAAGGGCAAATTAGAAGATGCCATCATTTAATCTCCCGTTGCCTAATGTGAAGCCATAAAACAGGGTCTGTAAAAAAAAAAAAAAAAACCTGAATCTTAACACATGTGATGGCCAGCTTGGCACCAGACTCATCCGCTCTGTTCCAGACTAAACAAAAACTATTTGCAACACTGGCAGCGTCAGACCAAAACAATCAAACAACCGGATTCAATTAAGCCAGTTCTGTGTCCTTTCATTAACAAGAGAAAGACATGTGACAGCGTGTTGAATTTATAGCGGATGGTGTTGATGGAGGGCTTAAGTTACACTTTGAACCGGAGAGCTGCATCAGATTTATAGGGCCGTGGTGACAGCTGCCTGGTCCACCAGGATTATGGGGGATATGATGTCTATATATCAAAGTTTAAAGAGTGCAATTTTGGCTATTGTGTTGGACGAGATTTTCCCTTCCAAGCAATTTGTAATTGTGTTATGAATTTCATCTGTGACCCCCAGTGATAAAGATAATATTTTTCTTTTGCAGCATTGTCTGACTGCTTACTATTTAGGTCAGCAAAGTTTGCCTTTGTTAATGTTTTATTAAAGCAAAAAGTAAGCGAGACAATATAAAAATAGAGAGAAAAATAGAGCTGCACTGTTTAAAATAACCAAATCACAATGCTCACAATTAGTGCTGGAAATGAATGTACTGAGAAGGGGACTGCGATATGTTAAAGAGGAGCAAATTATTGTTTCATCCAATCTGCGTTAAAAAGCTGCAGAGGGGGAATCTGCAGAGCACGAGCCAGAGAGACAGAATAGCAAGCGGGTTGGATCGTTTCTCCTCAATTTGGCCCCATTTCAACGCAGAGAAAGTGGATATTTTCAGATCTGTTGTGCTTGGAGACCAACTTTTGTTTTGACAACCAGACAGAGTGGTATTCATGAGATTCGTCCAGGCTTTCACCTGAAGTGTGTTTTCTTTCTCTTCCTAAATTAGACGTATGTACATGTCGGTGCACGTGAACGTACGTGTGTGTGTGTGTGTGTGTTTCTGCTCAGTCTGTCGAGGGATAGAAAGTTGTCAGTGACATGGGAGAGGCTGAAAATGATGATGATGAAGATGAACAACGGCAGTGACATCACGGCGGATGATTGCCTCCACCTGTTGTCTCAGCTACCGTTCCTAGTCTGCTTTTGATTTCGCCTTTCTAAAAGTATTTTCTCGTTTTCTGTGGTTTCCTAGCTTTGAAATCCGAAGGGGATGATTATTACATCAACGGAGCGTGGACCATCGACTGGCCCAGGAAGTTTGACATCGCGGGGACGGCCTTCCACTACAAGAGACCCTCTGATGAACCGGAGTCTTTAGAGGCGCTGGGAGCCACCACTGAAAACCTGATTGTCATGGTAATAAATAATAATTGATTGTAAATGATAGAAAGTGTTTACTTACTATATTCAGATTTGAGAGTTTTCTTTTAACGATATCCTCAACATAGAAACACAGGACAATTTAAACCTGCAATAAGTTGATATATCAGACCGTCAAGCAGTTACAAAGCAGCATTATCATTCATTGGAGTCGTGTTTGTGTCCACCTGATGAATATAAGTCCAGTATTCACTCTCTTTGAGCTCTGTTTTTGGTCTCCACCAGCTCCTGAAAAAACTATTGATTCTAGCCATTTTAAAGGAGCATTGTGTAGAATTTAGTGGTATCTAGTAGTGAAGCTGCAACCATTTGAATACAGCTCTGCCTTCCAATGTGTCCTTTATTTCTTAGAAAACGTGTTTTTCCTGGCTCTAAATACTACAATACCCATTAGCCTCAGCCACTGCTATAAAAAAAGAGGCTACTCAGAGGCATGAACATGTTTTGTCAGGACCAAATCACTGCCATGGTTGCCAGATTGACCCAGAATCTCTCAGTGACCTGATTTAAGGTGCTGAATGTTTTATCAGGTTTCCAGGAAACATAATGTTGGGTTTCTGCTCACCGGCAGTGGGGCATGCATCACCATCTTCAGCTCAGTGATCGGATGTTTCTCACTGCCTCAAAAGTTGTAACTGACTTCTCTCTTTAAAGGTACCCGGTGGAGTTTTCTTGTAAATAGACAAAGTTATTTTTATATTGAGCAAACACATCACATGTAATCAGTGGCTGAAATGGGCCAGTACACATTTTTGTCCCCTTTTTTATTGAGTTTTTATTGAAAATTAAGGGGTATACAATAAAAAATGTTAAATAAAAAGAACTACTTTGATGCTTTGATGCCCCAAAACCCTGCTAGCAAGTTTAGTTTTCAGACCTCTGTATTTCTAAAACCCTGCATACAGGGCTGGTGAGGTATTGTGTAACTGCATCTCCTTGTAAACACAGCTAGCTTAACAGTACTGAAATTGTCTAAAGAGGATTAAAAACACCAAAACAATTAGGGTTATGTTATGAATTAGGCTACTGGCACCTTTTTTGGTCCAATGCAGGCACTGTTTGTATCCACATCCAACAAATGTGTCGAATGCAATAAGCTCATTTTTAAAATATATTTTGAAAGCTGCATTGTTTACACCCATGTTTGCTTGTTAGAAGTGAACCCACAGGCAGGAATGTGCCTTGCATCACTGCGTGAGATACAAACAAAGATACTAGTGGCCAAAAACTTCACGGGGTACCTTTATGTTTTTATGTACACAGGCTCGTACCTCAAAGAAGCAGATACAGTCTAACACAGTTGTTCATCTTGTGAGTTTGATTTCCATCCAAGCCATGGAAATCCTCCAGCTGCCATTCAACCATTCAAGATTGTCTAGGCAGAAAATGAATGGGACTTTAACTTCCAGAAACTTGGACACTTTAAACGACTCATCTCACTTTGCAACTTTATGGTTGTACTTCTTTGGTCGTCTTGTGCATTTTATGCTGTATTTTGGTCTGTCTTAAACTCAAGATCTGGCTGCTAACCTTGGATGACCCTCAGCCAGTGGTTTGGGGTTAAAAGATATTTATTTGTGGATATTGAGAAAAAAAAAAACTGTCTTGGCTGAATGCAAACACAATGTCACTTGATTTGGTGACTGTCTGTGTTGTTGAACTGGAGCTCGCTTGTGCATGTTAAATAGTGAGTGCACTTCTTTCTCTGCACGTTTGTGTGCCGCTCTGTGTGTTAATGTGAGGCAACTGAGCATTTTCTTGTCGTAATACTCGGTGGTTTCTGCCTTGACATGAATGCTGAAAATACCAGACCACACAGCACCGCTGGAATAGACGAGCAACTGGCCACTCGACCACTAGCCATTTCTTTGCGGCTTGCAAAGCCCGACTCCCTCAGTCTCCCTCTGCATCCAGCAGACTAATATAAACCACCAGAGCCTGATCCAGAATGCTCAAACTGCATTTAAAGCTCATCTAATCAATATTTGTTTCTTAACAATGGTCCAAATCACTGTCTGTAATGTAAATGAGGTCCCACACAAAGCCTGATTATGTGGTTCCTCTTAACTCTGTAGAGCTTTTCAGCATCTTTCAGGTCATTGCTTTTGTGCTCTTATCAGCTGTTTCTATCACTAAAGCTCAAAAAAACAAACTACCTGCACCAAATGACAGACAATGTTAGAGACTTGCTGGTGAACACAGTGAAGCATATAACAAATAAAGAGTCAGACATTTTTCTCAGGAGTTGGTGGAGACCAAAACAGAGATAAAACTGTGAGTACTGGACTTAAATTTGTCATGCAGACATAAACACGACTCCAAATAAGTGCTAATGTTGCTCGGTATCTAATTAAGTGGCCAAAAACTCATTGTATTTAAGCTCAAGAACAAGAATCAACTCTTTGTGAATGGATAAAAAATCAGATGAAGATTAATGAGCACAGACATTTTACTAAATGTACCTACCTTCTTATTTTTTCCCTGTTGTTTCCCTTTTTCTGTCCTCACCTTTTGTTTGCTTCCCCCTCTGCAGGTCCTCCTTCAGGAACAGAACATGGGAATACGCTACAAGTTCAACGTGCCCATCCAGCGCACAGGAAGTGGCGACAACGAGGTGGGCTTCTCCTGGCACCACCTGCCCTGGTCTGAATGCTCGGCTACCTGCGCTGGAGGTAAGTCAGCACTGCGAGGCTTGACTGCAGCTATGTTTCCTCCTTTAATGGTCACAGCAACATAGCTGCAGCCTGTTGTATGCAAGTTTTCATCCAAATTTAGTGCAAATTTTAACAGAATTCCCAGAAAATCTGCAAATTAAAATGCGAATTAATGCGTTTCCATCCAATACTAAGACAAACATTAGGAGTTGGTGGTAATTTTCCAGTTAGGTGCCAATGAACCACTGTAATGTAATTAAACAACCACCAGTACAAACCTCGACAAACGAAAAATTATATTTAAAATGTGATGGAAATAAGGCATTTATGTTTGTTTGCATTAGTTTATTTGAGACACGTTACAGTTTCCTTATCGCTCCACACTGATCTGATGTTTCATCTCTTCAGTGGACGTTTAGGGCACATGCTTCATGTACGTCATTATTATATGCTAAGCCTGTTTCCTGTTTGCCTTTGGCTCTTATTGATACACAAACTATTCCAAGAATAAAAACGTCTTTCTAATATTTTTACCTCTTTTTGAATTTTCCAGTGTTTCCTCTCAACTTTCTTATTCCCAAATCTAAAATGTGCATAAAAACAGGTGCACAGAAACGCACTTTGTGTTGAAAATGAAATCTCTACAATCAGCAGCTCATATAAAAAATATCTTTCATGCATTTAGTTACTGTTGATTAAATCACAGCTACTTTCTTTACTCCTGTCAGGTGTCTGTCAGGTGCCCAAACTCTCCAATTTGCCTATGTTACATGGTTTTTGTATATATATATTAATAAATGTAATAATACAATTAATATTTAGAGTAAATAGTGCTACACAAAGACTGATTTTATAAAACTGCTGTACAAGTTTTCATTATTAAAATGTATTTTTCTATGAGAGAAGAATACCGTCTTCTCTCTTTGTCGACCTTCTGCTGAGCTCCAGTGGCCGGTTGCCTTTTGAAAAAGAGCACTCCAAGCATTTTGGTGTTGAATACCATAACACGCTGTGGGTGTTTAAATTCTTTTTGAATATTTCTAACCTTCTCAAATATTTAATACTCCATATCTTGTGTGTGCGTGTGTCATTCTGTAAATCTTCCCCAACCAATAATTACACAAATGCTGAAGAGCCGTGTGTGGAAACCCAGTATCATAATTTGCGATGGGTTTCCAAAATCATTACTTTATAGCTTGAGATTCAGCCCTCTAATAAATTCAATATGTATATTTTCCATATTTTAGCCAGAGTAATGAATATGGTGTAATTTCTGTGAATGAGCTGCTCTGCATAGCTTCTGGTTTACCAGCGCTGCACACAGATACGGCCACTCTTCTGGAGCGCTTGTCCTACAAAGTCAAACATCCAAAATCTGAAACCACAGTGAAATGTTGACCATAGCCTCAAGAATGACTAAACCAAACCTTTTAGCCCAAAAGCAATGGGTTTCATGTAACAATAAATAGTGTTTCTTCCCAGTTGTCAAGTGTGGCCTGGACGGGTTTGTAATATTTTGTAAAAGCATGACTGAATAAGCATGTGGGTTTCTCTGAGGAAGGATTTCCAAGTCCAGAGCAGAAGTTTGAATCTATTCCTTAGATGGGGAAGCACACATGGCCTTCCAGTGTTGTAAACATGCCTTTGCATTGTTGATCCAAATTATCTAATTTGTGTCTACTGTGCAGCTCCGACCGCGCTGAGCTTTAAATCAGTAAAAATGTTATTTAATCACGCACCCATTCGATACAGCTAGCTCAGCTAATCACAAAGTGTTGTTTAATATATCACTATAGTAATAAAACCTATGAAAAACACCTTTTGACAGCCTTACAACTGAAGCTCTTATACCCCATGCTTCGCATTTATTCCCCCAAACTGTATTTCACTTCAAGCACAGATGGGTAGATTTTCTATACTTCATGCACACACACTCACTCACACACATCCATATCTCATTACAACTGCCAGACAAGTCTGCTGTGGGATATGTCCCACGAGGGCCCAAACAGACCCTTTCTGAGTTGGTATGGCATCACACACACACACACACACACACACACACACACACACACACACACACTCACACACATAGAAAACACATGCATGCTCACACACACACACAGTGGGAGGTGTGACACCGATACGGTAGCCCTCACTCTCTCCATTAGAAGCCAAAGTAAAGAGCTCTCTGCTCTGTAAAAGTGATTTGCCAAGATATCCTGCAAAGAATCAGGAATTTACATGTCTGGATTTGCTACAGGCTGAAAGAGATACCATCTCCGCTCAAACACAGCGCTCATACACGGCGGCCGGCCTTCCATGTTTCTGAATGGGGGTTTTAATGTGCGATATCAGCTGAGTTCTGTGCCTGCCCTTATTGATCGGTGTCGTCCCCTGCAGGTTCCCAGAAGCAGGAAGTGGTGTGTAAGAGGCTGGATGATAACTCGGTGGTCCAGAACAGCTACTGTGACCCAGACAGCAAACCTCCAGAGAACCAGAGAGACTGCAACACTGAGCCGTGTCCTCCAGAGTACGTATGGCTGAGTCTTGATTATTTTCATTATCAATTGATAGATTGATTATGAGAAATTAATGAAAAATGCCAGTCACAAGTTCCCAGAGCACAAGGTGACAGTCCAAAGCCCTAATATATATTACATTTCCAGTGATAAAAGACAGCAAAAAGCAGCAAATTATCACATTTAAGAAGCTGGAAAGAGAGAATAAATGACTGAAATGATTAATTGATTATCAGAATTGCCGTTTTTTTTGTTATGTTGATTAATTAATAGACTTTTCTTTAATTTTTCTGCTCTCCAGCTAAGTTCAGTTCTTTTGCATATGAAATAAGAGAGGTTCTAATATAAAGTATCAAAAAGGGCAGCTGAAACAAACTGGAAACACTTTATCACACATATCATCACCTTATTAAGGTAATATGAGAAACATGTTTGCAAACAATTGCCTTGTTACATGTGCAGCAGATACTGAGCAACATTAGCTTTCATTTGAAGCCATGATGAGGAATTTAAGTCCAATATTTACTCTCTTTTACCTCTGTTTTGGTCTCCATCAACTCCTGGGGGAAATATTTGGCTGTTTAGTGGTTTAATTCTGTGTTCACCAGCTAGTTGCAAACTTCATCTCCTCTTATTGTGTTGTGCAAGTATTGTTTCTTTTAGAGCTTTTTTGGGGCTGAAAACTGCTGCCTGATGCATCTGGAAGAAAATCTGAATCTAAAGAGTAAAGTTGTGGGCCATAAAACCGCTGAAATAATTAGCGTAAAGATACTAAAACGCTCCACAGAGCTGAGGCGAACTGTGTCAGGTGATAATTCTCTGTAGGTTTGTCACTACGAGTTACACCTTTCACATTACGCATAGACATCTGATCCGTTGTTAATTTAAAAATATTGAGTACAGCAGCTTTAAGTTTCAAAAGAAAAAACGCTCCGTAAAAATGACTCATGATATCAATGAGCCCTAGTTTGTGAAATGTGTTTGGAAGAAAATAATAAAATAAAATGGCAGTGATTTATAACTTCATATGTTAACTATTTTCAGTGTTTGCCTCGTGCCAAAAATTAGAGCCCTGAAAATGACCACCTGTGTTTGATTGTTTTGGCTTCTTTACCGATCCTCGAGGGGTAATATACACGTACACAGGTGGAATATGAACTTGTGTTTGGTGGCCAAATGTCTGTAAGCCCAACACTGTAGCTGCAAGCGTAGCCAGACTCACTTCAATCACGTCTGGAAAAAGAGGGATTAAATGCATCGGGTTAATTAGTTTCAGACTATCTGATAATTATTTGTGTATGAGAGTGAGTGTTGGTGTCTGTCAGCTGGATTTCGGCCAAAAAAACTGATAGTATCATAAATCTACTGTATAAGTGGTAATTTGTTTTCATACATTCAGACTACAGTCTTGGGTTATTTATTTTCACATCTGTATTCAGTGGACGCAGACTTGTGGTATCTCATTTATTTTGATTAGTATTTGAAGGCCGTTGCAGTGCACGTGTGTGTATTAAGTTACTGTGCACACTTGACATTTGTGTCTGTTAGGAAGGCAAACACCCCTTCTGCAGCCTCAGGAAAGGCCGACTAAAAGAGACCATGTAAACACGATTGTTTTAGAATAGCCGGGGTTTTATGGGCCCGAGTAATGAAAGCTAACACAGATGTTTGAACACGTCGTTAATTCTGTATACATTCCTTCAGATGATGTAATATCTCACAGGCTGGATGTGTTTGGAGGGCTGTTGTCTGAGCAGTTTTATCATATTAATTCTGAAGTCTGTAGACAAAGGGTTGAATAAGACTGGGTCTAATTTTCTGGAGGTCAAAAGCTCAGCGGTGTGGCACGCTCAACAATATGGTGTTTACCGTTGGTGTTCAATAAATGTAGAAATGTTCAAATTAAGATATTTCATCCAGGTGTTGGTGTCCAAAATCATGTGGCTAACTTAAGATGTTGCTACAATACTACAAAAATGAGGTTGTTTCTTAGTACACAAAGTTTTAATGCTATTAAAGTAATAGTTTGACATTCTCTTTCTTTCCGAGAAAGCACCTCCTGCTCCATATTTAACGCACAGACATAAAAACGTTATTGATCCTCTCATCTACCTCTCTCAAAGATCAAATACACCTTTTGATGGAGGTGAAAACTAATAGTAAGTTTTTAAAATTAGCTTGTACCCCTCTATAAAACAGAGCCTTTACTTGTAAACAAACAGAACAAAGTGATATAATTGAGTATTACATAAAAAACACATCGTATATCCTTGAGTGTATAATGCATTACTATTCTCATGAAACATTTGCAAAGATGGTTTCTTCTTGCAGTGTTTTGTTGGTGCATCGCTGTGTTTCTTGGTGCTTTGCTGCCACGTGTAGCTCAGTGAAATAGTGCACTATAGTGGAAGCACTGAAAGGAATGTGTATCGCGTCACCCACAGGTACATGAGCGCCCTCGTGCACGTGCACAAGACAAACAAGAAGGGGACCCACTCATAAAAAACAAGCTCCATGGCGCTCCATAGGGAACCTTTAGTGTGCACCTTTTCACCTTTTCAATACCGCTTTCAGTTTATATTGTACTTTGGTGGAGCGTATTCCCAAACAAATTTGCAGTTAATCAAATTACCACAAACCTGTTGACACACAATAAACCTGGGGCCTGCGGGGGCCCCTGAGGATGATCTGTGGACCTGGGTTTGAAATTTAGTGCCCATACAATACGTAGAGTACCAAAACCACAAATAGTGCTTTTTTTCACTACCTGACTTTGAGAAATATAATAAGAAGGACTTTTCCGAAATAAATTTGTCAAAAGGTTTGATTTAATAATAAATAATAATCATTATTTAAATGTATATACATTATTTATTTATACCGCATGAGGTGGAATAAAATAAGAAAGATAAATACTTGCATTAAAACATGTTACAAATTACCTAGTGTTTTTTATTAAAACAATGAAAAACTAAACAGCTGCTTCATTTCCAACACTAAGACGAGAAGACGTTCTCTTAAACTGAGAAGTTGTGCGAGTGGTCTTACTCTTAAAATAAGGAAAATAATCTCTGCAGGGATATTATGCAACCATTGTTTTAACTTGTTACTGCTTAAATCTTGCTCTAATATCGTATTAAGACAAAGTAAGATGTACTTTCTTAAAAGGAGATCACTATTTCTGATGCAGAACATGCTCGACAAGATTATTTTTCTTTTCAGACAAAAAAACCTAAGACTCATTTCCAAGAAACAAGACTTTTTCACTTTCTTGAGGTTTCTTTTTTGCAGTGCAGTACCATAATGTGATTTTACACTGTAATTACCAAAAGCTTGTTTGTAATGAAGTAGCCACAGGGAGTATAACACACCGCTATATAGATTAATGCCACTGAGACAGCGCTCACTGTTATCTTTCTGTTTTCACTCATGTTTCTCTCCTCCAGGTGGTTTATTGGCGACTGGTCAGAGTGCGGGAAGACGTGTGACGGCGGTATGAGGACGAGGACGGTGCTGTGTATCAGGAAGATTGGCCCTGCTGAGGAGGAGACACTGGAGGACACCCACTGTCTGACTCACCGCCCCATCGAACGAGAGTCATGCAACAACCAGTCCTGCCCGCCGAAGTGGGTCACTCTGGATTGGTCAGAGGTGAGACAACATCCTGAAACTAACCCTTCAGCTCACTGTGCTGTCGAGATGCTCTTCTCACACCTCCTCCTCCCTCTTCAGTGCACGCCAAAATGTGGCCCTGGCTTCAAGCACCGCATCGCCTTGTGTAAGAGCAGCGACCTGACCAAGACCTTCCCGCCCGCCCATTGCCCGAGCCACAACAAACCTCCGGTCCGAATCCGCTGCAGTTTAGGACGCTGTCCTCCTCCTCGCTGGATCCCTGGCGAATGGGGACAGGTAGGACGACACCTCCTTCACATCACATCCTGATCTCAGAACAAAAAGCCTCTTTTTTTAAAACTTCAGCATGATTTGAGCGAGCTTCCCAAACAACGGTACAGCTGGTTAATCCTTTAAAAGGATAGCTCGAATGTTTAACAGACAAAAGATGCACAGATAGATTCCATGTGTTGGTGAATGGTTAATATAATTTACACCTGGATGACATACTAAGCAGGCCTGTGACGTGTGTGTGTGCGCGCGTAGAGGTTTGTGTTTGTGTGTGTGGGGCCAAGTGCTCCGGCAGGCCTGGAGTGTGTGATCAGTGGCAGTCATATCCTCCTGGCTGTTTGAAGTTTATCTCTGCCTCAGAGCAGGCCCTCTCTATCACTTCCAGGAACACGATTTAGAGGAAGACCGAGGAGTAGCATTCTTGGGCTCACCCTGACATGACTTAGTGCGCTCAGCAAGGCTGTTGAACACTTTACAACACAGCTGACTCATGTTGGTGAGAGGACGCCAGAAAAACGTGCGTCAGAGAGAGTTGTATCTACAAAAGTATGGCTTGTTATTTTGTTGGATTTGTTAATAATTTAGTGTAAAAGTGGAATTTTAAACAGTGCGCCGTGATGTTTAGAAGATGTTTTTTTTTCGGGGTCAGCTCGTCGCTCTGGTGGAGGTGATGTCATGGTTTTAGCTCTGTGTTGTTGAGGTCAGAGGTGAAAGGTCAAGAGTCAGGCAGTCTAGCTCTCCCTTAGCTTCTCTTCATAACGGCCACATGTGCGTTCACACACACACAGACACACAAACATCAGTTAACACTCCTTTACAATTCAATCAGTCCCAATAACAGCCGTAAACAGACCTGACTGATAACCTCAGCCCGGTTCATCAAAGAGCGGGTTCCTCGCCACGCCGAGCCGAGGTTAATACCTTGTAGAGCAACAGCTGGAGTCTGCTCTTACACAGCACTTTTTTTTTTTTTGGCTGTAATTATAAGCTTCGCCCTCGCTGCTCCGATCCCTCGCCCGCCGGCCCTCCAAGCGTCAGAAAGGGGAGATTGTTGCCAGCTACCGAGTGCCTGGTCTCCAAGGGCCAAAAGGTCACCGGTTCAAATCCCACTTAAGTCGCACCATTGACGTACGCCATCTGTCATGGCCGGCAGCGGGTCCTAATAAAGACTCTCTAATTGGGAAGGGATGACATGTGGGCTCAGTGATCTGAGGCGGCCAGAGAGGATCATTGAAGGTGACAGAAAGCCTGGTAGTTCTCTCGTCAGCTGGTTTGTTGAAGGCTCATATCACACACTCGTATGTGGGCACGCACTAACAGTGATGGCCGACAGGTGTGTTAGAGTAATTATGAAGATCTCTACTTCATGTGATGCTTGTGTTTTGCCAAAGGTGTGTTGGCAATTGTTTTTGTAGTCTTTTTTTTTTTATCCTCCAAAGGAGTTTAATGGCCACCCATAGAACCAACCTCAGGTTTTTATTACAACTGGCACACTGATAGAAGAAGAAATGCAGGTGCACATTTTGGGTTCAGTACAACAACTTTTTTCATGTGTCAACAGCCGTTTTCTCCCTTTGTTCTGTGGTCAAGGCGAGTCCATCGAATAGAGTCATTTCTCATTAAGTTTTTGCTCCTTCTCTTACAAAATCAAGCCAGTATGCTAAAAAGCCTCTTTGGGTTGCTTTTATTAAGACCCATCAACATTTAATACTCCAGTGTTTTGGAGATATCCTTGTAAATAAATCCTAAATAAGACTGCAGTACTGGGAATAATACCTGAAGGTTGTAGAAATTCATACTTATTAATAAATATTCTCTTGCTTATGGCAAGGAAACATATAACTGGACATTGTCTCAGCGAGTATGCACCTTCCACAGGAGAATGAACAAGCAGATTACAGGAAGTAGACTGAAACTGAAACTATAGACAAAAACATTTGGGGAAAAAATGGCACCTACTCAATAGAAATAATGATTTTTGCTTCTTGTTTTTGTCTAATTTCTGCAGCTGTATCTGAAAGATCCTTTTTCGCGAACTGCTACGATCACTTAAAAAGCTTAAAAAGAAAGAAAAACATGTAATATTTTAATATAAGATGCAGAAACAGGAAGAGAGCCAAACCACAACGCTGCTTTTTGCGAGAATTGTCAAAATGACTCAATATGCTCAATATACCTGCATGCAATTTTCTAAAAAATCCCTGCATACTTTTAAGCAGAGTTTACGAAATGCTTTACAGGAAGAAGAAATTACCGAAGAGGGAATTAACATGTAAAAACAAGCCAAATTCAGTGTAGAACAGCAGGCAGTTACGTGTGAGAAGAAGGATGACTTGGCTTGTCAAGAGACACGAGGTCTGTCCAATCTGTTGGCCTGTTGGTTCCAAAAGCCCAATTTAACAACTTTGCGTTGTAGTGTGATAAATAGAGTGCAAGACTTATTACAGTGGCTTATGATGATCTGCTGGCCTCCACCGGCAGAACGGTCACATATCGCCAAAGAGAAGACACCACTAAAAAGACCAACATAATCAGAAATACAGGGCTGCAATCAAGCAACTGGAAGGCCGGGCATCACCCGCCAAGCCCTTCAGTGTCACTCTTCTGGGAACCCTCAGTGGGAGTTTGTGGTCTCTCACTATAGTCAGATAGCTAAAAGTCAGATAGACGTCAACTGAGGTGCACTGAGTCAAGAAAAATAAAACCACAACACCCTGAACTGGAAGGGGGTCACCTCAGGAAAGACTGGAGAAGAGGTGTCCAGGCAGAAATGTCTGGGAGGTAGATCAGCGTGGGGGATCTCGAAAGAACTGCCAAAAACCGAGTGCGGTGGAGGACATTTGTCAGTGACCTGCGCTCCCTGGAGGAGCAAAGAGCTTAAGTCAAGTAAAGCTTACAAGTCATAATGCAAGAATGAGTGATCTATTTACTGTTAGTGAGAGAATAGATTTAACATTCACGTAGTTGTGTCAGTTATTGCAGACCTTTGAGCTGTGAAACACGCAGCGGACTCTTCCTCTGGTCCTGATCAAAAGTTCTTAGTCAGCACCCGTTGCACCTGTGTTCAGTATATTCTGCCTGATGCTTTGTTGGATTTGCTTCTGGAGTTGCAGCTGTATTAGTTTATTTACGTTTGTATATAACAATATGAGCCGGGCTGGAAAAGCATCCATCCAGAAGACACAATCTGGCAGAAGCAGAACCTGGCCTTGTAACGTCTCCTGTTTTTGAGTTCTCTTTTTATTTGGCTATAACGGAGGTTTTAAAGCTGTGAGGCACTCCTGGGAGTCGGGGAGGGGGGACGTGAGGGAAAGATGATGTGTGATGTGAAGGGGACAGGTGTAAGTTTGGCTGCTGATTTAGTGTGCTTATCAAAACGGTTAGAAGTTGTGCGTCACAGCCACTGCTGCTGCGACACACAGCTGATGAAGGCAATTAATTCAGGTATTTTAAAGTCCAGATGAAATTAAAAATAATGCCTTTTTAACTCTTTAAGATTATATCCACAGTCATATTGGACACCTATTTAACAATGCATGCCAAAAAATCTACACAAAAGACAAATCTGACAAGACCAGAAACTGCCTGAGAATCATTATGTTTTTAAGTTTTCTTCAGTATCAAAGTAATCCAGTGATAGTACATCTAGCTGGTGAACATAGTGGAGCATTTAGCAGCTAAAGAGCCAGATGTTTCCCTCAGGAGTTGGTAGAGACCAAAAACAGAGCTAAAGGACAGTGAATATTGGACTTACATTCATCAGGAGGCCAGAAACACGACTCAGAATAAATAATAACATTTCCCTACAACTGCTGGATGTGTAAATAAGCAGCTGTTGGCAGACATTTTCATCATATCAACTGAAAAGGTGATCAATGTTGTGTTTAATTAGTTCTACTGTCCCCAAGCTACCAAAACAATCAATCATTGCAGGTTTAAGGTAATGATTGAAGTACAGGTGTAATCTGCAAGACCCAACTTCTATTTATTTTTCAAAACTGTTGCAGTCTTATGGAGAAAGTTATTCTTTACATCCTAAAGATATCATAAATAATGCCAATTCAATGGTCAGTTCAAGGTATTTCTGGTTCTGGCCTTCCTGCCAGCAGCACTCAATAGATGCAGCCTTATAATTTTCATCTGAAATGATTGAGAGGGATTCAGGATGACTCTTTAGCCGTGCACACTGCTTGTACCTCAGCTCTTAGTCTGAAAAGAATTAGAGTGGAATTCCTCAGGAGAAACAAGAGGCAATTTTCTGTCTGTCTGTCTGTTTCTCTTTCTCTCCTCACACATACACCAAAAATGTGCAGAGAGAAACCTCGTGAGCAACAGTTGACCTGGTTACTCCCAGTTAGGAAACATAGTCACTGACAGGCGGCCAGTTGAATCAGACAAAAAGGGGAAGGTGACTCTGGCTGCCCCTGTGCCCTGGTGATTGGTTGATTGGATCAAGTCATGCGGCGTGCGTACAGGGATTACTCAGAATGGCTGAGTGTGTGTCTGCGTGCAGGAAGGAGCGCAGACTTACAGCACTCAGGGTCACAGAGAGAAGCATGGTCCTCATTTACCTCGCTAAACTGGCTAAACATGCTCCTGCATAGACAAAAAGTTGGACTCACTGATTCCTTCCCGTTCCAGTGTTCGGCCCAGTGCGGCCTCGGCCAGCAGATGAGGACGGTGCAGTGCCTGTCCTACACCGGGCAGCCGTCTAACGAGTGCGCAGAGTCCCTCCGACCCACCACGATGCAGCAGTGTGAGAGCAAGTGCGACGCCACCCCCATCTCCAATGGCGACGGTAAGATGACCAAACGTACGACGCCACACACACACACACACACACACACACACACATCTGAGTCTGCCATCACATTTTAATAGCGCTGGCTGGATGAGTTGTCTGCTTGCACTTTTCATCAAGCTTGCAAAGAAATTGTGTGGTCACCAGACAGACGCAGGTTTCTATTTAAAAACTGCACTCCCCTTCAAATGCAAAGGCAGATGGTTTATGTGAACAGCTATTGTGCCATACATGCATTGCTTTCACACAAAGCCTCAATTGAAAAGGTTATAAACTGTCTCTATCTTCATCTTCACTGTTCTACTATGACCTAAACACGCTTGGATGACACACTCCTCTACACTTTGCCAGCTACATTAATCTTTCCAGTGAGTTTGGCTTCTTGTCAAAGCGAAACAGCTCAACCCTCCATATACACTTACACATGATGGATGGCTATTCAGATGCATCGAGAAGGGCCTTTCGATTAGCCTGAATGGAAAACGTGAGCAGCGTTTACAGGCTGGCTAATGGGATTAGCTGTAGGCTAATTGTTCCTTTACGGACAGCAGTGAGGCAATGTCTCGTTTCATTTGGCTCTGTGGACGCAGGGGCCAAAGCCTAATAAGGGAAGACACTCTGATCGTGATAAGGCATTTAGAGCACTGCCTGTCCGGCATCCAGCAAGCAGTTTTGTGTGTGTGTGTGTGTGTGTGTGTGTGTGTGTGTGCACATGGTAGGAATGGCAGATAGCCCAGTTAGTGAACGAGGCCAGGATCTGTCTCAGTCTCAGCCTCTGCGTCCAAGTATAGTTGCAGACTTTTATTCTGTTAAGGCCTTGGGGAGATGCACCAGCCCTCATGTTGCAGGTTAGCCCCAGTTTGTGCCTCCCATGTATTACCATTACATTGCAGTCAAAGCGCTAAGCATCCTGAAAAATAAACACCCAGTGATATTTGAAAAACCCGGAGGGCCATTTAAAAACACTTTACTGCAGTTGTGAAGGTATTTTCAGACTCTTCGAACCATCTGGATGAAAAAATATTCCATCTGTTGCACAATAAAAAAAATCTTCAACCTTTTTTCCAACTGTACTTCTGAATCAAGGCAGCAGAAATGACAGCAAAATATTAACGTGGTATTTTGTTTTAAAAATAAAATATTGGAAAGAACCATCAAAGTCTTCAGTTTCCTCAAAAAAAAAAGACGATAGGCTATTAAAGGTATTAAAAAGTTTTAATTTATTTAACTAAAGTCGTTGCAGGCTGTCAGGAGACGTTATACACCTCCAAACTAAAAGTAGGATTGTTTCAGCTGTCGACTTTGCTGCAGGAGACAGTTTCATCCTTTTTGAGAGCGTTAAGGGCTACAGTAGCTGTAGGAGGCTCATCAGCTCATAATGGGCAAGTAATAATAATAATTTTTTTATTAGTTAACCCACCCGTCCATTTTATGCCACTAAATTTAGCTTGGTGAACCGTCCACAAACTCTGTCCTAATATAACTCACGATAACATTTTAAATGTTGGTTCACGTTGTACAAACTGAGCTTAGACACGTCATTTCTAGTTACCGTCTCTGTTTGGATGAATCACAACTTGGACATCGGGTTAAAAAAAACAGTGGTTAAACAGATGGTTAGAAGAGTGTTTGAGGGTTCTGGAAATACCTTCAGCACAGGGGTAAGTTAAACACAGGCTTAGAAAGTAATGGATTACAGGTAATTGAGATTGTAATCCAGAAATATACACTGAGCAGTGGACACATGGATGCTCACATTGTTCTGTTGTCTTATTGAATACACTTGTATCAATACTTCTTATTGACATTATTTTTGTCTTTATTTGCATATTTAGTGCTGAGGCAATCCAAAAGTAACGGAAAGTAATCAAGTTACATTACTTTATTATTGTAATATTTGGTTTAGGTTACTGACAAAATTTTTTAACAGCTAATGGTAACTGTAAAGTGTTTCATTTTTAAAGTAACCCTCCTAAACCCTAGAAGGTTAAACGACCTTCTGAACTTTGCGCTGTGACTCGAACATAGCGGTTACACATGAGGGGCACAAACTGGGGCTGGAAGCAGGTCACCTCTTAAAAGAAGATCCATACTCATTAAAAAGACTTTTAGAAAGTTCTCCAGGAGGCCTAATTTAACATGTGTTAACATTCTTCTCTCTTCTTCCTCCCTCCAGAATGCAAAGATGTAAACAAAGTGGCCTACTGCCCGCTGGTACTGAAGTTCAAGTTCTGCAGCCGCGCGTACTTCAGACAGATGTGCTGCAAGACCTGCCAGGGACACTGACCCTGGGAGCACGAGAGCGAGACACAGAGAGAGAGAGAGAGAGAGAGAGAGAGCGAGAGAGAGATGGAGGGAGGCTGATACGGCACTGAATGGGAGAGATGAATTAGTAAGGATCTCCCTGTTTATCACACCCGATCCTCCTGCCCTCCATCGTGGTGGAATCCAAACCACTGCTCAGCCCACAACGCTGACACAAACTTATTATTTTTTTTAATTTTCACTTCTGTGAAGTGGAACTCGGAAGATTATTTGTTGGTGATGTTATTTTTATTATAATAATAATTATTAATATCATTCTTAGTCTTCCTTCGTGTTTGTTGTTTTATGAATCCAAAGTGCTGGACACATCACTCGCAGAGGATGTACCCCGGAGATGGACAGATGGAGGGGAGGACTCCCCACCAGAAGAGGGGTGGGGGGGATGGGAGTTGAAAGTGTCGGACTCCTGTCTTTGGGTGATGGTGCTATTGGCAGGCAGACGTTTGGCTTCGGTGCACTTTTTCATGTAAATACTTTGCCAATTTACCGCTCAAATACGACAGAGAAACCCCATCAGTGTACTGTATATTTATTGTACAATTCCAAACAGAGCTGAGATATTGTCGTCTGATCATGTTTGTGTCAGATAGTAGCCTACTGTCATGGAAGGGAATGTAATGTGATTGAATTCATATTCAATGTCTCTGTGCTGGAATGGAAATATTACATACTGTAACATACGTTAAACCCTTATATACTGTAAGGATTTGTATATTATATATGATGTTTATCCAGGACTAGAAAATACCACGTGGTTATAGGAGGATTTTATCACTTTTTCTTTCCCCAGACGGGTGCCTTAGTTCCTAACACTCAAAATAAAACTTCACCCAGTGTCAGTCATTAGTGCAAAAGTAGTATGAAGATATTGTCAGACTGTGCCTGGGCCGCATGAAACACTGTTACCAAACTGGCCTTTTCTACACGTCCCATTGAGGAGCTTTCAGTTCACTATTGAAGGATTCATTTTGAAGGAGCAGATTCTATGAAGCAGCTTGTTCATTGGAATCACAGTGCAGTCACTATTTCTTACTATTTTCTGGATTATCAGTCATATTTCTGTATTTCAGCAGCAGGCGAGGACTGACATGGTTTAAGAGCTGATAAAGGAGTAGTTTGGGGAAATGTTTGCCTTCTTGCCGAGAGTTAGATGAGAAGATTGATACCACTCTTCTGTCTGTACTATAAATATGAAGCTTTAGCAAGGAGGCAGTTAGCTTAGCTTAGCATAAAGACTGGAAGCAAGGGGAAACCGCTAGCCTGTCTCTGTCCAAACGTAACATCCACCTGCCTGCACCTAAAGCTTACTAATTAACTAGTTATATCATATTTATTTAATCTCAGAGTTTAAAACTATGCATTACATATAACTTTTTGGATTCGAATCGGTGTAGCCTGATGGGTATATTAAGGAGATCTGGCACCCTGTCTACATGAATGATATACAATGATGTAATCATTTCGGGGGTTTATGATGCTCAGAAAAATGTTTTACAGACGTTACGTTTCCAATGATTGTGTGTGGGGAAACTGTGCAGAAGTTGCAATACCCCATGTGGCCACTAGGCCAAAATCAATTCACTGTCCAGTTCCGTTCCGTTCCTGGAGGTTTGGTCCAGCACATTAACCCCCCGTAAAAGGTTCCACACTTTGATTTTGAGCGGATTAAACTAACAAGATAAAACAAGTTAACAGACTTTTTTCACAGCAGCCACTTTGAAATGAAATAGTAGGGCAAACACAGGCGTTACTAATGATACTGATTAAGGTTCTGGTCCATTCAGGTCAAACAGTAATGGAACATATGTGTGCCCTACTTTTTTTGTCTGCTGTGAAAAAGGTCTGTTGGTGAGCTTTAGAGTTGCTGCCAGGCTAGGAGTTTCCCCTTGTTTCCAGTCTTTGTGCTAAGCTAACCATTTCTTGGCTGTAGTTTCATATTTAGTGAACGGACATGAGTCGCATTAATCTTCTCGACCAATTCTCAGCAGAAAAGTGACCAAGCATATTTTCCCAAAATGTCTGTCTATTCCTTTAAGTAAGTGCTAAATAAACACACACATCACATTCATCGTGGACATGTTGCCAGACCACGTATCCGCCCCCCCTGCCCCACCCTCAGATAAAGTTACCCCCTCGTCCTCTTTCCTCTCATCATCTTTGTCCCTCAGCGGAAAACACAAATACAGCCAACTCAAGGGTGCTTTCCCCCTCTTTTATTTTATTGTTTTTTTTTATTTCCATGGAGTACTGTGTTTACCTCTTCTTTTCCTCCTGCTCTGCTCCGAGGGTTACAGCCTTCCCAGGCTTCTGGTGCTATCAAGTGGGTGCTTCCATTCAACCCTCTCCAGTGTGCTTAAAAGTGAGGCTGGATCCAAACAATATGAAATAATATCCTTGTCAATATCTCTGTTGGTAAATGCTGGTCATGTTATTGTTCTGTTTGTATCTGTTTATACCTCACACTGGGAATTTTCATTGTTAACCTTGTATTGTTGTTTGTGCTACCAACAAAATGGACACTCGCCCAGTTGTAACTGACCCTATTACATGTCTGCGGGTGTAGGGGGTCGTGAAAGGGAACACCTATGATCTCCATCACACTTTATGGAGGTACAGCGGGAGAAACAATGTAGGAGTGTGCAAGAATCTCATCGAAGCTGTTAACAACTAATTTCTAATTTTGCTGCTGCTACATTTTTTTGTAGCCACCGTCAGTATGACAATGTCGAGCAGATTTTTATTGGTTACCAAACCTTGAGGCAGTTGGGAAAGGACAGTGGATGCTGAGAAGCATTTGAAATCAGTTGAATATTTCAAACTGCAATGGACTAACTCATCCACTGGCTGTGGGATGCGGAGCCTCCAGAAAAAGAGAAGTGAAATCAATCAAACTGGTACTCATTGCTGTGAACTTGGATGTTTGAATGTCACATTGCTTATACCTGTACCTAAAGTGCAAGAGAAATGAAAAGCATCATGTGATTATTTGCGTATATTTTATATTCAGTATTAATGTTGGTACACTGTTACTAATTTTTTTTTTTTCAAATGTAAATTATATGCTAATTTATTGCGTTGTCTCACTTGTACATTTATTTCACTGCATGCAAACTGAAATTCAGCACAGTGAAAAAAATGCAGTGATACAGCCCTTCACCAGCCCCCTTTTTTTTAAAAGTAGATACAATAAAAGAGCAGCTTTTAAAGAGACTCTGTGTTAGTGGATTCATTTTTTTTTCTCCCCCTGCTTGTCAAAACACATCAAAACATGTCTGCGCAACATTTTTAGTCGTGTACACAGTAATCCCTGTGAGAGGAAAAAGCTCAACGTACACCGGGGATCAAATGAGAAGTGTTGGTGCCAAAGTGGATGCTCCGTTCTCACAGGCTTTAAGAGATATATACTCTTGTCCTTTCACTCAACTCTTGGAAAGCACCCACAGCATGAGAAAAGCTAATGGCATCACACCAGGATACCCGTTACCACCGCTGAAGAAATCCATTCATTCGCTGCCTCAGTTTAGGGTGACCGAATCGGAGAAGGAGGGCAACGTTTGTGAAAGCTTTTGTCCTTATCTACCTAACTCTGACACACCAGCCGCATCATCATCTGAGACTCAAACATAATAAACGTCAGCTAGTCTAAGTGAGGGGCGTCAAACACCATCCTGAACTGTCCCAGCTTTGTTGCCATAGCTTTTGGTATGGCAGTCTCCTTCCTCTCATCCTGGCCTCAAGTGTCTGGATTCACTCTTTGGGAGCTGTGAGGTTTCCACTCTCCTTGGTAATTAATTCCAAATAAACAGTAACTAGCCCACTTGGCTGGGAAACGTTGCCGTCTCCTTCTAATCCACAGTGTCCAATTACAGAGGGAGACAGATGGCCTGTTTGGTCTAATGTAACCAGTTTAGAATACCTGTACGTCTGGCCCAGCTTCTGTCTGCCGCGCTGGCCCGTCTGCAGGGGTCTGTGATTACATTAGTCCTAACCTGCAGAGCTGAGGGTGACAAGGAGAGGGAAAAAAGGGAAGGTGATGGAGTTCAGGCCGAGATATTTCGTATCTGCGGATGACCCGACAGCTCTGAGGTGGCTTCTTCACACGCAACATTTGCACACGATTATGTGCGCACATACGTCGACGATAGCTCATTATAGATTAAACATACAAACAGAAGGTTTTGCCTGAGAAACATAAGATGCTCACAGGATACTGTGCGTGCACACGTGGCCAGGAGGCCTCCAGATGATGAGGCAATGAAAGACAACACATGTTGTCACGCAACTTTATTGGCATTTGAATTTCCAAGTATTTTCTTGGTTTCAACGCTGTCGGCCTCAAAGCCTGGTCGCATTAAGAAAATGGTACAGTGAAATTAATCTGCATGTATTTGCTAAATATTTAATTCTAGAAGCTTGGTGATGTAGTTTGGTGGATCTACAGGGGTGGCAAACCCATGACACTCGTAAAAAAAATGTTACTTACACTAAGTAAAAGGCTTAAGTTCACTGAAAAAAGACATGTATGTATTTGGAAAAATGTCTGAAGATTTGAAAATAAAGTTTATTGATTCCTAATGACACCTTTACATATTTCTACTCAATGCTTTACTAATGTGCCACAGTGATTCACTGTTTTTGAGTTAAAATATCTTAGTTTGGGGGCTTTTTCATTTCGTTTTTGTGATTAAATCAGAATAAAGTCTTCATGCAACCTTCTAACCACCATGTATCATAGTTTGGGGTATTTTTGTTCATTCATTCATTCATTCATTTTGGTTTGTCATTAGGTCATGTTCTAACGCTGTCGTCATTTCAGACCAAGCCGCTCCCTCCTGGCAGTCTTCTGATTAGACTCGCCTCACCTGCTCACCACTGTTACCTGTTTGTCATTACCTCATTAGCTCCAAGCATATATACTGGTTCACATCGACCAGTCCTGTGCTGTAAGCCTTATCGGTCCAACATCAGCATTTTTGTTTTTCCCCTTTTTGCCTGCCCAGATCACTGTAATATCTTCAAGTACAGACTCTTCTAGAATTGTGCTTTTGGGTTCTGTTGTCCGTCTGGCATTTTGTTCACCATGGTACACTATTTTATTCAATAAAAAGTTATTGAAACGGGAAAAAGATTTACAACCTAACCTAACTTGCTAATGGAAAGTTAGCAAACTTGATAGCATGGCTTGGTTGGGACAGGACAGTAGGTTCACACAGTTTCAGAATCATCCCAGTATCACAAATCACAATTTTACTCAAGGGTTTTTTACAATCCCTATACTCAGACCCTTCCTGCCCAATTCGGGTATAGAAAAATAACCCAAAAAACCACAGCTGTCGTCTGTACAGAATGGATTAGAAAAAAGAAATCACAATTTTGATGACAAAAATACAGACACATGTAGACTGTTAAACAAAAGTGAAGAGTGTGGATCGAGGTGGACGTTGAGCAGCTTCAGGTGTTGCCAGAAAGGTAGAGACAGAAGAGACAGCTCAGCCTTCACACAGAGTCATGAAAGCACGTTTATTCAAAAGACGTATTTGCACCATCCTTTAATTGTCTGCAAACCGTTACTCTCTTATAGAACATTTTACTCTGACAGAGGAGGGTTAAATAAAGTGATAAGCCAGCTCTCCGTTCCCTCAAAAGTCAGCACTGTCAAGACAGATTGCCGTTGGTCAACGTTGACCATGACATAAAAACATTGCTGCAGATTTACTTGGTCGTTTTAGTGCCGGTGACCAGGCCTTTATACTGCACTGTCAGCATGTCTGATTACTAAAAAGTGAAGACTACAGTAGAGTACTGTTTAACTCTTATTCCAGTATGTTGACTTTATTAGCCAAGGGGATAATATTAATCTCCCTGACATGTACCATATGTATTTGAGTAAGTGACGAGGTGATACATCGGGTTGCTGAGACGTGGAGCTCACGGACTGCTTATAATAAGAGGTGTAGAGAGGATGGGGAACAGATTTCTCCTCTTCTCCGGGATTCTGCACTTCAAATGGAAACTACTGACAGTGAGAGAAGCCATTGCTGTTGCTTATCAGCATTTAAATATCCCTCACAAGCTCCGTGACAAAATAAATGTGTGCAAGATACACCAGAGATCCTCATGAGGATGCACAAAAACATGCACAAAATGCAATCATGCTCAAATATGTGTTAAATACTTAATGGGCTGATATCCGCAAAGACTTGTGGCATAACTCTTTGCTTAAAGACCGTGGCTGTTTGTGCATTTTATTCTCCTACTGGGAGGTGTGAGGATTAGCATAGCGACAAACAACATAACTCTCTGAGGGTTTACCGTTCTTAATCAAAGTTGCCCTGGTAGTGCAGTGTCGTCGATGAGTGCTTGAAGCGTTTTGGACACTCTTCCATTTGAACACAGTGCAGCAGGACAAACAGCTCCAGATGGTGTGGCTAGAGACAGTGCATGCACGGACCTGGGGGGTCTGACAGGCAGGAATGCTGGCCTGGGATGGGAAGGTCACGGCTCCAGCACCTGCTATCTACTGGGCTCTGTACTGTTAAGCCCTGCTGCTCTTTCCCACAGCTGAGGCCCAGATTGAACTGCCGCGGACAAGATCAAAGCCCCGAAGGGCACTGGCTGCCGAGGAGAGGGCAACAGCCACCCCATCACATATACCAGGAGGATGTGTTTTTTCCTTCACACCTTCAAAGATGTGAAGAGAAATGCTTCAGCTGTGCACCATGGCCTCTTTCAAAGCTGTTTTCTTTCAATGTCCGGAGCTCTGCACTTTAATTATCAGCTGTGAACCAAACACACTACTGTGCATACTGATGCCATAGCCGAACATACATACTATATTGTTTAAAATATTTCAGCAATAAAGGGTTTCTTAGAGTTCTTTCTAAGTGCTAACTTGACTTGCATCAAATGGTTTGTTACACAGAACCATCTGGGAGGTCGTCCTTGGAATCTGTTTGGAAAAGGGCAGGCACTTTTAAAAAAAATACTCAGCAGGTTATTAAACCATTGTACTAATTAGATCAATGAACGTAGTTAAACTGTTATCGAAGCCAGTCAAAGAACACAAGGGAAAACATATTTTCCATTGCCAAAAGTTCCAATATCTGATGCAGATCAGAACAGTCGTCACTTCATGTCATCCACACACCTAGCGTTAAACCATAGCTTGTGCTGTAGCTGCCAGTAGCTCCTCTAAACCACTGTGGTTCAGACACAAGCACACAGCTTGAAGCCTGGGAAGAGAAAATCTTGCAAGTCCAGTTGCTACACATTGAACTTATTATTTGTGTTCTTGCAAAACAGGAAGCCTGTGAACAGCGTTCATACTTCACAAAGCTCAAAGCTCAAAGCTCAGTTCAAACAGATTTTACTTTACAGTCCCAAAAAAAAGTTATCCATAATTTCTTCCGTGTATTCCTTGAATGCCTTCAACAGTGTCTGAACCTGCCTTCTTGAAGGCACAAGCCTGGAAGGATGCAAACCATTAACTAATAGGCTGAACGATGGCTTTTCAACCTTGCTCAAAGGCAGCAGATCTCCTTCAGTGTATTCTAGTACAAGTCTGTCTACTTGCCTCTGGGAAATGGAGGTAACCAGATCCTTTTGACTTTGGTGGAGGACCTTTGCAGCTGTTGGTTCATGGTCTTACCCTTTGCTAATGATTTCTTGTCACATCATTCAAGACATTTCCCAAGACTGGTCGGATGCTTTAACTCAGTGTGTTGTTTCAAATTTGTTGCCAATGTGGAGTTCTGGCTTGTTTTTTAGACCCTGCAAGCACAATTTGCATTAAAATGTTGAAATGTTATATTTTCTTTTCTGTTGGAATCTGTACTGATTTGTTCATAATTAAATGTTCATATGAACTGGCTTCAGCAGCAACGGCAGCTACGTCAGAATTGCCAGTTGAACTAGCCGTGTTGTCGGGCGGGCTCTTTTACCCACGGCAGGCAGCATACTTGCTCAACGCTGCAATGGACGAAAAACAAATTAACAAAGTCTCTGGTGAGGACATTACTCTTCAATTTGACTTCAGTAAGTTGTTATTTCTAAAGAAGTGTCTACAGATTCTGCTTTCTAGAAATGGAAAATGCTTTGGTCTTGGCCGAAGCACTGACCTGATCCTCAGGCAAAGTCAGAAACATTTTAACCGGTTCAGACAGGATCCCAGTCGTGACAATGACTTACAAAGACAACACCCAAGGGCGTAT